TGTGGAGTTAGGTCATAAATGAAGATAGTTACTTTGATAGACTCAGTGATAAAATGAACTTTTTAGGTTAGTTTCTAAACATTTATGTTGATCAACGACAGTTTGCAAACCGAAGAACAGCTATTTGACTATCTCATAATCGAGCAAAAAATCTTCTTCTCTAAAGACTGATTACAGAAAAGTTCCCGGAAGATAATTTCGAGGCTTCAACCGAGGAGTAAAATTTTCTCAAAAAAAAAACTTTTTTTAAAATACAAGCTGTTTGACGTCGTTAGAACTCGAAGCTACAAAAATTTTTATTTTACGATTTATCGGCTCTAAAGCAACAATAGAAATATTTCAATAACGATCATTTCAAAAAGTCCCGAAAAATAAGTTGAAAAGAATAATCAATAGACCAGATTCCTTTAGGCTAAGGATTAAGCCGGGAAAAAATAATTTGAGGGTTCTTTATTCCGAAAACGATTTCAAGTTTGACCCTCTGCGACAAATCTACCTATCTCGCCTTCCAAGTCGGGGAGCATTGACTATATATTATATTTGAGAACTTTTTTTAACAAAGGTTCTTGTCAATAGCGTTCGAACTTCATCGATTTACTAGTAAATTCAAAGGATTTTATTGTTTTTCGAATTCCACAAACCAATCTCCCGTATAATCATAAATTTATATTTTAGTCCTAAACCTTGAACTTTTTCAAACAGTTGCGCTCTAATGCGAACGAGGGAGCGAGAGAGGGTAGAGAGCCTGGGGCGTTGTTTGATTAGACGCGTGTTTATCAGTGATCTCCTGTGTGATAATATGATCAACAGGAAGTGTTTGCAAAGATTATATTCATTCTTAGTGGGTTAAAGACTGCCGAATAATGGAGCTTCTCTGATTGAGGCGAAAATTATTTCAAAAGTTTACTTCTCCAAATCTTCACGCCAGTAGAAAAATTCGGGAGTTTAGGATTACGGTACTTTTTTTTCGATGTTTCTATGGAATACAATGGTCCGAAAAGGTCTTCCTTTTAGAGGGGGGCGAAGTTGAATAATCGTCTTCTCCAAATCTCCAAATCAGTAAAAAATTTTTGAAGTTTGGTTTTTCGATCTTTTTCGTGACAGTTTTTTTACAACCCTAATCTGACCACTTGGCACATTCGACGTGGCTTCTTGAGGGGTCAAGAAACCCTCAAGAGAGCACAGATAACTATTCTCTACAGAACTAAAAATTGAAAAAAGGAATGAGATGAACTTTCAGAAAAAAAAAATTCATCACTGCTCTCTTTTCCCTTACTTCTTTGTCGTCTCGTCACGTTTCAAGGACGCGAACGGCATTGTCCATCCAAAGGGTCTTTTTAAGGGTTAAGGCGATGGAAATACTCGATACGGTGAACCGCGCGGCAAGGTCAGATACTTTCACTGCAGCTTTTTTTCAGAGTTTGAATTTTTCGTTTTGATGTGTCTAAGGCGGAAAAAATACGCTCAGAGCTTTTTTGCAGTCTTTAATTATTTCTTCAAAATTTTCCTGAACTACATAAAAACCCAAATAAACTAAATTTCATCTACGGAGCTCACAATAGCTCCGTCAAACCTGTTTTAATCGTCTCAAATATATTCTTTCCCATTTCAAAAAACATTTTCATAACATTAACATTGTTATTGACAACATAATCTAGGCAGAATCAAAATTAAATATAATAATAGTTTATACTCCGGGCATTTTAACTCCTTTTTTACTAAATTACCACACTCTGAGATAATATAATAAGTCCATTTACAGTATCATGGAAATTTTTTTTTTTCGGAACGCAGGAATTGACGTTACAGGATTGACATTGCCCAAAACGGGAGTCTTATCCTGATACCAGTGATTATTAGTGTACTGGCTCTAGTGAGTACTGGCCCCTTGGTTGGGTTGAAGGGATCGAACTCTCGACCCTGTGGACCGTAGACAGGCACACAACCCGTTGCGCTACGGCGCGGACTTTAAAAAGGAAATATTATTAGATACATACGTTCCATTTTGAGAAAGATACTCGTGGACAAACTATGGTAGGCTCCCGATTCGCCGGTGAAAGTAAGGAGTTTTTAAAATAAAGGACAAGATGAACCCGACTCGAATCAAGAGACTCCACGAAAACAACTGCGTTCAAGTGTTTCTACCGAACGTCGGAACCAGTCAGTAGTGGGGTCGTCATCTCGAAATAGCGAACAGTTTGCCGTCGAGTGTGCCGAAGGCAAGGAAATCAACACACGCGCACACAAAACGCCTGACAAACGTCGTACTCACCAATATTTGCCGACCTTAACTTTTATGCTCGACTCCCCAAGAAGACCGAAAAGTTGTTTGTCGGGGCTTTCCATCACGCAACTTGTGCTGATCCGATGTTATTTTCAAAAGTTTCCTTTTCAGAGCCTAGGCGGGACTCAAGATTATTTGAAGATGAAAGTGGAGTTACAAAAAGTACAAAAAAGTGAATCTCACCAGGGGACGGTCTGTGGTCGCAGGGGACTTTTGAATAAGGCTAGGTTCACTGGATGTCTTTTCCAGGATGATCCCGGATTTGTTCTCAAAAATTGTCACGAAGTCTTCGAGGAAGTCAGGAAGTTTCAAAAGTCTTCAAATTCTATGCCAGAGCCACAGCAATGTTCCTTTCGTCGTTAGAAGTCCGATCCATCGTCGATTGCAAATTAACTATCACACTGATGGTGCCATTAACAATATAATGATGGCCGAAAAAAACAAAAGTGGCAGAAAAAAAAACGGCTTCACTTAGAAAAGTATTTTCAGAAGCTCGTGGTCAGTACAAGTCAATGATGTGGAGAATCAGTTGTCTAGACTCAATTTTACAGTTATTGCTCAAAAGTCAGTTCAAAATTATTGTTTGCCGAAAGATCATTACAAAAGCTGTCCCGACTCGAAAAATTCATTTAAGGTTCCTTTTGGCTTTTCAAAATTTCTTGTGGTTTGAACTTTAAAAAATGTGAAGCGTAAACTAAACATTTTTTGAAAACCATAAAATCTCTCTAAAGTTTCAAACAGACATCTGAAAAAATTACAAAGTTGTAGACAGTGCTTCCATCTCCTCCACAGAGAAACCGATTACTCACACTTGCTCAAAAACTTCAAAAATAAACAGTGATGTCATTATCAAAACAAAAAAAGGACATTTTTGAAAAAACCCCATGGGATGACAGAAAAAAGTGAGAAAAATAGGCGCTAAGCAGGTGAGCGCCGAGGAACAAACATATTTTTTTATTCCAAGGACACAAACAACTGAACGCATCGTCCTACTTTTGATGTTTTTGAAAATGAATGATTGTGATAAAGACGACTTTTCAACCACTTACTTTGGCGGATAGTATGATGATATGTTGAGGATGTTGAAGCTTTTCTGTGATATGGTATAGGGGTTTTTTTGAAGCGAAATTCGCAACAAAAAGGGAAAAGATTATAAATTATACGAAGTTGAATCCAATCTCATGAGCAAAAACGGAACTTTTTATTCCGGTCTCCGGCTATGAGCTTTTCTTGTGTTTTTAAAGGCACATGAGCAGAAGTTTCAAGAAATTCCAAGTGCTGTTTAGATTAATTGGTAAGGACAGGGAACATCTTAGGCTTTTGAAGAACTTGAGAAACTTGAAAGATTTGATAAATTGTTATAAAACATGTCCAGATAGAAAAAAGCCAAACTTTTTGTGTCTCCGAACACTTGGATGATTTAAAAAAAAACTCGAAAAAATTCCTGTCAAAAGTATGTTTGAAAATGAAGATGGAGCGCTTCCTGTGATGTTTCAATGAAGGGAAATTGTAAAGTAAGTGCTTTTAGGGAGTAATGTACTCGTTAAAGAATCTGAATTTGACGTCCAAAAAAAACGCTGTTTGATCAACTTTCCTAACGAGTTCCTCCTTCTTTGAACTTTCGAAAAGGAACCGTGAAAAGGGCAAAAAGCTCACGGGAAATGTGTAATTTTTGACTGTTTGCTTAGAGTCTGTTTAGAACGGCAGCGGTGTCAAGAAACGGACGGAAAAAAAAGGGCTTTGAAATTTAGAGATGGTGAAGATTTGTATCAACCTGTCTTAAAATTAAGGATTTGAGGAGTTTTTTTTTGGAAAATAAACTTTTCTAGACAGAAATTAGAAAAACCAACTAGCTTGACATCTGAAGGCCGCATGTAGAATTCCTCTGAACTCTGGGTCTTCTGCAATGATGAACACTACTCTTCGCTCGGCTCCTGAAGAAATCAATGAAATCTATACTAGGGAGAGCGAATTTGAGTTTTTCTTCTCAAAGAAAGTTTTTTTGGGTCATTTCCAAAAATTTTCATATGGTTACATATTTTGTTTTAAAAATGGGTTGGACGTATATGCTTCGAGCGGAAAAAAAAAATTTGGTTTTTTGGATAGTTTTTACAGTAAGCCTAAAAGTGGGCGGGGTAATATAACCTTTTATAAATATTTTACCAAAACTTTCATTTTAAATTAATTGAAAAAAACCCAGAATAAGTGATAAACTTTTATCTTTAGCTAGAATTGTAAAGTGAGACGATATTTCTTTCTTTTTTTCTTGGATATGGAAATCACCAAACATTTTTTTCAGCAAGGAACCAAAAAAATAAAAACAGTAAAAAAATTTTTTTAATCAGAACCAAACACAATAAAAAGTTTGCTACTTAAATGAATAAATCAATAAAAAAACGGAAAATAACGGAGAGAAAGCCATCAGAGATCTAAATAACGAATAAACACTCAATGAAATCGACTTTAAAACTCGGGGAGCAAAGACAACGTATCAAGGGAGTACTATAGCATACTGCAGACCCATTAAAGTACACAAAAAACAAAGCTTGGGAAGGAAAAAAAAAGAACTGGCCATTTTAATGCAAAAGATCCGTAGATATAAACGAAATGAAAGGGTGCGATTAAAGCAATTGAGAACTAGAGAATACACAATGAATCGACAGTCGAATATTTGACACAAGTAACAGATTTACAAGGAGTAATAGCGGTAAAGTATTTAATCGAGTTCAATGATTTCATCAGAGGCGAACGGCTTCGGTGGAAGCATCCGTCGTTGCGGAGGTACTACTGGAATATTTCGAATGAGAATGACTAGAAAACCACTTTTTTCATCGTTTCAAGAAAAATGAAAAACATTTTTGCACCATAGGAAAGCATCACGGAATTTTTTTTCACACCGCCTTTCAAGTCGGACAGAATAGACCAGCTGTATCAACCGAAGTGTTTCCCAAAACCCACCGTAGCTCTGATCGAAAATGCTCCCAGAGGCGTCGAGGATGGTGCTCTCGTCGAGCTGCAGGTAGACGCCGCCTCGCGACGGCTTCACCAGAGTCACCTGACTTCCTTGCGGCAAGGCATGTTGTCGACCGCCTCGTCCGACCAGCGGCAGCATGAACGCTTAAAAGAAAAATTCATAAGTTTTCTAATCGACAAACCCTCAAACTTTTACGAAATAAATTTCAACTGGGGTTCAGAAACAGTTTCCTTGTAAAATAGTAAGTTTCTGAAAAAAAGTTCTGAAAAAGAAAAAAACTTTTTTTCACCCTCAATTTTTGAACTTATCAGAGAAAAAAATGAACTTACGTCGATCAGTTGTGATGGCTTGTACCGTTCCGCTTTCGTTGATTGTGGCAGGAAGGGAAAACTCAGCGCCGGGGAACGAGGACGGATCTTTCACTGAAAATCGAAATTGTTCCAGTTCTACAGTCCTTCTGTTTTTTTGATATATTGTTTCAAAACGAACTCATATTCATCCCTCCGTTCGGATTCTGGGCGTTCATCATTGTCGCCCCGCCGTAATTGGCAAAGTCCGGCGGCAACATGTGCAAGGTTCCGGGTATCGGCGTCGCCTTCATCGGCGGCGGATTGCTGGAAAGAAACGTCCTTTTCTAACTGAACCATAGAATATCCAAACTTAAAGAAGTCGAATGGATTGAAGTTGAAATTGTTCGGCGCACCAAAACTTGAGTTTGCTCTTCGACTAGCCGCGTCCAAAATTGAGTTATTGCTCGAACTTTCGAAGATGCTGCTCGACTGGAACATACAAAAACTATTTGATGATGGAAATTTTCTTTTTATTTTTTTTATCTTTATATATAAGGAAAAAAAGAATTGCATTATAGAAAATAGAGGTAGCTGTTGAGAATCGGGTCTTCTATTTCATTCCAACCGAGACGCTTTTAGCCATTCCAAGTGCGACCAAAGCTTTTGAAAAAAGCATAGAAAAAGTAAAATGCAATTATACAGGCTTTTTCCAAAAGTTTTTGAAAAAAAATTCTCAAATATTAAGCTTTCGGTCGTTTTTTGCTGCATTTTCTTAACATAGATTCAAAGAACTTGGAAAATTCCATTTTTCTATTTTCTTGAAATACATTATTTTAATCCTAGTTACCTCCATCCGTCGTTCTTTCTCGAAAAGCAACTGGGCCTCTTTTTTCTCTTCTTCACTTAGGCCTTCCTCCCTTTCCATCATCATGGATTCGTGTAGGAATGGCTCCTATAAATGATTGATAAAACTATTTCTTTTCTATATTTTACCTGAGCAAACATATGACTGTATCTGGCGGCCACCTTTTTCAAAACTTCATCTTCAAGTTCCCACTCCGAGGTGTTCCATTTGTCGTGAACGACGTCCAGGTGTTCCTGGAGAAAGAAACGGTTGTGAAAATTTAAGAGAATACTCTAATTACATCATAAACGAGTAGAGTTTCGAGTTCATTTTGAGTGATGTTGGTGTCGACCTGGGCGTCGTCAACGACCCGTTCTGAAGATTTCAGATTTGAACTGAATTGATTTATGTTATTCATCAAAAAAGGGGTCAATTGGTTGCTATTTTCAGATCTTCTTATAGGAAGTTCTGAATCTTTCCCAGTGCTCATAGTCCGTCCGCCGCAACTAGACAGTTTTCGAGGATTTACTTCTCTCAACGATAAAGACAGAGACAAGAAAATAGCAAGTCAAGATGAGAACTAGGAGGGCGCAGAGAAGTCCTGTACTTTAAAAACGTGGAAAACGGCCTATATTGAAAAAATTGGCACATGTAAAATCTCCAAGAGGAAAGCCATTTTCCAACTATCCGAATGGACCTCATCAAAACTCACGCTGAAGTCCCTGTTTGCTGACTTGCCGGTTGAAAATCGCCCGCTCCATGCTGTTATCCATAATGAGGCGGTAGATGAATGTTCTACGCTGCTGACCGTATCTGAAAGTATCTTTTTTTCCTTACATAGTCCAAATCTCGAAAACCGATAAACTCTACAAACAGCCTGGGCATCATGACACGGATTCCAACAAGCGTCAAAAATGATACATCGATTGGCGGACACCTAAAAAGGGAACTTCATAAAAAATTTTGGAAAAAAAGTGTGGTCAGAAAAAATAGGTTGGCTGAACCAGACTATCACAATTGATACAAATCAACACCTTCTTGAAACGTTCGAAATGAAATGAGAAAAAAAAAATCAAAAAATTATCGTTTAAGCAAAAGGCAATCGGGACTAATTGTTTAAAAAAAATTGAATTTAAGAGATTTCTCTTCGGTAGCGCCAACCGGACGCGTCGCGGATAATTCTGAGCATTTCTAGTGCATTTTTCAGCGGCATCAGCCCTTTGAGTGATGAAATGGAATGCTCAGAAACTTTCGGGGCAATTCTGGTTTGCTCCACAGGTTTGCGCTTTCCAAATGAAAATCACTTAATATTCTTGATTTTCAGTCAAAATTAAATTACTCTTAACTTGAATCGCATTGCTCGCAGGTGGAATGGCTCAAAAGGTCGCGCTCAAATATGATCTCTGCTTTTTTTAAAAAGGCATCTCTGCGCAAACAGTTTGGAGTCGGGCGCACCTTTAAAAATCTGCTTCGCAGCTATGAGTCATTCCAAAGGCATTTTAATTCTCAGCGAGTTGAGTTACAAAAAAACTTTTTCCATTATAAAAAAATAATTAAACGTTTTTCAAAACTTGAAATTTTCAAAAAAACCCACCAGATTAATACCCAAAGATCCAGCTCTAGTCGAAATCAAGAATAAATACACAGAATTATCGCTATTGAATCGGTTGATCAGCTTTTCTCGTTCCGATCCGTTTGTCGAACCATCAAATCCTGAAAACTGCCTTTCCGAACTAGAACATTAAAAAATGGTTTGAATTGAAGGAGCAAAAAAGAAAAAAAAACGAACGAAAATAGTTCCTATTTTTGACCCATCGTTCCTGGTTTCCATTGACGTTGGTCAGCGGCCGGCGCTCCAAATATTCTTCCAATATGGATAAAACCGTCAGATTTTGGCTGAAAACTTCATAAATGAAGAAGAAAGCGAGAAATCTCGATAAAAACCTGAAAATGAGCATTTTATCGCCGATCCGCACACATTCGTCGACAATGCCGAGGGCGATCGCCAATTTGTACCCGTTTTCGACGTCTCCTTTTTGGTAGTGCATCATTGATTGCTCTGCCTAAACATTTCACATTCCCATTTCATAAGAAATCCGAAGAATATTTTTAAAAAATTTGAATTTGGGGAAAAACTTGGAAAAAAAATTTTAAGCTCTGTTTTTCAATAAATCTGGGAAGCATTCTCGTCCAGTGTGAAGAATCATTATTCCAGTTTATGACAATTTCCCTGACCCAATCATATTTGAGCGTCTGATCATCAGCGTCGGCGTCGTCGACAAGCGCACTGGCCAAAGTTAGTCGTCCCGTAGTCGTTTTTCCTGTTTTTCTTTTAGATTTCGTCGGAGTTCCCGCCGCAAAAGGATCTTCAGAGCCGTTTCTGAACCGCCGAAATTTGATTTTTTTCGAGAAGAAAATTGTATCGAAAAATGATTGTTTCATTAATTTCCGCCTAAATTTTTTGGTTATTTTCCATTTAACTGGAGAAAAATCCACTGAAATTAAAACTATTGAAACAAAAGACCCCTTGATTAACAGCGAATATAAAAATTGGGATAAAATCGCTATTCCTTGAGCCTTTTTTTTATTTAAAACTTTTCTTTAATAGACGATTTTGAATCAGAAAATGAAACCATATGTTTGCAATTGAAGTAAAAAACCTAAAAAATTGTTTTTCCTCCACTTTTAACAGTAACCTATTCATTTCCCCTGAAGAGTTTTTGCTTTACAAACTGTTTCATAACTTTTTAGCCAACACAGTTTTTTTTTCACTATAACAGCTACAAATAAACTGTTTTTTTCTGGAAAAACTAACTTTCCGGCGCCGTAGTACTGTCCAGAAGATCCAGGAGATGAGCCCCAATGGCCGTTGAAGCCGTTGAAACCTGTCGGATTTTGTTGGCCAAACTGGTTGGGAAAGCCGAAAAGAGGCATGTTCTGGTAGGGCTGATTGAAACCGCCGCCATTTCCAAACTGATTGTTCGGATAGACGTTTTGAGGCTGTTGTTGTTGTTGATCGACGTTGGACTGTTGATTCTTAAAGAAAACATTGATTTAACGATAAATGAAGTCGGATGAGTCATCAGAATTATCTATATGTAAAAAAACGTTTTGTCCTTTTGCGTTTACTTTAACGGTAAATTTTGCACTAAAAGCGAAACTTCAATCTAAATCGTTCTGCGAACCCGAAAGAATTTTTTTTTCCCTATTATCTACCTTCTGAAATTCTTTCAACAGATGCTTGAAAGATATTGGCAGAAGCTTGAATTTTCAAAGTGCAAAAAATTGAGCAATGAAGAAAAATAATAAAGTTTTTTTAAATTTCATAAAAATCAAGCTGTCCTAATTTTCATATTTTTCTCAAGACTGCGGAACATTTTCAGAGCTTCGAATAGTCCATTTTTCTTTGGCCACGAGCATCCGGAAATCGGGAATTTAGTGGAAAGAGCTCTTAAACTCGAGATTTCAAAAGGTTTAATATTTAAATAGTTACTAACTTTTCTGTTTTCAAATCATTCATTTTTTTAGTTTTCAATTTTAAGAAGCACTCTTGAGAAAAAAGCGAACCATTTGCTCATTCCGCTTGTTCCGTTCCTCTTTTCTTCGGTCCAGCATACTCTTCAAAATGTCCGGATGGTTCCATATCTGCAGAAAAAAAAAATGAATTGAGAAGAAAAAACATGAAAATAACCCTAGAGCACGCGGCGAAAGCCTTTAAAGGATTGAAAACGTTGCCCGTGTTGCCGGCACTTAGTTCAGCCTTGGCGTAGAGGACGAAGCTTCTGAAATCCACAAAAGTTCTTTCAAGGATTAAATATTTGAATCTATCTGAAAACGAATCAAAAAAAGAAAAATAGAGAATGAAAATAGAATTTTTCAATGACTTAAAAAAAACTAAGATAAGGATATTCAAAAAAATAAAATAAAACAAAAACCTGTACAACAGCCGCTGAATATTACTTTTGCGTAGTAGAACGACATATTCTTTGCTTGGAGGCAGGATTGATTTCAGCAATATGTGCGTTCTTCTAAAAAAAAAAATCGCAATTTTTGCACACTTTTTAAGCTTCATAAATCGAAACCAAGATCTATTGCAAGGGGCTGAAAAAACGGTCCCTAGTCAGTGAAATTCAATATCGTTCACAACAAAACTCTATCACGATTACCAAAAGCCCTGTTCCCTACTAAAAAAACTCTGAAAATATCCCAAACCTTTGAACAAAACCCTTCAACATCTCAACGAGTACATGAGTTCGCTGCCGCGCCAACTTGATATCATCTGAAAAAATAAGAAATACTATTATTTATCTCCGTCTATAAAAAAAATCAATTTAGTTTCGAAATTCTAGAGTTTTTGCGGTAGTCACTGATTTCATGAAATTCTCTGAGGACTAAAAAAAGGGACCATTTATTGAAGATTATGAGTCGAAAAGTAAAAAAAAAGTTAAGAATGCATTATTTTTTTTGTGTTTAGCGGAATGAGCACGTGATGTGTACATATAAAAACTATAATCAAAACTTTTTCGTTTGTTCTTTTTTTTGAACTTCATTTAGTGATTTTTCGAACTTTGTTCTTTAAGCGTGATATTTCGGTAAAATTCAACTTATTGAAAATAACTAAAGCAATTTTTTTTCAAAATGAAAGTATGAAACTCGAAGAACATAATCTCGGCACGATCATCGGTTACCCATAAAAAGGAAAAATAGCACAACACAAAAAGAATCAGCACTAAAAATTAAAAATATAACTAACCAATTGTTTTAAAATTATGAAAATAATCAGTACGGTCTACCAAAACTGAAAACTATCATTAGGAAAATCAATATTACACACGTACAAATAATGTATGAACTAATTTATTTTAAAGTATAGCTAAACAAAAAAATCCATTTCACAAAAGACTCACTGGGAGTCGAATCAACGCATTGGCCGTTCTTGATTGGCCTTTCGAAGCGATCGGCGAAAGTTTTCTTCTCGCCAAGATATTTCGGCCGCACGAAATCCACCATACAGTAATATTCCATCAGGTTGTTCTGCAGTGGGTAGCCGGTCAAAACGACGCGTCTTCTGGAGAATAATTCAGTAACGGATGATTTTTCATTCTTATGATGAGACCTCGATTTGATGGAACTCAGTGAGGTGGCGATATCCGTGTTCAGGTTTTTGATCTTATGTCCTTCATCACAAATAACCAAATTTGGTCCGGGGTCCAGCAGAGCTTGGCGAATCACTGTAAAGGAACAGAGAAATCGACGATTTCAAATCATTTCAACTTCAGTCACTAGGAACTGACTCCAAGATTTTTCCCTCCAGATCAATGAAAAGGATTTGTGGAAGCAAGGCGTTACAAATTTAGAATGCGAAGAAAAAAAAAATGCATTTACAGTGGTCCTAATGAAAGAAGAAAGCCTTTTAAAAGATTTTTTTACTTATTGCCTCACTTTTCAAATGTTTGGAGCACTCTGCATTCTCTGTGCTTCCAACGAAGCTCTCACATGTACGCGCTATTTCCAAGTTTCAGACATCGACAGTGAGAAAAAAAGATACGCAGAGGTCAGAATTTCTCAACTAGGTATGGCGGATAAGCCTTTTTGCAGTTCTTTAACCAAAGTAACTTTTCGAGAGAGGTGCTTACATTGATGAGCCTCTTGTTTGACACGACCGCTTGGCGTGTATCCAACTTCAGCCTCCTCAATGAAATCGTCGGCCTCCTTGCCGCCGTTTGACACCCCGTTCATGTTCAGCTTTATCCGATCCTTCTTCTTTTTCGGCTGCGTGTTCCTGATCAACAACCGGAACATGTCGTATCCGATCAACAGGACGCCGCCTTTCGTTTCCCATTGTTCTGAAAAACGTCCGAGTGTTTTTCTAGTCGAAGTTGATGACGAAACCGATGAGATTGACACGTTGATCGAAAGATTTGACGGAATCTCCAAACAAAAACACTTCGAAAGATCGTATCGCTTCCCCCGATGTTGAAAACCTGCAAGTGGGTGATAAATGATGATATTTTAAAGTTATTATATAAGGTTTTATTATACTTCGTTGAGAATACTCCCTACCAAAAAAACCGAGAATAAAAAGAAATTTTTATTACGAATATAATGTAAGGATTTTCGAAAATTATTTTTTTGAATGTACTATTTCTCTATTTCGAGACTTGAACCATTCAAAAAAAAAAAAATCAAGATCTTATTCTCATACTTTTGAAAAAGCAGGAACAGACTTTTTAAACGTTTTTTCAGAAATAGAAAATTTCTAGCAGCGTTGACTAAAACTTTTTTTTCTCAAAAATCAATATTAAACTGAAAACTGTTTAAAAACCAACCTCGGCATCCATTTGTCGAACTCGGCGTTCCAGTTCTGGATCGTGTTTATTGGCACGATAATCAGAACCTTTTTCGCCTGGGTCGCTCGAAGGAACACATCGGTGAAGGTGATGACCTGTAGAAATCATAGAAGGTGAAACTATCTAAGCAAGCAGAAAACCTGAATAGTTTTCCCCAACCCCATCGAATGCGCCAAAATACAACCGAACCCAGGAGACGATCTATACTCTTCGAGGGACTCGACAATGTTGTCAAACCTGGAAAAAAATTTTGATTTATTCCGTTCGAATCTTTAATATTTATGAAAAATTGGAATATTTTTTTAAATTTTTTTACGCACATGAATCGGACGCCGCCAAGTTGATGTGGCTGCAGAACATGGGTCAGGTGGGGAGCGACGTAAAAATCGGGCTCTTCGGATGGATGACCTGCAGAAAGATCATTCTTTTCAAGGCTTGAAAAAAGTGAATTTTCAAATCAGAAAAAAAAATTGTATCAATAAAACTGCTTCTTCAATCAGAAACCTGTCGAAAAAACCATTTTTTAGAATTTTTGGTATTGCTCTTCCTCGTCTTTCCAATTGAAGACTCGGAAAAAAAGGTTTCTCCACTTTGAATAAAGTCACATAAAACTATGAAAAACGCATTTCTTTTTAAGTTATCGCCTCCCAAACAAGACAATTCTCTAATTTACTCAAATTCATTACATTTTTCGCTTTTTTGCGTACAAATATAAAATGAAAAGCACCCGAATTAACGAGTAGCCGTCCAGAAGTGGTCGTTTCAGTGCTCTCAATGTTGTGAAACTGTCGCATCCTTTGAATTCGCGCCTGTTCTTTTTTGTACTGAGCTTCCATCTGCTCATTATCCGCCTAAAATCCGAAACTCTACTGGAATGAATGAAAACGAAAATCCTCTTTTATTCCCAGCATTTTTTTGCCAACAAAGAAGATCTTTTTTTCTGGGCATCCCTGGAAGTCTTTTCTGAAGACTTCTCGGTGTAAAAGAAAAATATTCTGCAGTATTTTTTATATATCCAAATTTTTTTTTAGTATTTTTTTTCGATCCTCAAACTTACTCGGTCTTTTTCGGCAGTCGCCCAACGATTTCTTCGGCCTGAAAAACAACTTTCTTGACAATAACTGGAAGTTTCAAAACGAACCATAGCCGCTAGCGATGCTATTATTCGAAGAATAAGTGATTCTTGGAACGATTCGTCTGGGAAACTCTTCTTCTTCGTCACTGGACAAGTCGATGATCTTGAATAAAACTTTGAAGACACACTCTTTCTTTTGAAATTTGAGGCAGAAAATATTATCCTGACATGCCTAATTCTTTTTTTTCTCGATCAATTGATGAAAAATCGACTGAATCACCTCGGGAGGAGCTTTCGAAGCGGAAGAATTCGCATTGGAAGGACCCGGAAAACCGCCGCCCATATGCTTCAACTCGATAATGTCATTGTCGTAGTTGGTCGGCAGCGGCTGACCATTCTGATACTGAAAATTCGAGGAATCCTTATGAGCTTTAACAAAAAAATATTTTCATAGAGTAGAAAACTGGAACTCAAGAAAACATTTTCTGCTGATTTTTGAGATTCCTTCTTGTTTTATAGGATTATTTTGGTCTCTTCTGTGCTACGACATAAGCGAATTTTTTTCAGAAACCTTTTTGCTTTTTATTCCATTTATTTTTAATGAATTAGAATTTATAGCTGATTTATGAAATTAAAATCAATACGAAAAAATACGCCCTCTAGTCGTATCACTTTTTTTCAGCGTAATCATTTTTTTAAAATGAAAAATAGAGTATTTGGATACCCCGAAAAGTTCAGGTTCAAAGTCGGAACTGTCCAGGGTGAGCTGCGGCAAGGGGTTCGTGTTCTGGAAGAGAGCCTGCATCTGCGAGATGTGGTCGCTCGCATTGTTCTGGAATCGAAACATAAACTCAAAGATTCATTTTTCCCGTTCTATCTCATTCTGTAAGAACAAAAAAATGTCAAAAAAAACCTGTCGACTCTTTTCCAATCTTTCCAATCGTTCTTTCTCCCTCCGTTGGGCTTCCTGAGCGCTTTGATCCAAAGTCTCATCATCAAAGGAAGTCCTGAAGAAAAATTTCATTGCTCTCTGTTTCTGATAACAAAGAATTATGTTATCTTGATCTTAATGACACCAGGTTGAGAATTATTTTTTTTCTCAACGTTTCGATTACAAATATTTTTTTCGGCTCTTGTTTCAGGTTCTCATCTTCCTTTCCGAATGTATTCTTTAAAAAGAAAAAAGATTATATATAAATTTAATAAAAATAACTCGATATTAACGGTTTCGAAAGTCCTGCCGTGTTGATAGGGACTCCGCGACACATATAATGATCGTCAGAGAGTGATAAACATAATTAAATTTTGGAGAGTCAGAGATAATTAGGCATTCATCAGAAATTAAATTGAAAATCAGTTCGAAAAACATATCCTATTAAAACTCCTATTCAAGATACATGTCCCAACTTCACAAAGATTTTGAACAGAGCAGCTATTTTTGCTTTAATCAGGAGCTTCTCAACTTTCTAGTTATCAGAAGTTGCTGGAAACTGATTAGAGACCGCCACAAGCAAAATCAGTTACATATTTAAAAAAAAATAGAATTTCAAGTGAAAATCACGTACCAAGTCTATGTACGGTTTCCATACCTTATATGCTTCCTTTTTTGAGCCTTCTTGGTCTGCGTCGGGATGTGAACGTTGAGCAGCGGAGCTCCGTCTTCTCCGAATTCGTCGCGGCTCCGAGGCCTCGGAGCCGAGCCGTTGCTCGTCGAGGCGCTGCTCTCAGGTCGTGACGTCACATCCCCCTTGTCTGAAAAACGCAAATCACAAAAAAACTCCTAAGTTGATAGGAATTAGAATTCATTCGACTCCCCTTTGACCTTTGAGCTCAAATCATCATGCCTCTTAAAGCTTTTTTTCTGTGAAATCCAACTTTCTCTACAAACTACGAGAAAATAGTCTCCCATGCATTTTAAACTAAAAATCAGACTCGGAATGAAAAACAGTTATACAAATTAAAAATGCACCTGATTCAATATCTGGCTGATCGAACACATCACGAGAATTTTCCGAGTCCAGAGAAGACTGGCGTCGGTTGAAAATTTTCAACGAGGATTCGTCTGACATGACGGTATGGTCATTTGCAACAATACTGAAAATCTTAAATCACAAATTACGTAATAAGAGGTTGAAAAAACAGTTTTGCAGCGTAAATGGTATGAGCGAACGATAGAAACCGGAAAATGAACTAAATGTGTCGACTCGTCTGACATTTTAGCTCAAACGAAGCCGTTTGAGCTAAAATCATTAACAAGATGACACCATGATAAAGCTTATCATTCAGTATATAAATTCGCATTTTGTTCTGAGGGCATTACTCATAGTTAGTTGAAATGCAAGAAAAAAGTGTGTATTTCTTGTTTTCCCATTTGGCAGGATGCCATTACGGTGGGGCGCACTTACCTCCTCTTTCAAAGAAAGGCGGAGTTATTTTGGAATTTGAAAGAGCGGGAAATTAAAACTGGATTTCGAAAGAAGAAGAAGATGATGCGAAGGAGAAGTTTTTATATCAAGTTTGAAACATTTTTTTTAAATCAATGAAGCTGTGTATATTTTACCTCTGAATTAAAAAAAAACCTTGTATGATTTCAAAGAGTCTTCAATGTAGTGTCCAAAAGGGAATAAATGAACAACTTGACAAATTTGGATTTCACAGAAAAAAAAAACTATATATACATAATACTGAAAATTTCTGACTTCACGGGACACAATCGGAATTGCGGGCTTGAACTCTTGGAGAGAGCCGACGACTCCATTTGTGCTCCGTCAGTCTGATAGTTTATTTCACTTCTTTTCAACATTATTCTGCCAAAACGTGAAACCACTCAAGAAGTCTATAATTTTTTCCACTTCACAAGGTCGACCTCCTCCAAAACTTTCAGGTATCACTAACTGGATCATAAATTTGAAAGTATTTTTGAAACCAGTTTCCGGTTGTTCGCATCCGGACCTTGCTGACACGTCTCCGGATATTTTGAATCGACAGCTCTACTATAGTAATAATTCAAGCCTTTCTTTCTCTTTCTCTCTCAGTGGCTTCTTTTTCCAGTAAAAAGGTTCTCAAGTTCGTTTTTTTTTTCCGGGAGCGTTGCCAACGTTGCCTGGGATGCTCGTAAATCTCACCCACAATTTATATAATTGCGAAAGCTCCACCCAATATCCGCCTTCTCACATATGACGGCTCAGTTTCAGTTTTTTTTTCCGCTGGATTCCTCTCTCCCTTTGTTCACACATTTTCAAGTTCATTGTTTATTTCACTTACTGATTGATGAAAAACCGCAAAATTTTCAATTATTAAAATATTTTTTGTTAGACAAACATCACCAGCTTAGAAACGGAGCGCAAACTATTCACTTTTTACAGAAACATGAAATATGATTTTAAAGCCCATCAAATCTTTTAAGAACTTTTGCTACTAACTCCCACTCCTCGATTCATCAAAATGAAAAAGTGTAAAAGCGCACAAAAGAAAAATGTATTAAAAAAATTAAAAGAAAAAGAAAAAAAAAGTATAGTTCTCGTAAAGTTCGATGCTTTTCGTGTAGACACTCTATATGCGTAATTTTTGTTTACAGAATGAGTTAACCCGAAATTCGTAGTTTTTAGCTTCCTCGTAACTTGAGTTTTTTGGAGCACCTCTCGCCGTAGTTTTATTTATTCATTGAAAAAATCCAAACGACTGGCGGGCCCTTCTCCCCACGTGTTCAATTATTCTCATGCGCAGAGTCATAAAAGATGTTTCATACGAAAACTAGAAGAAATGTTTTTTCAGGCAATGTCTTCGAGCAATTTTCTAATGATGAAGTTTCGTCAAATGCTCCCAAAGGTTGGTGGAATAATAAGAAGAGTTTATTCAAGTTCAAACCGTAAAAAAATGAAGATCATACAGAAAAGGGAAACGATGTTATTTCTCAGCAAGTCCCACTGCCACTTCATTCAGCCAGTTTAGGACTTTTTCAAGGAACGTATTTTTAACATTAACTTAAAACTATCAAACTCAAAAAACCTGTTCAATTTTCGATCTAACTCAAAACCCCCGTCATAAGTTCGCTTGAAAAGGCGTGTTCAAGCAATTTGAATGGCCGAGTTCCGGAGCCTCTGTCGAGTCATTTTGTCCCTTGGAAGCCCATTTTCCTCGATTCACCTCACCTACACATAAATTTTGGCTTCAATGTTTTTGGTGGACAGCTTGAAAACTCGATTTGCTGAGGTTTGTACCGTTTTTAATGAGCGAGTTGGGGTTTCTTAATAGAATTTTAATTCAAAAAAAACTTATTTTCTCTCAAAATGCTTTTTTTGAGAAAAAAAAAATTCGTATATAGTTTTTTTTTAGACTTCGAACTTTTGAAGCTCTTCCTCTTCGTTTTATAAATGAAATATTTTCCAAATGGGTTTTTTTTCAGAAAATATTCAATGTCCTATGTCATTTTGTAGTTTACAACTGACTTTAAATTTCAAATCAAAAAGTTTAGGCCTCGACGATCTTCGTCCACATCGCCTTGGTAGTTTCGGTTTCAGTCTATACTTTATTTGGCGCTTTAATTATCCAACATCTAGAGTCTCCAGAAAGAATGTTAGTTATTTCTATTGTTTTGATAGAAGTCGAAGAAATAATTATAGTCGGAGTCAAATGAAGCGTGAACTGTGGGAGCCACCAAAGGCCGAAAAAGTCTCTGCGAGTCTATTTGGGACCTGAAATCGCCGCTCTTGACCCTCAGGTGCCTTTTGATTCTCACACATGTCAGAGAAAATAGCTTTTTTTCAACTTGCAATGAGATTTCAATTTGAAAATAATTGACTTCATAAAGTTTATGAAAGGTGGTTTCAGGTTCACAACTGTCTTATTGCCACTTTGGGAGCAATTTTCGCCGATTCCAAGTGTTCTCAATACACTTTGGACAAGTTGAACATTGCAAGTATCGACAGGTGTTATGAAAATGCCAATATCGCATCTCCAGTCATTGGACCTGTGTTAGGTTTCTCGTTTTTTTTTCAAAACTGTTAAATTTTTAGTATGAATTTTAGAATTTTTCTATTGTAACTATTAACTTTATAATGAAAAATACACTTTTCAGAGCCAAAAGGAAAAGCTCCGGAAGAGGACGACGTCGAAGTGGAACCAATTGAGAAGTGGTCCTTTGGAAATGCTCTTATATTTGCATTCACGGTCATCACTACCATAGGTGAGGCATTTTTCGTAATGATAAAATTATCTTGGATATAAAAACGCAGAATCCTAGTAAGCATAGGAATCTGGGCATTTTTGATTTTCCATTTTTTTCTTCTCAGGCTCAAGTTTTTTATTTAATCTTTGATTTTTATAAAAAGTGGCCGCTCTAGGGGAGTAGGCGAATCATTTATTGTTATGAACTCTGGGAGAAGAAGCATTTGCATGCGAAAAAAAAAAATCATGAATCCGCGTTTTCTGAATGAAAAAATATCAACAGAGGTCCCATCAGTTTTTTTTAAAAAGGTCTTCGGAGTATTAAAAGCAAAAAAAAAGTTAAATGAACCTGATACGAACCACTCAAACCTTAGAGCTTAAGGGTCAGAAGCACAACCCCTTCACCACCTAAAATTTATGATTATCCCTCTAGGAAGCCCAGGAAGTTCTAAAAATAATACTTTGAAGTAAAGGATCTCACTCAACCAAATCTGATAGGATATGGCCACGTGGCGCCTGAAACTTTCGAAGGTCGTCTTTTCTGTATCATCTACGGCGTCATTGGCGTCCCGTTCACCCTTCTCACTATTGCCGATCTTGGAATGTTCCTGACGAAAATTCTTCGAACTTTTTTGCTCTTCTGCAAAAAGATGGTTCGGAGGGCTACAAATGTATATAGATGCAAGATTGTGCTTTTATTTTTCAATTTTCAAGGGAAAATCACCGAGACCTCTGAAATCGCCGGAAAAGAACAGTTCTGAGATGAAAACGGCCAGGGAGCCAGGTGAAGAAGACGAAGAGGAAGGTCCGCCGGAAGATGAAGAAGTCGAGACAAGGCAAGTTTTTTGAAACTGAACTTTATCTTAGTATTTATGCAAGAAGTAGATATAGTCTGTTCAAATTCGTCAACGATGTCAATCAAAAAAGCTCTGAGGATGGCTCGCTTTTTGATTGGTTCATCGCATCATTAGGGACGGAGCTTGAGCGACGTCTTGTCAATCAAAATCTGACAGACTACATTTGGACAGTTTTTTTTTTCAAATTAGTCGCGACTGAGTACAACACCATAATTTCATTATTTGAAGATTCTTATCAGAACTCGAAAACACCTCTTTCGAAATCATCGTTCAATTTCTGATCTGAAAAAGAAGTAATTTTGAAACGTAGGCAAACTGACTAGAAAAATGTATAAAATTCTGAAAAAAGTACCTTGAAAAGAAAATTTTTTTGGAGCTTGTACAAAAAACAAATACGATAGAGGGAAAGAACTATTCCATCATACACATTTTTGAATATTGCCCAATGTATCGTTTGGCTGCCTTTCTTCGTTAAGCATAAGTTTCCTATCTTTTTCGTTTTCAGAAAAACCGACGAGTCCATTCTTCTTGGCGTAACTTTCACCTGTTACTTGGTCGCTGGAGCGAAGATTCTCTCAGTTTATGAGCCGGAAATGGATTTCTTCAAAGCGATCTACTTCAACTTTGTTACCTTGACCACAATTGGATTAGGCGATTTTGTACCGAAAAGGTTTTATTTTTTTCATTTCAGAGCTTAAACTCAATTTCCAACAGTTTCGATTACCTGTTCGTCACGTTGGTATACATTGGGATCGGACTGGCGTTGACCACGATGGCCATCGAAATCGCCGCGGACCTTCTGAGGAAAATTCACTACGCCGGCCGCAAAATGGAAAATGTTGCCAATACGGCCGTCTGGTTCGGCGGCAAAAAGTTTTCAGATTCCTGAGACGAAAATCGTATTTTTTTTTTCTTCAGAATGTCTATGAAGAACTTGGTTAAGTACCTCGGCGATCAGTTCAATATTCCGGAATCAGAACTGGCCAATTTTGAACTTGACAAGTTTGTCAACAATGCAATGAAGGTGGAGAAGGGCGAGATAAAGACTTTGAGGGTTGGTTTATTCTTTAACGTTATGAGAAAAAAAAAAAACGATCTTCAATTTTCAGAAAGAACCTTCTCCAGCTCCCGTTGTTTTTCGTGAGAAACGGGCGTTCAGCTACAGCAACGTTAGGAAATCCAACGAAAGCAAGAATTTGCACTATATGGATGATCGGATGAGCAAGTTGACTACAGGTTTTTTTTGAAATAAACTTTTGATAGCGACCGCCAAGGTCCGCCCACTAATGCCTCTAGGGTGGCTAAAAGAAATGTATATAGTTTCGATTGCCTTGTAATTCATTGCAAAGAGAGACTTTTTGAATGAGTTGATTTTATTGGGGACAACGTGCTCTTGAAACGATAGAAAAACAGACATAACCTGGTTGATGGAAAGAGTAGACAGGCCACGCCCCTTTTTGTCTCAAGCTAGCCGTGAATCGGTTATCCTTATAGATTTACTAGTAAAGCTAAATATTTTATGTTTCAAAGCACTTTTTGGGGGAGTTTAGAAACGACCCTTCTCAGAAAATTCTCGAAAATCGTCCCATGGCAATGTGACTTCAGAAAGTGCAAAAGCTTCTAAAATTTGAATTTCCCGCATTCCTTGACTACTGTGGATGAACTAATCTGGTTTTCTTTACTTTTCAGACTTGACAACGGTTCATGAGACCACGAGGACAGTTGATACTCTTCAAGCTCTTGCCAATGACTCGGATATGGTATTTTCCCGCTTTCAAGTTCACAAAAAGTATTGATAAATTTTAAGGTACCCCGACTCGATCTCGACTATCAATTCACGAACATGACTTCGGCACCGACATCTTTCGACGAAGATTACTTGAAAACTTTCACTTTTGTGAGATCTGGCGAATTTTGATGTTTTTTAATAAAAGTTTAAAAAAAAAAGTGAAACATAAAATCTTCGTTCGATTCCACTGAATCGTCCACATAGGATCTTTTCTTCGTGGTTCCTTGAAATTTAAAAATCTTATCAGAATAAAACGAAGGTTATTTCCACAATTGATGATACATGTCAAAGTAGACATCGTTTTCATTATGATTAGTTTTTCTGACGTCGGTGAGCTTCTGCCTTCGATTCCTGTTGCAGTATCTCAGAATTTCTTGAACGACGATTGGCGACAGAAAATTGTAGACAGGAATCAACTGAAATTTACAGTCAAGGCAAGTTTTAAAATAAATCTCCTCAAACATCACTGAAACTTCAATTTCATTTGGAAGTTCTTGGGTTAGAAAATATTTTTCTGAATTTTCGGTTCCCCATTCACGCTTCCTGTCTAGCTAAATGAATACAATGACTCCTATTTCTTTGAAGCTCATAGTTTAGCTCTTTATCCATGGAGCGCATAAGTTCATTCTGCCTGCGGCTATTTTTAACGATGCCTAGTATTGGAATATAATTTTCTTTTTGGTGTTTTTTGGGAGTTTTTTTTTTCATTTTCTTATGGTGGTTCAAACTGGAACCATTTTCGTCAAAAATTTGATGAAATAAGTATGAAAAATAAAAAAACTAGAGGAGCAATGCCACTTTTTTGTAATTTATTTTCAGTTATTCAACTTCAGTTAAATTGAGATCTTATAGATAGCGACCACAGACCTATTTTTCGAACTCAAGCTAGCTCCTCGTTTTTTTGTTATAAAAAAATAATGATTTTAACATGTAGTATGCGAAAAACAGAAAAAGAAAAAAACGAAAAAAATATTAAGAATAAGAGGAGAAAAACAATATTTAAAAAGTAATTTAAAAAGCAAAAAAATTTTTTTGCACTGAAATTTTGGTTTTGCGAATTCTCATGCAATCTGCGCGCACCCTCATTTGCAAGGTCGGCACGGTTTCAGGAGCCAAAAAGAGAAGGTTTTACGAGCTGTAATCCCACTTTACCATCATTTTTCGTCTCAGTGACTGCACAAATACAGCCTACAGTGCTCTTTTGAATCCCATAAAAATGTAATTTCGCCTACTTTTATTCACCTTTTTTGTTGAGAAAATTTTTTCGGCGATCTTGAATTTTCGATTTTATTGCTTTATTTGTTTGAAATTTAAAAAATATTATAAATGAGTAAGAAAAAACGCGTGTCTTCGACCGGGAAATGTTTCAAAATTACTCCCAAAAAATTCTCCACCTTTTTTACCACTCAAAACAGTACATTTGCTTGTAGTTGTCAACAAGTATTATTTGAGCAATGTTTTTCTCAATATGAAAAAAGCATAAACATCTCCCAATACTGCATTGCAATTGAGAAAACAATTTTTGACTTTGCGCGCCTCTCAATTTTTTCGGCGAACATAGAATTTTTATTTTTTTGGCTTAAAAAATTGCATTCACTGTTTATAAGTAGTTTTCAAAAAATCAACTTTGTCCGCGACCTAGATGAATATTAAAACGCAAAATTAAGTTTATTTTTCGAACTCGCCTCACTATTCCGTACGACACTCCGTTGAAACACATGGAAAGTACCTAAAAACCTTTTCTACATTCATGCTGAAAATTTCATCCTTTTTCATTGTTTCTATCGGCTGTACGAAACAATCAAAGACGGAATACCAAAAAAATGGCCTTTTTTCCTTCGCGAAAAGGGGCGGGGCTTTGCGGTCGCTACTTATAGATGTTTTTCGGTAGTTACCGCGATCGAAAAGACAATCCCATATTTTTGTCTAACTTAATATCGAATTCTTAAAAATAAAAGAAACTTACATAGACGGCCGAAACGAGGCCACGATGGTCGATGGGATCGAGAGACTCTCGAAAATAGTCCAAAATTCCTGCGACGAGGCTGAAAACGACGAAAAAGACGAGATGGAAGGAGAACAAGGGCAAGAGGAGCTTCAACGTCGTCACGTTCTCCGTAAGCTGACTTTTCCGCTTCAAACTATCGTAGGTTCTTCTGAAAATGGCTAAATTTTGAACAGGTCACAGAAAGATTCGTTCTCTAGGAAATATCATCATAATAACACGGTTTTTTTCGTTCACTCGAATTATTTTTCAAAGTTTCAAAGCCTAGAAAAGCTTACTTTCTAAGCTGCCGAATATTGTAGACAAACAAGGCGATAGTGAAGAAAAAAGTGAAAATGATAACTCCAGTGATAATTCTGTTCATTCTCCCGGCGTCCTCTAAAGTCGTTTCGCTGGCTCCAGAACAATAAATGAGATAAGTGCCGAATGGATATTTCCTCAGGCAAAATCCGGCGAGGGATAGGCCAACGAAGCTCTGAAAATTTGGAAGTTAGTTGTTCGAATGAAAAAAAAAGAAGTCCTGAAGAAGATTTTCCGGGGAAACCACATGTAAACGGCGTATTTGTTCCTCATCAAAACATTGCTTTTCTTTTTGAAAACTTTTTTGAAAAAAATACCAAAAAGCCGACGAGAACGTAGCCTGTGAAAGACGAACAGTCGGCGTAGGTTTCCTTTCGAATCGTTGCGATTGCTCTTTCTACAGCCATGCCGAATTGAAGTAGAGAGTCCATTCTAAAATTGATGTTTAGCGGAAGTTTTTTTTCACTTTTTTTTCCGTTTTTTTTCTATTATTCATAGAGTGTTTGCCACAGCTTGAAACTTTCTGCCTTCTTGCGCCTCTCTTTTCCCTCACCGGTGAGGTCAGAGAAACATGGAAATAACAAGAAAACCCATGAGCGCAGAGACGAAGAGGGCGCAGAGAAGTCATGTCGTTTCAAGCCGTGGCGAATAGACTATTGATGGTTATAATTTTGTGGCTACCTTTGAATTTTGAACTTACACATAAGAGAAGATGATTGGAAGGCGAAAAGCTACACAAACGAAGGCCGGAACGACGGCGTCGCAGGGTGGCAGTAAGGCCCAGGAAATCAAGTGGAAAGACTGAAGTTTTCTTTTTTTTTAATTTGAAAATGTTGAAATTTTTTTCGATTTGAAAAAACTGAAATTATTTTGATTTAATCCTATCCCTCGCTAAGATTTGAAAGGTTCGAGTTGTACTTGAAAATTATTGATGAGAAATGCACAGAGGGTTTTCGAATGACGTCATTGTACTTGACAAATCTGAACAAAACTTACCAAGAGAGTGATGACGAGAACGCAATGCACCATGTTGAAGACGACGAGGCTCCGGACGAACGTCTGTATCTTTCTTATTTTGTGGTTCTGAGTTCTTTAAGATATTTCAATTTTTCCCCGAGCTACGGAATCAGAAACTAATAAGACCTTGAACGAAGTTAAGATCTCTCTGAATCACTAATTTGTTGTCGAAAGCTTTACGTCAAGTTTGGATGAATCATAAGAATTAATGAACTGCTTGAAAGTTGCGTATTCGAAAAAAATTATAGATTTTATAACAATATAAACTGCTTCCTAAGATCAGATAAGGTGTTCTGAATCATAGAGGCCAATTTTTTTAAATTTTGAAGGAATAAATTCATATTTTTTTAAAGAATAATGAATTAATTTTTTCAATTTTTTTCAGTTTTACTCAACTAAAAAAATACCGTGGTCGCACCTGGATTAAATCACTGCCGTTCAAATTTACATTTTAGTTTAGATGCTATTCCAATTAATATATAATGAGATGCACAAGTCTTTTTTGTGGGACGATATGATTACGAGACAACTATATTGTATTTGGTTGCCTTCGCCAAGGTTTATTTCTTTCTAGTTTCTCAAAAACTAGACGACGTCTATTCCAAACCAAAAAAGCCGGCTACAAATCATTATTTAATACTTGAAAGCTGTCTGGCTTGTCTGCGCTCTCTTTTCTCTCTCCGCCGTTTTTTTTTCCTTTCTTTCAGAGCCTAGTCAAGGTAAAAACAATGCAGACATGACAGAATGTTAAGGATTAAGGAACTTGTTCAATCAAGAAAGAAACCAACCTTGAAATTGTCATGATAGTATATGATTTTGAAGGAGAAGGCAAGAAGCCGTAGATTCGTAGCGATGGCCAGGACGGAGAAGAACATCTGACCAGCCATGGCGCCGAGTTGGAACCGGTTAGTCGATATCGCAGCTTCATAGGCTCCGCAAGTCATTTTTCGAAAATCGGAATCGAATGGGTGACTAGAAAGGATAACAATTCCCAGTGTGTGGGAGTTTCTTCCGGATAAAGTTGCTTTTTCTCACGATTTCCGGCTGATTCGATAATGATAATGAGCCATTCACCGGCTTTTTTCTCTGCGAGAAGACGCTGCAAAAGTAGTTTCTTCGGTTCGTTAGCTCTGGGAAGTAAATAGACGTCAGGAGAGGCTTTGCCAAATATATCATGAGCTATAGAAACAATGAATCACAAGAGATGTTGTTTGCGGGCGAAGAAGGATGTTTTTAGGCGGAGATTAGGAATAGTTGAATAGGAAACCACGACTTTTTCTGAGAGGAAGTGTAAAAAACTTGAATTTTTCGATCTGCCCTGGAAAGTGAACCTTTTAGTCTTAGCATTGAACTTTTTCTTCGAAGAATATAACGATTCAAGGCGTAGGGATATGAAAAACGGAGCCAACAATGTGAGATTGAGGGGATATGCCAATTAAAACGGACTTTGAAGGACGTTAAGCGAACTGAATTTCTCCCAGCAGATTATGAGCACAAAAATATTTTGGATATGAATGCGAAGTGCAAAATTCTGGTCTTTGCAGGTATTTTTAAATCATTAAATTTTACAAATTCTTTCTTAAGTAGAGACTTTTAGAAAATAAAAATAAAATTTCAAATCGCGGATGGTTCTGTGAATCAAAATTAGTGGGAAGTGATATTTCTCCAAAATGCATGTTTCCAGGAACCTTTCAGAACTGACGTGTTTTCTGAAAAAACGGTTTTAAAATTTTGGAAGTCTTCAAAATAAAACGAAAACTTTTTGAATTGTGTTCTCTTTCTGATTTTTTTTTTCATCAACAGTAGTATGTTAAAAAAAAGAAACTAGGAAGATTTAACCGAACAAAAATGGAGCAATGTCTAATTCTCGAATACTTCCTACTGTCAATCATTTGAGCTATTCAAGCTTTGATTTACCCTACAAAACAGACTTCCAAGCCAGACTTTCGCATGATTAATTTCCTTGAGAATTGGGGGAGTGGGTGTGAGCAAATTAACAACTTTCAATGTGGGAAAAGTAACAAAAAAAATCCGCAAAAAGAGTTTATTCGAAAAAATGGACACAAGCGGTAATACTCGGTTTATCTTTCAACATCACCAATGTTTCTGATAAATTCCAAAATAGACTTCGCGAACGTCGACTTGAACTCTTCTGGCGGCGTCGAGCTTCTTTTTCCGAATATTGGCCCCTCTTTTCAAGATTCCTTGCACGATTACTGGAGATATCAAAGTGTAGATAGGGATCATCTGAATAGAAAATGTCAGAAATTCAGAAATAACTTTTGAAAGAAAGCGGGGAGCTCTCACTCTTATTTTTTACAGGACTCAAAAAAAAAAGAAACTAACATAATTAACGGTGACGAAAGCTCGGAAGAGAATTGCATTGGAAATCGCCTGTTGAATATAATCCAAATGAGACGTTGTGCCGTTGAAAACGAGGAAAAGGGAAAAGTGGAAGACAAAAAGCGGAAATAACAACTCCAGCGCCTCGACGTTCTCCGAAATCTGACTCTCCCGTTGGAGATTGTGATAGAACTTCCTGAAGTTGAAACTTTCTAAGCGCCTCAGACGATCAAACTAAACACTCTGAGTTGAAGTCGGTTGATGGCGTAGAGGACGGCGGTGTAGACGATGACGAGAACTTCGACGGCGCCAAAGACGTAGGTTACGGTTCTCATGTCGTCAAAAACTTCTTTTGATGCTCCAGTGCAGTAGATCGAGGACGTGTCGAAATTGTAGTTGCGTTGTGAGAATACGGCACTTGCTATGCCCACCGTCGCCTGTAAAGTTTTCCATTCCTTGAAAATAGTTTCATGTTTATCAAGTTGCAGATGAGGTATATAAAAGCAGCTGATCGTTGGAACGCTGAACTATCAAAAGAAGATCTAGTTGTTCTACAAACCACTCTAGATCAACAACAGTTTCGCGAACAATTATTTAATTGTTCTTTGATTTAGCAGAGAATTGGAACGTAGTTTCACAGATGTTTCTGTGAGGACGACATGATCACTTACCATTATGAATAGGATAACATATCCCCCAAGTGTCGAACATTGACCATAGGCCGTATGAAGAACTGTGGCAATCGTCCTCTCAATGGTCATCCCACAAAGAAAAAGAGAGCTTATCCTGTAATCCTTTTCAAAATTTCCATATATTTTTTTGCTCCGTTTTTCGCGATTTGAAACAACTTTTTTTCTATGAGCCCTCTACGTCTCTCGGCGACTCTCTCATTTTGACGTGTTGTTTCACGTTCTCTGACCTCTCCGGTGAGGGAAAAGAGAGACGCAGACACTCGAAAAATGTCAAGTAGAAACAGAAAGGCTCTACCGCAATATTTTAACAATAATGAAAATTCAGAAAACAATTTTTCGCAAGTTTCCGCTACTAGATACTCTTTTATACGAATTAAAGCAAGTCGCTTAGGATCGGATACTTCAATCGACCACTTTGCAGCCGCCGAGCCATTCCACATGCGGCAATGTATTTCCACTTACATGTAGCATGAGATCAATGGTAGCCGGAAAATCAAGCAAACAAAGGCAGGAAGGACGGCGTCGCAAGGATCCAAAGTGAACCACATGAACAAGTGCGTCGCCTGAAAGTTTTGATTCTTCTTTTTTTCCCCCATTTCTACATATTTTCATCAATGACTCCATCATACTCCGCCTATTGAGGATCATACTTGAAAAAAAAATAGAGCATGAAAGAAGACTTTCTTCACTTTCTACTCACGAAAAGAGCTATCTGTAGGACGGAGTGTATCATGTTAGTGACGACAAGTGAATATACGAATAACTGAAATTTAAAAGTATTCGGCTGAATTAAAATGAAAAAAGAAACCTTGAAATTGCTGTGAAAGTAGGAGGTTTGCTTGGCAAACAGGAACAGACGAACATTTGAATATACGGACAATATTGAAACTATTATTTGGTAGATCATTGCGGAAATTTGATAAATGTTCGTGCTGATGCTTCTTTCATACTCGCACGACATACCTGAAACGATAACTTTAGTTTTTCCGAACTTTCTTATCAAGCTCTGCGAATTATATTCTTGATTGACTGGTTAACTTCAAGAAGAAGCGAGCCGAACAAAGTTTTTCATTAGGCTTTTTTAAAAACTTTAGAAGCCGAGAATGGACAATGACCGCGACGCGGACACGCAGCGTGAGTGACGATGGTAAGAGTAATCTTTGTAATTCAGATATTATTGTGACATATGGGCTGGTTGTACTTCCGTATTGAGTCTTAGTGGTCACTCCAGTGGGTTTTAGTGTTCTCACTTAGACTCCTAAATATCCACCAAGTTTTAGTCACTTGAGAGTCCACTATTCGACTACTATAGTGACCACTAAAACTTCAGAACCCTAAATTAGCCACTAAAAATTTTCCCAGAAGATTTCAGACTTATTTTGATTTGAACTAATTCACCATTCTTCTCATTTCAGTTCCTAAGTTGCGCGTTTTAAAAAGCTCATATGAAGCAATTTCTCGAACAAAATTCACAAGATAAAGTTCTCACGATTTTTATGAAGAAAACTTGCTAAAAATCTCAGCGAAAGAAAGATTTTTGCTTATTAGAAAGAGGTTTTAGGCTTGAAGGCAATCTGAATATCTTCGAGGCGTGTTTTCCCCATCCGCACTGAAACATGCATCTTATTGACCTTCATCGAAAGGTCCCAGACATTTCCATCGATTACTCATCGGGATCTTATTATTTGATATCGCTCCAATGAGTTTGGTGAAAACAATTCTAGATTATTTTCATAGAAAGATGAAAAATATTTTTTTTGCAGCTAATAAAGGAGCTTCTGCAAAATCTAATTTTCTGTTCCTGATGAGTCATATTTATCAATATTAACATCAAGACTAAAATTTTCAATTTTCTTGATTAGGTCTTTTTCAGATTATTTCATAAATGGGACATTTTAGGAGAAAAATCATACTACAAGCAGAAGAACGAGAAGCAAGTTGATTGTTATAAAAGCTTGGGCTTGTTTGAAATCAGAAAACAAAAAAAGGGGAAAAACAGGCTGATTGAATCACTTAATTGACCGTGTTATAAAAGTGTAACGAGGTGCTGAGAACAGGATTTTGACGTAATTGGCTCTCAATTAGAAAAAAGCCTGGTTTGCACGATTTATCAGTGGGTTTTGATTATTTTAGTCGAGTCGAAAATGAAATATATTTTATATAAATGAATTATTTTTCCGATATTCTATCCAGTTTATTCTGTCACAAGAAAAATTTTCAGGGAAGGAAGTTTTTGAAGTTTTTCGCAAGGCTTCTTCACAGATGAAACAAAGCCAAACGGATACTTTCTGCTATGAGTGAATTACTTTTTAAAAATATGTTGGGGGATTGAAAATTTCCCGTTCAAACTCCAAAGATCGGTTTTTCAACGTGAGAATTTTTTTGTTAAAGCCTAGAAGGACATAACTTATAGAAAAAGTGAAGTGTTGTTTTCATGAGGTCTAGACAATTATTAGACAATTTTCCCAATCATTTTTTTTGTAAGTTGAGGACTGGGCTATAAGAGATCATTTTGGAAAGCTTTTTATTGCGAAATAACAATCTGATTTAAATCGATCGAAAATTTGTAGTTTCGAAACGAAAAACAAATTAAGTTTGCTCACAGTATTTCAATTTCCAAAAAACTCGTAAACCAATATAAATTTTTTTTTTTTTTTCAAACTGAAAAGGGTCAGAAGAAAGTATAAATAAGTTCTGTTTGAAAATGAAGATACAAATAAGTCTTTTCTTATATTTTTTCCATTCCCTTTTTCAAATGAAAACCATGAGAAGGTTTAGTTTCTTTTCATGTGAAATCTTATTTTTTCACATGTGATGTAAGGAAAAAATGAATTTTTCACTCAGATGGTCCTATAGTTCCTGGAAGATTGTTAAATTGAAACTGAAAATTTAGTTAGTCCCGAAATTTTCGGGATTTCAGATTCAAATTTATTTTTAATTCTCTAAAAAAAACTGAGAAAACGCACTGATCTCTGAATTCAACGATAATTGCGCCCCTAAAAAAAATGCGCATTTCACTTTGAGTGGTTGAGAAGACAACCTAAAGATAAAACACAATTTATTTCCTACAATTTTAAAGTTTCATAAAAATAAAAGAAAGATGCGAATAAAATTTGAAATATTACAGCTTTCAGCTCTTGGGGTAATTTTTTTGGGAGAGACACAATCGAAAAAAATGAATTGAAAAAAAGATTAATCAGAGAAAAATAATTGAAGAAGAATAAAGCTTTAGAAAAAAACCGGTATGGGGTAGGAATAGAAATAAGTACAAATCTCTTGAGAAAATGCAATTTATGTCTTATAAAATATGTGGAAGGTAGGTCTTTTTTCAAGTCCGTATTCATATCACCGCCACAGAGGGCCAAGCGTTGGCAATGCGATGAGTGAGCTCTTCGAAGAAATCATCAACAGAGCATAAATACTACCTTGGCTTTTCTAGCGGCTTTTTCATCATCAGGCATTACACATAATCACTTCCAACTTTGATCATAGATTCCAAAGTAGACGTCGTTTTCTCTCGGGTTTGGGCGTCGGAGGTTTCGGACCCTTTGTTTTCGAAGAGAAGCGCCACGTCGAAGGACGCTTTGGACGATTATTGGGGAAAAGAGCGTGTAAATGGGTATCGTCTGGAAAAAAGGAACCTTGGTTTATTTTTTCACAGACGCATAAGGATTTGGAAAAAGGCTCAAAAATTGAAAAACAAATGAAGTAAGAACTTCTTTCATGTCAAAAATTCCATTACTTATCGATTGATATATAACCAAGTAAAAAATTTTCAACGCTTAGATACGCAGGTGACGATCTGTTTACATTAACCTGGCTAAAGTAATTGGAAATGGTTCAAAAAGTTACGTTCATATTTCTGATGATAGGCTATCACACTGATTATCAGAATTTCTTCAGATTAATACAGGTCAAAAAGTATATTTCAATCAAATACAGCCTTTCTAGTTTTGTCACTCACATAGACCATAGAGACAAAAGCCCGAAAGTCGGTGAATTCGGAAAAAAGCGGCTTGAAACGGGCCAAAGTGGCGCCACTGAGGCTGAAGGAGACGTAGAAGACGAGGTGGAAGGCGAACCAAGGCACCAGAAGTTCGAGTGCGGCCACGTTCTCCGAGAGTTGACTTTGCCGTTGCAAGTTGTCGTAGACCTTTCTGCAATAAACCCCTGAGGACTTCATAAATGGGAGATGATTATCTACATTTTAACATATCGCCGATTGAGAAGGTACAGGCCGGCTGTGTAGATGAAAGCCAAGACCTCGGCGACGCCCATGATCGTCATGACCAACGACAAGTCGTTCATCGTCTCGCTGGAAGCCCCGGAACAGTAGATGTGGTGCATGTCGAAAGCGTATTTCCGTTGCGAGAAGACGGCTGACGAAAAGCCGAGAATAGTCTGAAGTTCTCCATAAAACTATTTTCATGAAAACAGACATCTGTGAAGAACAACTAAGTATTGAAGCATTTTGCATTGAGAGAAAAAGTTCCTGATGACGAAAACTTTTGAAAAAATCCTCACCAAAAATCCGATGATAAAAAATCCGCTGATTGAAGAATATTCGCCATATGAAGTTTTTTGTAAAGTCGCTAATGTTCGCTCTATGCTCATTCCACACAAAAACAAGGCATTCATTCTGAAAAGTAGGAAAATTTTTAAAATCTCTCTACAATCGTTGAAATGTCTTCTTCTTTAAGCCTGATCTGGCTTGAACTCACAAAAAGCACATGTTAAGTGGAAGACGGAAACAAAAACACAAAAACGCCGGTAGAACCGCGTCGCAAGGCTCCAATATCAGCCACATAAGAAGGTGAGTCGACTGAAAATGATGAGTCAATCTTCGAAATAGTATTTTTACTCACAAGTAAAACTAGTAGAAGAATTGCGTGCACAAGATTAATAATTACCAGCGACTTTACAAGCATCTGAAATTTCAGTTTTCATGGGAGAAAAGATATTGAAAAAATTTATAAAGTTCGTAATATTACGTATATACGACCCAATCTTTCTCGTCATATCAGTTGTTTTGAGTGCTTTTTTTGTGTGTCGGTGTTGAGCAAGCTCCCGCGCAAAATGATTATTAAAATTTTTTTCTATCAAAAATTCTAATTTTGATGCCATTTTTTTGTTCGACGGAGAAATTAAACGATATTGTGACGTCCCTGAAAACCTGAAAGTTGCGCTGCGCACTTTCAAAAAGCTTACAATCTACTCCGAGACAGGTTGGTTAAAAATAGAAAAAAATAAAAAGTTTACTTTTTGAAAACATATAATAGTCCGTTCAACAAACCTTAAAATTGACATGAAAATATGACGTTGTCCCCGAGAATACATACAATCTAATATTGGTGAAAATTGATAGAATTGAGCAGAATATTTGAAAAGACATGGCTGATATTTGATAGAGATTCGTGGAGGTTTTCGTTTCGAATTCACATTCCATAGCTGTAAATAAATCTCTGTTAGTTCCCGAATAGTGATGCTCTTCTTATATTCAGAAAAAAACTTTTTTTCGAGAAAAAACGAAATGAGCCTCAAAGTTTGTTGACCATTTTTTTCAACTTTCGAAAATATTTTTTTGAGATACTTTGAAAAAGAGAAAAAGAATTTCTGTGACAAATTAATTAATGGTTCTCTTCGTATATTCTTTGATGAAAAACAAAGATGACCGAGAAATGAGACAGCGGAGGCCGAACATTTTTTTAAAAATAGGAATATGCAGACCGGAAAAAAATTGATAAAAAAATTTTTTTGAGTCATTTTTTTACGCGGAAGTTTTTTTCACCTTTATAAAGTAGAAGATAATTAAGAGAAAAATTTATACAAAATGAGTTTTTGCAAGTAAGCCAATGAGAAAACGGAAACTTTCATAATCTCTGAGAAAAAAAGCTGACAAAAACGTTCAAGCGGCAAATTTTGGTCCCACGTTTTTTTTTGCAGCTTTGATCAAGGATCCGGGTTCTATAACAAGAAAAAGGAGTATTATGTGGGCATTTGCGTTTGAAATTTTCCCATACTTTGAACCGAATGATCTATACATTTAGTTGATAAACCGCGCGTTAAACGTTTAAATTCATTTTTTGCTTGGAAATTTTTCGAAAATCCTGTCAGAAATTTTCTAGTATGCCGGATTAACATCTTTCTCATCTGAAGTTCTAACTTTTGAGCAGAGAAAAGTTTCAAAAGGGTGAAAAATTATCATGCGCCGCTTGAATAGGCCGCTCGTAAACTTCAAGCCTTTTTTACTCAAAAACTAGGAAGTCTTAAACTTTTTTAGACTCTCAGTATATTCATTAAGTACATAATGACATACTTAGGCAAGTTCTTATAAGATTTCATAGCAAGAAGTAAAAATCACTCTTATATTCGGTAGTAATTATTCACTAACGTTTGCAAAAAAAAATTTATTTTCATGTTTTTTCAACAATTAGAGGATGATTTTGCAAGAACCTGAAATCAGAGACATAAGAATTATGCCAAGAAAATAAGTGACGGAATCGGGAAGAAAATGTTTTCTTCAAGTTTTCTCGTGCTCGCAAATGTAATCAAGACTTTCTGGGATTAATAAATATTTTCTAATTCTAACCAAAACCACGCATAAATATAAAAGTTGTCTATTTCCGCCAGGGTGCATATGAACTCGCGCAAAGAAATCCTTTTTTTCTGTCTGAATGAGGAGGAACTTTCTTATGAATGAGATATGATTCAATGAGTATATTAATCTTGAAGAGATAACATAACATTCATTCATAAGTAAATGATGTGGAGAGACAGGATTTTTGTGGCTTCGTTTGGGAAAACTATTCTGAAAAAAGTTTTGTGTGAGAAGAATGACTAAGGGCTAAAAACCGATGAGATTTTTGAAAAAAAGTTTTGACAGAAATAATCCTTTAATTTAGGGTTTTAGCCCCGCATTCTTGCTTTCAAACACTAAAGGAATAAACAGCACGAATAGAAGCTTGTAAATCTATTTGAACCGCGGGAAATTATGAAAAGAGAAACAGCTGATTGACAACTTCAATGAAATCACCGAGTGGAAAAATGTGTGGGAAAAATATATTTTATGAGAAAAAAATTTAATAGAATGTGGTTGAAGGGGAACGAAAAATTAAATTTTTCTTTTTATTTCTTCATTTGACGTTCGGACGTAGAAATGGAGAAAACGTAGTTATAAGCTGTAAAAATTCGAAAAATAAATTCCTGTGTGTGAGAAAGGCTGTTTTGAATTATTTTATTGATTTTTTTCAACTTTTTTTGCTTAAAAAAAGGCTTTGGAAATTTTTGTGAAGTTGGAAGACATTTTTTTAAATGAGTAAAAAAATCAAAAATTTCCGATTTGAAAAAAACTGCAGGTTATAATGGAAGCAGGTGTTCATGAATTTTCATTTAAGTTCAGTTGATTAGGGGGAAAAATAGGTAGATATCAAACTCCGAAAAACCATAAGGACAAGGTTCAGTCTCAAAAGAAAACAAATTTATATGATCATCTACATTTCTACACTATCCAGCTTCAATAAAAAAGGCTCTCATTTGATTCGAAAAACGACGGTCGCAAGTGGAATGGCTAAAGCGTCGCGGTTGCGTCGGTTTGAAAGCGACCAAACAATTAGCGTCTTGTTCCGACACTTTTTGACACCCCATGAGCAAGTCGTTTCTGGTCCGGCGCAGCTTCACAGTACTCGCGACCCGTTTAGCTATTCCACATACAGCCGCGCGATTCGAATTCAGTGTTATTTAGGCAAACCAACCTTCCAATATCATTTCCATTGCTCCATGTACATGCCGAAATAAACTTCATCTTGGTTGTCTGGCTTCTTCAAAATCGTTTTGAGCTTTTCCTTTCTTCGGGTGGCGCCTTTTATTATGATTCTTTGTACGATCAATGGTGAAACGAACGTATAGAAGGGAATGATCTGAATGGATATTTTTGAAACAGTTTAGTTTTAAAATGATGAAATGGGAATTTTTTTATTTCATTTTTAAAAAAAGATGAAGACTTACATAGAGGGATGCGACAAAAGCGCGAAAATTCGAATCATCGGTGATTATTTTGCGGAAAGTTGCCAGTAAAAAAGTGGCGATGCTGTGACTGATGCTGAACATTAAGTGGAATACGAAAAGCGGCAAGAGAAGCTGAAAAGCCTCGCAATTTTCCGTCATTTGGCTCTTCCGTTGGAGATCGTCGTATTTTTGCCTATATGAATCATAAAAATTCAAATTTCGCATCGAACTCACTCTTTGAGCCTTCTCACGTTGATGAAATACAGAAGTGTCGTGTAGGCGAACACTAAAACTTCGAAAACGGCCAGAGACAAATTAACAATCGTCATGTCGGCGATCGTCTCATTGGGTGCCCCAGAACAGTAGATCGATGAAACTCCCATCGGAAAATTTCGTTGAGCAAAAGAAGAGGCCAAGAAACCGAGTACGCTCTGCAATAAATTTTATTATTTTCCTAAATTTCCTCTCTCTTAGTGTTTCAAAAATAATAAAGGCTCACCAGGACAACTAATAACAAAACGCCACTTCTCTGGCCATAACTTCTGTAAGACTTGGTCCGAAATGTGGCCAACGACCTTTCAACAATCACCCCGCAGTGGAGAAGTGTGTCCATTCTGAAAAAAATAAGCTTTTGTTTCCTGATTGCGTTTAAATGAGAAGAAAACGACTGAAAATGTTTATAACAATGAGTTAATTTTACTTTGCGGTTGAGAATTTGTTTAAAATTGGCCAAAGCAGTTATTTATGTACCAAAAGTATATCCGGAAAATCTCAACCTGCCCAACTTATTAGTTTTCGAGAAAAAAGAGATCAAAGCACGAACATATCCTATTTTAACGGGCTTTGATGGTTGGCTCTGACTTAGAAGTATCTATTCTTAAAAACAAGGAACTTGTGCAGGTTAAGATTTATAAAATCTTCGTTTCATACTTCCAAGGGTGCTCTGACTTATTTTCAGGGAAATCTCGACCCCAATTTGAAATTACCTCCCTTGTAAATTAAAAGATTTTTTATTCTGACAAAAATAATTCCAGGATTTTTGAAGCTTTTTCGTTTTATTCTAAAGGTTTTCAAACATTTTCAGGTGCGCTGAAAAATCGAAGATTTGCTTACATGGAGCAAAAGTTGTTCGGGAATCTGAAGGCAAAGCAGGCGAGACCCGGAAGAACCGCGTCGCACGGCTTCAAAACTCGCCACATTATCAGGTGAGTTGACTGAAATTCGGTTTCTTTTTCAATTTTATCAACGTATGTGCTTGTGGGCTCATTAATTTGAAGCTAGCCGCTTTTAGAAAAGTTTTAATTATTATCAGCAAAAGTCGCTGTTTTAAACTTAGTTTTCTAGTGTGAAGACAATGTCCTAAAATCCCATTTTCGGCTCAATAAACTTTGAAAAAAAACTTTGATGATTTCGAGAAACTAATTGTTTTGATTGCCTTGTTAATTAGTCGCTTCTGAGCTTTGATTTCTCCGTTTTTCTGTTAATTTCAATGAGCCACAACCACTTTGAATCATGTCTTCTGACTTCCTAGAAATCAAAAGATTATCAGCTTATACTAGCCCTTTTGAAGTGCTATTGAGTTAAGAACAAAATAGATTGATTTATGAAAAAAAAGAAATGGGAAATTGAGATGAAGAAAAATCTTTTTTAAAACAAACCATCAGAGTAGCTATGAGTATTGAATGGACGAGATTCATGACGACAAAAGCTCGCACGAACATCTGAAAATACCGTTTGAACCCACAATAATTTTAAAAAAAGCGTCAGACTTCTGTGATTTAACCTTCTCGCGAAAATGGATAATTCTATCATAGTCAGGGCTGCGTCTTGGTCGGACTTTTGCACTTTTCTGCCTCCAAGTGTTTTTCACTGATTTTGAATCGTGGATCAAAAAATCAAAAAAGCCGTATCACAAAAAATTATGACCATGTAACCTTGAAATCTCAAGCAAAAACTCAAAAAGTTGAAACTGCGTGCAGCTCTGATCATATTTAACAGCTCTCTTTTTTTGAAAATGGACTCGAAAAAGGAAATAGGCTGTTTCGAAAACGAAATCAAGTGAGAAATAAAAAGACACTGCTCACCTTGAAATTGGCATGAAAATAAGAAACGTGTCGCGAGAATCTCCAAAGTCGGTAATTGGAAAAAAGCGACACCAATGAGAGGAAAAGTTGGACAGACATCGCCAAGTTCTGGTATATATTGGTGGAAACCTTCCTCTCAAAAACGCAGTCCATCACGAGGAGTTTTTATGAAGTGACGAGAAAACGGCAGGTATCTCCTAATTGATGGGATATCATCCTGGAACTCGTGTCCCACCTACCTGGCTAATTGAAAAACACTTCCCGACCTTTGAGATCAAATTAATTGACGCACGAGATTTTCAAACAATGTCAGCTTCCAATAAACTGGAAAAATGTTTGGAAAACCTTGAGGTTTGGATTTTTGACTCAAATTTTTGCTGCTCAAAAAGATTGGAGTCCAGTGGAAGTAGGAATTACAGATAAATGTTGGCTTGCTACTGAATGGTGGCGGAAAACCCTATTAAGTTAGCACACGAAATTTGATCAACTGCGAAACTTTTTGGTGCAATATTTTTTTAATTTCTTTCCATTTATTAACTTAGTCTCTGGAACTAGACTTCAACTGTCTGCGCTCATTTTTGGAACAATATTTGATAAAACCTTTATAATTCATTTGGTTCTCCGAAAAGAAAAAACAAGAAAAAAGGCCGAAGAACTTCCCTTAATAACACGTTAGCCTTGCAATTTTTGCGTAATCATAAATTTTCCCTAGTTATTCATCCTTTTAAACTTCCTTTCCTACTTCCTCGAGTTTTTTTAAATTAAACTCAAAATGCCTTTATCGGCTTGCTGAAATGATACCGGACGCTTGGCACACTTTTAGGAATATTAAATAACAAAATTTTAATCGTCTTCTCTCCGCATTTGTATCTCAAAAAATGATCTTCGACAAATGAAGCAAAAAAAAGGCAAAATAAAGTGCGGTCGGTACTTCTTAGAGGTTGGAGTCATCATTAACCATCGAGTACAAACTTTATCGTCATCCCGCGGATCCGAACTTTTGACCTCCCGAGCGGCAGGCAAAGGAGATGGCACTGCGCCATCGTCACAAGTCTCGATGCTAGGCCTTGTCTGCCACCAAGACCTGGCGTGCCACACTTGTTCTCGTTCTAGATTGTCAAATTTATGATTTTTTATTTTGTTCTCCCATTTAAAAGCTAAATTTAAGATGTTTTGTTGCTGACCTCTCTAAGTTTCCAATAAAACCGAGAAGAGAGGAAAGGCGTCATGATTTTTTTTTTCTCAATCTGCGCTTTATTTAATCGGTAACAAAAATAGATCTAGATTTATGTTTTTGTCTGAGAAACGCTGATTAGTTTTTGTGACAAAAAAAAACTCGGCCAAATAGGCGTAGGAGGAGAAAACGGCCAAAAGAGGTCAGGCCAAGCCGTTTTCTCCTTCACTTTTCTTATCCACCTGATTCCCAGTTGTTATCTTCGGTTCGGACCTCCTTACACATCCCCAAAGTTAATTTCGTTTTTTTTTCTTCTAAAATGTGGCTGAACTTTCTTGCCATAGCTACGGCCACACTTTCCTGTACTCTACTGTTGGCCCAACTTCTTTACCTGCCCTACCTGGTTTCTCAAGCAGAAAATGCTCATGAAATCGTCGCCCGGAAGGTCGATGTCTTCAAGGTTTGTATGAAAACGAAGGAGAAAAAACTTTTACTCTTGTCTAGGTTATTGAAAACAAAGTTTCCGAGAAGATATCCCTATTGGTGACTTCTTCCATCACGAAAAGATCTATCGGTACTTACTGTTCGCCAGGAAAACCGGGACCTCCAGGTTCGAAATAAATGCGGTTTATTTTTCAGGAAACAAAGAGAACATAGTTGATAATTTTTTAAAGTTTTGAGAATCATGAATTGAAAAAAATTAAAGTTTTTTGAAGGATCGTAATTTGTAATAAAAATTGACTCGCTCCAGATGATTTTTCGAATTGGAAAATTTCAATCAAAACTGTCACTCGTCTTCAAGAGCTCAAAACTTTCGAGTATTTGTCAAAAAAATTGAAATAAGTTGAAGATTTTTTTAGTAAAATTGCCGAAAAATAAAAAAACTCTCCACACAGTTTTTTTATTTGTTAATTGGGCAGAAAAATTCCGATTTAAAAAGTGTCAAAAATACATTTTTAATAAAAAGGAACGGTCTTTAAAAGCTAAGACCGCTTATCTTCAAATTTTTTTCTCCTGCAGGAATTCGAAAAAAAATTTCTATATTTTTATGGAGTTGAGTAAATTTTGTTCAAACGATCCATTGTTTTAGCATATTAATAAAAACATGTGTAAAAAAACATTGGCAGGTCTTGATGGAACCGACGGCGCTCCCGGCGAAAATGGCCGCGACGGACGCCGCGGACTCGACGCTCGGGACATCTTGGAAGAGATGCAGGAAAAACAGGAGTGCATCGTCTGTCCGCAGGGCGAGGTCTGAACGATGACGTCATTCTATTGATAAAGCTTCCCAGGTCGGACCGATGGGACCACCCGGAGACCGCGGCGAGCCTGGAGATCCAGGTAACAAAGGAACTCCTGGAATCCCGGCTCAGGATGGAATCGATGGTAGTTTTCATTTTATACTTTTAAAAGCCTAATCGATCTTGTAATCAATGGTATCCTAAAGAACTTTGAGTTGAAATTCTATAAGACTGGAAGTAAGTTTCTTCTTTCACAAAATTATGAATAAAAAAAAGGTCCAAAGAACTTGTTTCCGCTTTCAAGAGGGTCTTCTATACAGGCAACGATTTTCAATGGAAATTTTCAGGTGACCAAGGAATCGAAGGCGTTGTCGGTCCTCCTGGACCGCCCGGTCATCCTGGACGGAAAGGGGGCAACGGAAAGTCTGCTCAAGGCGGAACCGGCTCTCCTGGACCCAAAGGAGCTCCCGGACCTGAAGGCCGAGCTGGAAGTCAGGGACCACGTGGAAAAGTTGATTTTTTCATACTCAAAAGAAAAATCGATTTGTTTTCCAGAGAAACTACATCTACGGCGCAGCAGGACCGATGGGACAGCTGGGACCAAGTGGACTGGACGGTCTCCCCGGAAATCCGGGCGAACGCGGACCTAAAGGTTCATCGGCAGCATTTCCATTCGAGAACTAAGGCTCAAACTGTTCAGGACCTCCTGGAGAATTGGGCGCCGACATTCAGTTCTGCCCTTGTCCAATGGAGCTGAAACTACTGAAAGGAAAACATTCATCGGTTGGTTTTGATCATCAAAAAAAAGTTGCTAACAATATTTTTCAGCACAAACCAGGAACTTCGAACTTGAAGAACAAAAATGATTCAAGGTGGATTTCGAGTTATGTAGAAGTCATTCAAAACATTTTTTCAGTGAAAAAGCTTCTTTGGAGCTTAAAGAACTTCCTTCTGCTCCTACGACCGAAGCTCAACCTCCGGCGCCGTTAGAGGAGTCAGGAAAAATTGAAAAATCAGCAGAGTTCGACAAAGTTTCACCGCCTGAAGAACCATCTGAGCCATCAACAACTGAAGTAGTTCTTAGAGAAGAACCTCAAGAAAATGAATCTCAACCAACTGAAAAACAAACTCAAGAAGAAGTTACGACTACTCAGGCTCCAAAAGCAACTACGCCAGAAGAGTAAGCAAATTTCGAAATGATTTGTTTTAACTCAAAACTGCAGGCGATTCCCAGACTACGTCGCACCGGAGATGACACTCAAATCTTCCGAAGTTTCTCTAGGATCGGCTCCTGGAACGGAGAAGTCTTCAGAAGGACCTCAAGCTCTACCCAATCAAGAGTCTTCCGATCAAGTGGTATAGTCGATTCACTTTGACTTTTGAAAAACTTGGTCGCGCGGAGAATGGCTCGATTTTCAACCGTCGCGAAGTGATTGCTTAAAGCGTGCAACAGTGTCAAGATTGCAAGTTCAGCGAGCAAATCTCCAAATTTTTACTTTATTCAAAACGCGTAGAGCCATTCCACATGCGACCAGATGGAGAGTAGAACAATGATAGAAGAAAATGAAAAAATTCTCAAACTTGAGATTGACTTGCCATCCGACTTTGGGTCGGATTCGCCTTCATCCCAAGTTTCAATAAACGACTATGAAGAAGAGACAGAAGAGGAAGAACAAACAACGACACGGTAAAAATATTCTCTAAAACTGAAAAATCCGCAATAATTTTCAGACGTCGCTTCATCTATGTTACCAAGCGACCAATCGTTTACCCAGAATAAATCTCGTTAACTTTATATCAATAAAAATCTCAGATTTTACAAACAAACACGTCTTAACAAAGTGAAAGGGAAGCACAGAAAAATGGTTAAGTGAAGGAGAATAACCGGTTAGTTTTGGTTAATTGTCATGATCGCACAGAGTTTCAAAATGGCAGCAGGGCAAGAGGAAATTAAAAGTTCACCAGATCGTTCAGAGATTTGAGTTAATAAAGGGCATAGAAAGCAGAGACAAGGAACAAAACGATAGAGATGGAGTTGGAAGTGGCAGAGTCGGGCCTTTTGATGTCTGAGGGGAGACCAACTCGTCCCGAGCGAATTATTGGGTTTGATCCAGGGTTGAGCTCAGCTGAAAATTGATTTCGTTTGTGAAAAAAGAAGGGATGAAACCGTCGCGGTCGCTGTCCTCTTTAATCTTGGCGATTTCTTCCTTCGAAAGATGAGGATCTTCGAGAACGTAGGCGTCGGATCCAGGCGATTCTCCCTCATCCACTGAAAATGTTATGAAAGAAAGAATATTGAATTGAATTAGTTTTTTTCACATTGAAAAAAATAGAAAGAAGAAGCTAGAAATATAACAAGCCTTGAACTTGGGCATTTTTTTGCTTCATCAAAATTTAACTATCAAACGGGATTACCGGGAAAAAAACCTAGATCTCAACTTTTAAAAAACCAAAAAGTCATAAAAAACTGAAGCTAAATTTTTGAATTTTTTTTGGTTATTTTTTTATGAGGCGATTGAATCTTCAGGACGAAGTTTTTTTTTTTCTTACCTTCGTTCTTCTCGTTGCCCATTATCTTGTCAAGAACGCGGGCGCCAAGATCTTCGGCCATCTTTTCGAGTTCTTCCGGATTGTAGTCGTCCGCTTCGATCGACGGATCCTGTAAAAATTTCTTGCTTATCACACGGCTCAACTTGAGACAAGAATCAAGAGATCTTGACACGATGAGAAGAAGACAGAGCTAAAAGACCGCTACCTGGTTTCCAGAAGGCGATGGAAGCGTCGGAGTTACCGCCACATCGACGTCTTCTTTTTCCTCGTCCACTTCACCGCCGGTGAGGTCTTCTTGGTTGCTTTCATTTTTATCATCTTTATCTAAACTTTTTTTTTTATTTTTCATTTTTAATCGAAGGAAAAACCAAAGACAAGGGGGGTCTGCTCCAATTCGGCAGGATCTGGTTTCAAGACTGGCTCGCTCGCACCTCCTGAAATAATCAGAAGCTGACATGTTTAAGAAAATTAAAAAATTCAACCTAGCGAAAATATTAATTGAAAACATTGGAAGATTGAAGGCATTTGCAGAAAAATTTAGTTTTTTTTTTCCCTATTCAAAGAAAGGAAAACCTTCTGAAGGATTATCTTCCTTGATAACTTCATCGGTTTCGCTGTAATCGACGGGGTCAGCCTCAGGAAGTTTTGGCACTCCATCCACGCTCGTTTTTTCTTGAGGCACTAAAAATTTTATGGAAAAATGATTAAAAAGCTGAGATTTCAAAAAAAAAAACGAACAATTTGGTTGCGAATCGGGTGGAACGACAGAGCCATTATTGAAGATCGGAACGAAATCGGCTTCTTTTGCAGGTTCAACAACTTCTTCAAGTCTCTCGTCTTCTGTAGGTAAACAATTTATGGGAAACATATTGCAATCGGTGAGAATTCATTCTCTTCCACTCTCATAGGCAGGCCTTTTCAATAAAAAGATATCCCCTTCTCCCAATTCTACCGAATTACAGTCAACACTATTAGTTGAGGTTAAAAATTGATTTTATCATTTATTTTTTAAAGTTTTTATAAGTAAACTTCTCTTACCGAACTTTTCAATTTCTTAACCTGATCAAATTTTTTTTATTCATTTCAACAACGAGTTCTCTGAGAAAGATACGAGCCTTGAAAAGCTAGACCACTGACAAGAAATTAAAATATTAGAAGTAAAACCTTCGAATCGCTTTCCGTCTTCCTCACCTTCATCATTTGATGTGTGATGCAATCTTTAGAGTTTTTGCGTCAATCAAAACTTGAAGCAATAACTTTAACTCTCAAATTTCGGAAAAATTGGAACAGATACCAAAAAATGAATAAATAAAGACAAAAAACTTCAAGTCTGCTTCGAAAATTATTTTATCTTTTTTGCGCTTTGTTTTCTCCGTAACTTCTTTCTGCCTAAAAAAATCCGTTAAGTCCGCTTTTGGAACGTTCACACGCAGCTCATAACTTCGAAATCCTATGAAAAAAACTGTCAATGAAGCCGAAAACTCGTAAAGTCAGTCAACAGAAATGAATAACGACCTATCCTCCAAGGCTGGGAGCGGCGACCAAAAAGAACCATTATAGTAATAAAAAGATCCTCTTGGCCCCTTTTCCAAACCTTTTACCAAAGGAAGTTCTGTGAGAAAAAAAAATTTTTACCCAAAAATTAACTCATTTGAATCTTTTCCCATTATTATTTTACATTTCCCAATGAAAATTTATTCAAATCAAAAAAAAACTTGGATTTTTTACGCATAATTTCCTTCGACCTCGGATTTTGGAAAAAAGAATAAGAATTATGGATTGTTAACAAACCTGGGTAAACGGAAGGTCCATGCCCTTCGGGCCATTTTGAAGAATCGACCACAGAACTTTCATCGACGTCCGGCGATTCCTTCGCATCATCTGAGATATTTTTTTATTTTGTGTTGAATATATTTTATTTGAAATTTCTATTCAAATTTTATCTAGCCAATACGTGCAAACGTGCTCTGCCGCGAAAAAGAATTTAAATTTGATTGGCCTGATTTATCTTCCATTTTCAATAAACTTTTTTGATTATTTATCTGGTTCTGTTTAAATTTATGGTAAAATTATGCATCACTCTGAAATAAATCTGAAAAAAAAATTAAACTCATCAAAATATATGAGTTCATTTTTTTTTCTTCTAAATACCTTCAGGGACAGCCGCCGGCCGGATACTGTCCTTAATATCGGCAATGTTGACCTCCAAAACAATTGGCTTGACCAAATCTTCGAAGCCTAAAGGAAAACTATCCTATTTTTTCAATTCATTTCACCAGGAAGAACGACGCCATTCTCATCGACAGGGACGAGAACTTCGCCGCTGTCAGAGATACTTCCAACCCGAGGGTCGTCCATATTTTCCACTTCTTCCTGGAAAAATGTAAATTTGCACTGTCCGTATGAACAGAAAAGTCTTACATCGAAGGGAAGTGGAGGAAGATCTTCTGTGAGTTCCTTGATGCTCTGGATCTTGGTTCCATCGGAAAGAGTTCCTTCGTGCAGAACTCGGACGACGGGTTCGTCTCTACGGTGTCGCTTCCCAAGACAATTTCCTCTCGAACAAAGTCGATAGACTGCCGAATTGTGGTTGATGGCTGAAGTTCGTTATTTCTGAACGCTTAACCTTTTTCTGCAAATGAACAAGTCCATTTTTATATATCTTTATCTCATCAGAAACTCCCATACCTGAAGAAAAAAAATATCAAAGTGGTTGATATAATACGCTAGAAAGAGTTTTAAAAATGAGGAAAAATTTCGTAGGTAAGATTTATTACCACTTATTTCAACAACATGTGTAACATATCCACAATCAAATCCGATTATTTGACGGGTTCAAAATGAATCTGCAAAATTCAAAATTTTCGTCGGACAGCGAAAAAAATAACTAAATTTTGGAGTCAGAAATAATTCTGAAGTTCACGGAAATTACTTCGAACGCGGAATCAGAATAGAAATCATTGGCTATTTTGAAAAAAAAAAAATGAAAACCTGCAAAACATTCAGCAACAACGCATATTAGTATGAAATTCCTTTTCAAAGAGATCATCCTTCGGACTTCGGTGACGACCGACGTGAGATCGCTGAGAAATGGACAGATTGTTTGAGAAAAAAAAAAATGGAAAGAGGTAAAAACAATTATCGGGGACGGCCAATGCGTAAAATACACATAGTGAGAATGTTTTACTTTATAACTGTTGAACTTTTCCAAACTGAGAGTTTGAAATTAAATTTAATGAGATAAATCAAACTTCGAACAAAATGGTATCCCCAAACAAGGCCACGCCCACATCCACAGAATCTTTTCGCTACAGAGCGCGTTGAACTTTAAGTTCACACAATAAAATTTTTATTTCTCCAAAAATTTTTTTAAAAAAATGAACTATTTTTTTCATTATTATTCTTCAATTAATTCAAGAAATTTCCCTATAAACAGCTCGGACTTCTGAAAATGCTCCGAAAAGTTTTTTTCGCCGTTCAGAAAAAAAGGATTATCTTAACTAACACAAAAAAATTTTTACAGGAAAAAACAAAAACGGGCTCGAATATTCGAATATTTGAAAAAAAGGCGTCATCGAAAAAAAGTTATATGATTTTTGAGGTAGGTCTATTTTATTTCTTCGTTAATTAAAAAAAGTTTTGAAAAAAAACAGACTAAGAAGATAACAGGAACTGAAGACAGTGGGCACCAATAAAGACTTCTTATTTGATTCGACAATAACGGTTAGCAAACGCAAAAAGCAGTATCTTTATCACATTTGTCGCGCATAAACTGATATCTCTGCGTTGGCGGCATCTTCCCAAACACGGAGACAACAAGTGACCCAGCAGTCTGATAGCAACTGGGAAACCGTCCGGTAGCAGTTATAAAATGGAAAATTTTAATTTTATGAAAAGAAATAGGAAGAAATTTTTTAAAGCCGCGTCGAATGAATTATGAAAATCTAAAAAAAAAAAAGAAGAACGGAGGATTTCGAAAAGTCGAGTCCAAATAAATAAAAAAGGAGAGGAGTGACAGCCCGTAGCGTCTCGTAACTGCGGAAAAAAAGAGCGACCGAGGAGACGAACGGAAACAAAAGGAGCAAAAAGGTTGGATTCAAATGTCACGGCATTTGGCGCGTTTTTCACGCCAATCAAAAAAAAAATGCCCCTGAGAAAGTTCTTAGAATGGTAAAGTTTATCTGTCGTTCGGATTCGAATGGAATCTAGAAATCGAAAAAAATTGTTAATTACAAGAATAAACGCACATGGATGCCTTTTTACTTAAAAATAATTTCTTTAAAAAAATCAAGCTTGAAATTTAGTTTTTTTCAATCTTTGAAAGTACTTGCTGCTTTTTCAGAAACTGTTTTTTTGAAATATTCTTTCTTCAAAAAAAGTACCGGACAGAGGAGCGTGGTAATGAAACCGTTTTCAAAAGAGCCGCCAACGATTTAGCGTGAGAAAGTCAACGCAAACGAGAGCCGCAACAACCGGTTTGAATACGTTTCTTGGCTAACTGAAATAGTTTCTCAATTTATAAATTTTCAATATTAACGAAGCGAAGTTTTTCACAGTTTATTGAATATATCGATATTGAAAGTTCTACTTAAACGTGATCATAAATAAATTGAAACTCCAATTTTGGACTGTCCATGGAGCAACTTTTTCCGTCGTTGGTCTAAATTTCCACGGCTGTTTTGTCCGATTTTCTTTTTTGCAGAAAATCCCAAAATTATTCAATTTCTTTTGAAGGAAAAATAAGCATTGAAATATTTACTTTTTACACACGGGAAGTCCAGCACACAAAGCTGAAAAAGAAACAAAAGTGCGAAAATGTCAAGCGCGCAAAAAACCTCGAATTACTCTGAAATGAATCATTAGAATCTCTGTAAGGAGGCCGAATCGTCTAGTTCCGAGTACGAAAACAACGTGATTCAACAGGTTAGAAGAAAAAATAAACTTTGTGAAAAACATCGAACAAGTATAATACAATTATCAGGGAAGTCGAGGCAATAACAAAATGAAGAAACAAATCTCCGAGGGCTTTTGTAGCGAAAATAAACCAGCGTTAGTCACCGAACAAGGAGAAAAAACCAGAAAAAAACGAATCACTTTGAATATACAGAGATAAATACACAAGAACTGAAAATCTTCAAGGAAAAAAAAGTGAAAAAGGCCAGAAAGCAAAAAAGGCAAGCGATGATATTTCAGTGAGGAAAAGGCACAGCGGGCACCCAAGTCATGGACTGTCGTCTCAAAACAAAGAATAAGTTCCTAGAAATACATGAGCTACTCTAAAAGCTAAAGAAATCACTAAACTACGAGTCAAAAACTATCGTAGTCTAGCGGAAAATTAAAAAATGGCAGGAATCGCTGAAAGAGAATCGGAAATATTGGCACGAATGGGGGAAAAATTGGCATTATCATTTGATGACAAAGCCAAGAATACTGTACAGGTTCACTGTCAAGCAGAGCGGATCCATTGGAATCGTTGCCTGCAAAAAAATCGTAATGATATTGATCTCCTCTGAACAAAAGAAAACCTTAAGGGGGCACGCCAGGTGCGAAAATTCCAATAGTCTTGTCGCTGAAGCCTGCCACAACTTGGTACCTGCAAATCGACGGTTTTGATATAATGAGATAAACTTTTGTCTAATGAAAATATAATTATTGGAATCTAAATAGAAAGCTTTGAAATACAAAGACGAACTCTTTTTTTTTTTTTTTCTTTTTTCGAATTTTTTTCAAAGTCCAAAAAAATTCATTTTAACGACGAGCTACCCAGTATTTTCTAAAACTTTTCATTCATTTCAAAACTCGCCTAATTTGTTGCATGGTGATCGCCGTAACTTCGGGATAAAATGGGGTGCCATTTTGTTTCTCTGTTGCGACTTCTGGAAAATATCGAATGAAATTCTTTCGATTCTCCCGAACAAACTGTCGATTTTTCCGCGGAGCCGTGCAAGGAGAGGTCCATTGACGTCGTAGAAGCGGATCAAATCGGCGCTGGTCGTCACGAAATGCGTGGCGTCGGAATGGACGCTCATCGCCTTGTGCGACTCTTTTGGCCAGGGAATCTGGAGTTTCTGGACGGGTTCCTTGTACATCCGAGGTTCCCAGGTGACGACAAGTCCGTTTCGATTCGAGGCGAAAACCGTGCCGTTGGAGTTCTCCTGACGTCGCAGCGACAGGTGCATGACCGACGAGAGAGTCGTTTCCAGGGCGAGACGCAGAGCCCGGTGCTTCGGCATCCGGAGGTCGTACACGTCGACACTGCCGTCCGAGAAGCCTGCAAAGGATTTTTAAACCAAAGCAACTAGCTAAAATCAAATTTGACATCTTGTAAACGAGACATTTTTTGATAACTCGTTTGGAGGGGAGTTCGAAAACATGCGTAGAGTTTTCTTATCAAGTAAAAAAAACTTATACTTTTTGTTCTCTTCATTTCGAAACCGAACATACCAACGGCGACGAGGTCACTGTCACTGTCGAGGTCGCCGCTCAGCGCCGTTGGCGGACCGATTCCGGCGCTCCTCTGAGGGTAGTGGATGTCCTGGATGGTCTTCTCGTAGTGAGCATCCCAGATTCGAACGCTTTTTGGTCCAGTGCAGAGAACGCGACCGGAGGACTGGTTCCAACTAAATTCGACGTTTTGATACGCCAATACAGTTATTTTCTATCGATTCAACTAAAGTTCAGAAGTTATAGTCAATGTTTCCCGACTTGAAAGGCGAGGGAGGCGGGGCAGGGGGAGGGACGCGTAGCGTGTGCGTTCGCGGTCCTTCGCACGTGTTCAATTCAACCGCCATCGACTCTTTGAAAATTCCGTTTTTCGCTCTTTTCATTCCTTTTTCAATTATTCATTGATTATGTTCATGTGTTCATCAAAAAAATAGTAGAAAACATTGAAAAAGAACAGAACATAAGAAAAAAAATTCGAAAAAAGGTGGCTCGCAATTGATTTGAGTCAAAGGTAGCTTCGAGTTAGGGCTCTGCGGGTAGACCCGTCCACTTCAGGGCTTTCCGGTTGGACCCGCCAAACAAATTTCAAAAGATCCAATATTTCCTAATTTCTTCCCAGTTTGTTTTTCAACCGTTTTCTACATTTTATTCATTTTCAACTCTGCTCGTCGATTATTCTTTCCAATCTACCCATATAGCGGCTTTTCATTCGGGAAACATTGTCAAAAGGACTATTCATACTCGAAAAGACAGGCGGCCTCCGTGTTGGAGTACTTCGTGTACTCCATCAACGGGAACGCCGACGTCAGAAGAACTGGGACTCGTTCGTAGCCGGCGGAGAAGGAGTCGTAGCAAGGATCCCATATCTAATCAATTGTCTTATAAAACTTCTTGGAGAGGTGGAATCCAACTCGAATGATGCCGATGGGAGAGCAGCAGAGAATCATTTCACGGGCCTCTTCGTTTATAGTGATCAGCTGCGAGACGTGGTCCTGAAACTCGGAAAGAGGTTTAAAAACGTGAAAAGTTCATGATTTTTTGTCTCACAAGGTGATTGGCTTTTGCTGCCTAAAAAAGGAGAAAGGTTTGTAAAAACAATATTCGCCTTTTATTTTGCTCCCTGTCTCTGTGCTTATGTTCTTGATACAGGAATCAAGACTGCTTGTTTTTTTTTGTTGATTGAAAATGAGAACCACTGATAAGAGAAGTTCAAGCCCAAAAAAAAAAATAGAAGACCAAGCCATCTCAAAGTTATGTGAAAAGAAGAAGTTTAGACCTCCAAAGTTTTTTTAAGCTAGTCAACTGAAAGCTCACGATCAAAACTAACCTAAATATGGTTTTCTTCCGGTTTTAAATTTGCTCTTACTTATTTTATGTCCTTATTGATTTACACGACATGACAGCTAGAATAACCAATTGAAAAAAAAAATCTTCCAAGATATATTCTTTCTTGTTCTAATTTCACCACAACTATTTCGTCCCCAAACCAGCAAAAAACACAAAAGTCTAACATTGGTGAAAGGATTGCCGCCGTTGCAGTCGAAGGTCCGGCAGTGGCTGACATCTTTTTCGTGTACAATTATGCTGATCTTCTCGCCGTCCGTCGCGTAGACACACTTCCGGATTTTCGACGTCGCCACCGCCGTCACAGGATTTTTGAATTGTTTCGTTTTCAAGTATACAGGGGTCATAACTTGAGAAGGATTCGACGAAGACTGGCCCTAGAAACAGAAAGTTGTCTTCAGAATTCTTTTGAAGCGTGAGAGGGAAGAAGAAGCAGTTTGAACAAACACAAACTATCGCCTATTCACCACGACTTGAAACAGTATAATTTATCGGGGACACTCTTATTTTTGCCTGCTATTTCACGTTTCTATTACCTCGGAGATGATGGAGAAGAGACCCAGACAAGCTAGACTGTTTCAAGTCGGTACGAACGGCGTACAAGACAATAGGGTTACGCACATCATTGGATAGAAGCCGCTCGAAAATTCTGGTCGGTTTTTCCGATGGGCCGACCTTCGTTGGGTTTCGAAGAGCCTTTAGATCAGTTTCGGCCGTTTGCCGATGTCCCTCGAGCTGGTGCATCGCCCAGTCGGAAGGCGAAGTTCGTGTCAGGACCTCGTCCGAGGTTCTGTCGTCGGTTGCATCGCTCTGAATTTATTTGATGGAAAGCCACACCCGTGCTCGTTTAATTTGAGGAACTCTCTCTAGGAAAAAGTTCTATTTCATTCCTGTCGATTCAAGTTTTTTCATGATTCGTTGTGAAAAAGTGTTTATGTAGAGGATTCGATAAAATCTGATAAAGTTCAGATATTTCGAACTAATCACCTGACAACGTTTCAATTCAGAAATTCTCGAAATTGGCAAAAAAAAAACTCTGACTTTTCAAAGGAGAAAGTTTTCTTAAAAGTCAAGTTCCTATCTACAAGTCTCTAGTTTCTTTTAGATTGCGGTCGCCTTGACCAGGGCGCCCCTGTCTAATCATTTGCTTTCTTGCGAAAGAAATACGCCGAACCTGCAGAACTTGCATGATGGGCTCGACGAAGACTCGACTGCACCAAGGTATGAACTGCGTGGAGACGAGGGGGTCGTTGATCACCTTGCGGAGAGCCACAGACTCGCCCTCTTTCGTGAACTCTCCTCTTCCCGTCGTGACGCGTTTCGGCGTAAAGGTCCGTGCCGTGTTGCTCAGAATATCCTCCAAGAACTCTTCCGAGGCCACAGAGGCTGCAAACCGGGACAATGAGACTTCGAATCATACAATTACCACTTTTCATCTCATCTTCGTAGTCTTTGGGCGAGCCAACTGCGAATTTCATGGGAGGATGGCTTGAGGAGGACAGAGAGCTTCTTTTGTCGCCAGAAGTGGCCAAAAAGTTTTCACCTTTGAAAGAATATGATGAAGATTGGGGAGTTATGGAAGTCGATACCGGCGCTGTCGACTCGAAGACGTTGATCGCCGGCTTCTGAGGCGACGGGGGAGGAGTCATTGGAGAAGAGTTCGCCGAACACCGCCGCCCGATCTGCGGGAGATATCCGAACGGCCGCCGTTGCTGGACTTCCCACCACGAATCTCACGTGTCCTGATGCTTTCAAATAGAAATCTCACAAGAAAAGGATTTATAGAAAACTTTTTAGGTGGTGGGGAAAAGAGTTCAGTCTCGGTTACGTTGAGGTCTGATCGAAAAAATTCTTTAAAAGCGTAATTTTCCTGAGAAAAAAAAAGATTTGAGAGTCCAAAAATGTCGAAACTTCATTTTTGAAAAACCCAAACAATTTTTTTATTGAAGTTTGACTTGACGTCTTTGAGGGCACAGTAAAACTTTTTTTTAACGACAGAGCGCGCTTTGAGATACTTCTTCAGCCAAATTTTGAAGTCAATAAATCGGAAACTGAAAAAGATGACAAAAAACTGTCCTGGAAAAAGAAATTTCTAGGAGAGATCTTGAATTTGCAGCTTTTGAGAAGTTGAAAATGAATCTGTGAGCTTTAAAACTGAATTTTTCTGAAGGCACGATATTTTCATGAAAGTATTATCTGATCCCTGGAAAATCCCCAACCCTTACCATTATCGCTGGTTTTAGAAAGAGCGGAAGTTTGCCGGAAAAAGTCGGCGGTGGAAGGCGGCCCATCTGGCTGGGGAGACCTCATCTCAATGTGCGACAATTGACGAGCCATCTGTAGAGTAGGTGAAAAATTCCAAAGACTTTTCGTTTCGAGACCTGGTTCTGACTGAGAGTCGCCAGCTTTTCGCTGATAGTCTCTTTCATTTTGTGCGACTGCATCTCCACTCGTTTCACGATTCGTTGCGCCATCCTTGCGACCTAAACTTTGTGTATTCAGGGGACTTCCTAGATTCTCAAACGGACATGTTGCATCGGATCGAGGGATAGTCGGAGCAAGGCGAGCCAGGCTCTGGCCACCGGTTCTCCATAACTTCCCTCCAAGTGCTTGATTTGAAGCAACGCTCTCCTTCTGTAAAAATATCCCATTCATCCGTTTCTTGAAAATTTCTGAAAAAAATACATTCGCTAGATGCAACCAATTCCAAGTCTGAACTCGAAAAGTTGGCCCTCAAGCCGTGTAAAAGAAATTTTTGATTTTTTTCTGCCAGACTTATGTAGCTTCCAGAAAAGACAAATTGAATTTTTAGACTTTAAAAATCTCCTTTTTAAAGGCCTCAAGGAAAATTTTCGAGTACAAATTTGAAAAAAAAAACTTTTCTAGTGATCCTAGTCTCATTAAGAAGTCTCAACATGAGCTGAGAAAATTCATTATAAGCTGAAAACCTATAATCCTCGTCCTCAAACTCATAATCGGCCGCAAAAGAGACGCCGATTGCTGGAATTTCCTTCTTTCTTCTTGCGCCTTGAGAAACCGTCTGAAGATCACCATGTTCGAACTGAACAGCTCATTTTTTCACCTCTTCCATTGCTGATACAAAAACGCTGCTATGCAGCTTCTTCTTGTACATTGAGGATGATCCAGCGTCAGTGGAGTCTCTGAAAGAATAATATTTTTTTTGGAAGAAAAGGCAGGAAACGCACAATCTGTCGGCATGGGACCTTGTGGAAGGCATGTGGGAAGCGATATCAATCGCTTCATTTTCAATGTCCTCAGTCTTTTTGGGGACTTCGAAATGGAGTTTCCGCGATAATTCCAACAGAACTTTGACAAATCGTTGCTCGAAATCGAACACAAACCACTGAAGTTTTGAATTTTATTTTTAATACAAACACAAAAAAACCTGAAGGGCAACTATAAGTTCTTCGCGAACCAAAACAGCGCCGTCAAAAGTACATTTCTTGCAAAGTTGATCGGCCAGTTGCTGGTCTGCAATTAAAACTTTACAAAAAAACACTTTTTGAACCAACCTATAACAGTGGCGTGTTCGTTGGTGAACGAAGAGTTTTTGAGCAGACTTCCGATGGCAAAAGCCGCCGCGGCACGAACTTCCGGCGATTCGTCATCCAGTTCAAGTATGACCTAAAGAAAACTGATATGAACGGATAAGATAGAAAAAGATTATAAAAAAAAATTTAAGAATGAAAGATCACTTGCACTATGAATGAAGTTTTTTTTCTTGAATTTAGCCGTGTGTCTTTCTTTCTGACATATTCTCGTTTACAGCTTTTTCACTTTTAATGAAAAATTATTCGATTACTTTGAATAGCTAAAAAATCATATACCTTTATCATAGGCGACCAATCGAACTGCCTGCCACCGAGCGTCGTTATAATCCGACCACAAACGACCCAATCCAATCAAAATCCAAAGCTTCAAAAGACGACACTCTCTAGCATCGTTGTCACAGAGAAGTTCTGTGCAGAGGTTGACGAATCCCTTCTCCGTCAAGTTCTCCTGGGCGACTCTGAAAAACATCGAAATTCCCCTATAAAATTCCCGCCGGTCAACTTGTAGTTGTTGTGAAAGAGAGTAGCGAGAACGAAGGCTGGGACGATTTTCTGACGAGGAGACGTTTCCGGGTCGTTTAGAATCGCCACAAAATACAGATATCTTCAAAAGAAGAATTTAAAAGATCAGAAGTTGTTGATAAATGAAGAACAGGTGATTGAAATGATAAAAAATTTTGGGAAATAAAAATTTCAAACCTTTGTTTATAACTTATTGAAAGATGGTAAAGACAAAACTCGATTATTCTAGGAGTAAGTTGATTCTTCAAGATAACTCATAAACTTATGAGAGCGCCAACAGCGGAGTTCAAGAAAACATTTTAAGAAATTATTCGTTCTCTTTAACTGAAACTTAAAGTTCAAAACCTTCAGCGATGTGAAAAAACTGTGTTGGAAAAGTCAAATCCAACCACCTCAACGGAGTCTTTGGCTTATTTTTGTCGCCTGGCTGAGGTGTCGAAGGATGGCCGGGCGGCTGTTGGCTTTCGGCAGGTTGTCTCTGCCGGTGATGGTGATGACCTCCGGAATGCTGATCCGGTTGACCTTAAGGGAAAAAATATTATTAAGCAAGGCATATGAGTCTTCGCTCGAATCTTCGAGGCACTGAAAAACACGAACGCGTTGAGAGAAAGAAAGTCTCCTTTTCCCTTTTAAAGGTTCTCCAATTTTCTATGGTCCAAACATAGGCTCATGCGTATCAGAGAAAAGGGAAATTAAATGTCCAACGAAATCTCAATTCTGTCATTTCTATCAACAGTCAACTGGGAAACTGACTTCAAAATGGTTACACTGTCTACTGTGCAGGATTCGTTGCACCCTTTTGCTAGAAATATCCGTTTTGAACCCCTCTTCGCCCGTAAATCAGTGCGACGAGATAAATTAACAGTGAAAGAAAAAATTTTTCATCAGTAAAGGAAAACCCTTTGAACTCTAACTGCCAAATTGACCAACGAAGCGCAAGATTCAAGTTTCAGTCACCCGGCAGATTTTTTTTGATTTTCGGCGTAATGTTTGATATTTCCTACATACTCGAGTGTTGCGAGGAGCCGTGATAGCTCTGCTGCAGAGTCACGTGTTGGTTCTTCGGCAAAACCGGCTGACCAATCGTGCTCTCGTCGCCGTTTTCCTTGAAGAGTTCAGCCTGACACGTCGGGTCCACCGCTAATATCTGCAAACAGTTTTTCATAATACAATAACTAATACAATAATTCATTTTCATCCAACGAACAAAAAACCTTTGCCCATATAAACGCCAGCCACGGTCGCATCTCTCGAGTGTTGCTTTGAAGAAGACGCAAAACATAGGGGAATATGCCAACAGAGAGCGAATATCCAACCGCCCATTGGCCGAAATCCAAGAACCTTGCCAAACAGTCGGAGAGCTCGTACTCTATGAACCTGCAAAACTTTATGAAAAAAGAGATTGAACGGAAAAAGCATAGAGTATGATTGTTTTTTTCTATATTTTCATCACAGCCTTTTTAAAGGCAAAATGTATGTTCCACTTATCCACTAATCCTACCTGACTGAGCAAAACTTGGAGAACGACAGGAAGTTGGAGCGGCGGCTTTCCCGCGATCAATGCCATAGTCAAGCCAAAGTTCGAAGGCCTGCAACTGCTCGACGAAGAACCAGTTGCTGTTGTTGTCGTTGACATCGATGTAGTGGTCAAAGTCAACAAGATCTGGAAGAACACTGGAAGATGGACCAAATTCCTTGGGAGACTGACTGATGAAGGGGAAAATTCGGCTTCGAAGGAGGATTTCGCGACCGGAAGCGACGACGCTGTTGTTTTTGATGAAGATCAGTTCCTTGACGTAGTCGAGGACCATGTCGAGGGTCGTGTCCCAGGATTGCCAGAGTTCGTGTCGAGAAGTGTCGGCCAAAGCCGGTCTCGAGACGGGAGCTTAAAGTCCATTTTTACATTCGTTTTTTGTTGTTGTGATTTTTGAGGAAAAAGCGAGAAGTTTTCTGGTTCAGATTGACGTCAGGAATAACTGAAAAAGTCTGTCGCAATGGTAAGCTCCTCTGCTCCTTTTTTCTAGATCTCATTGAGACAATTTTTGACTTATTGATCGGTTCAGTTGAATATAAGTTACTATAAACATTATAAAAATCATGGATCCAAATTTAAAAAAAAAAATTCGGAAGTTTTTAACTGAGAGAAACAGATAATTAAGAGAAAATATTAATTTTTGTTTGCAAGACGCGAAAAACTCACAGCAGTCGTAGTCCGCCATAACTCTTTGCGAAAGTAAAAAGCTACGGAACAAAGAAGCCAACAGCAAATCCTGGAATAAGACAAGTTGTATTCCAAAAAAGAATAATCTCAGAAACCTGACGGAACAATTGCTGAAAAACGTCGCGAGGCAACGAAGTAAAAGCGATCGTGTCAGTGATGGCGGTGAAGATCCAGTTGAGTTCTCCGAGGACCGTTTTCCTCTCCGTCAAAGATCCTGGTATTTCTTCCAGGATGTTGGGTGGGAACTCGTCTTTTCGCTTGCTTTTGATCAGGTACCTTGAAAATTTTGATTTTTTGGTCAAGCTGCCGTGAATTTTCACGAGGAAGGATTTGAAATCCCAGCTTCATAAATAAAAATTGGCTGAAATCCTGATGAGACGTACTTCAGAGCTAGTTGATGCCAAGTTTTTTAATTGTTGAAACTTTTCGTTTGGATTGAAGGGGGTTTTGAAACAGCAAATTTTCCAGAAAGTTTCAAATTTTGTACTGCTTTTGTCGATAGGTTTCCGTTGAAAACTTTTAAGCTTCCAAAAGAAATGCAAAAAAGGGCAGAACAAAAATTCTTTCGTGTTTTTCGTCGCTTTTTTAATTTACTAAAATGTATCGTATATATAAATCAAAAATCAAGATTTTCCAGTGATAGATGAAAAAAACTACTTCTAAAGACAACTTAGCATCCCATCCCTCAAAAATGTAACTGGAGCTGACCACAAAACGCTGGTTTGAACAGGCGTCGTGAGACAGGAAGTGAAGAGATCGGCCGGCATATTCGGATCCATGGGAAGACTTTCGCCGCTCCGGCAGGCTGCCAGGTGGATGCATTCCTGATAATTTTCCAACTTATGAAAATCAATTTTGTTTTACCGACAATGAAACAGGCTTTCAAACTAGAGAAGTTTCAAAATTCAAGCTTTCAGAGAATTTTCTGCATTATATCAAGATGTTCTGAGAGAGAGGAAAGTCTTGGAAGATATGGCAATCTTGAAAATTCGACGAGACCATTCATAAAGGATACCCGAAAAAGTAAAATAATATTCTGGTTTTCTTTTATTAGTGCTGAGCTTTTAAAGAAAAAATCAATCTCCTGATTTCCCTTTACTCCATCAATACCATTTTATAACTACAAAACCATCTTTTCCGATAAAATTGGAATTAAGCTCATGTTAGAAACAGCAAACTCCCTCACCCGGTACTTGGGTAACCGAGTCATGAATCCCATCGCCTCGGCCTGTTCGTCTTGGTCCATTCCAGAAGAAATGGCCGACAAGGGGCGATCCGACCGTTCTTGGAACGTGTCGAAGTCTTTTTGCCAAGCCCTGAAAATGTTTTATTCTATTAAGAAAACTTGATATAACTACTTTTCGTGATCTCCTGCGAATCGAAGGAACGACTGGATGATGGTTTCCGCCGAGGAGCATTCCCAGACGTAGACGGCCGGGTACTCGATCCACGACTGTAGATCGTACAACGACAGCGGAATGTACTGAAATGGAGTTTTGAGACCGAGTGAAAAAAATTTTTTTTTATTGCCGTTCAAAAATAGTCTGAACTCCTTATTCTTAAGCAACTGTGTTCATCTGTCTTTTCGTGAAAAAAATATTGATTTTTATTCTTTGTAGCATATTTGATTTATAGTAAGAATGCTTCCGAGAAACATACAGAAAGTCAAAAATTTTCTTACTTCCAAGAAAATCATAAGCTTTACAACGAGTGACCTTTCATGTAAACTCCTGTATATGCTTCAAAAATTAATATTCAAAGGTACTTTTCAGCTTTATTTCGTTCAGAAAAACAAGCTTTCACTGATTTGATTAAAAAATCAGGAAATGAGTGGACCGCTGTCCGAGGCAGCTTCCTATGTGTTCCTGGCCAATTTTTAGAGCAGAATAATGAAAAATGAATTTTCCTTGATAATGGATACGAAAGAAATCATTACTCATTATCTCGATTCTGAGGCAACGAAAGACGGTTAATTTTCAAAGTCAATACCAAATTAGACCAAGAACATGCAACATGGGCTTTCAAAAAAATTAATCTACTAAAAAAAGGTGCAAAAATCTATTGAAAAAAATTAGTTTTTTTCTCTAATTAAAAATAAAAAAACAAATCACGCTTTTTGGGCTGACCTGGGTGAAGGACTTGTTGAAGACCCAGATTTCTCCGTTTCTCGTGGGTCGCGGCACTCCGTGGCCGTTGTAGTGGAACAGAACCCGGTCTCCGCCGGTCACGCGACGCAGAGTCGTGCAGATCTTCCTGACGTCTTCCAGCGCCGGATCACACGCGATTTTGTATCTTCAAATAAATCATTGTTCAAAGTTTTCATAATAGAATTCAAAAAACAAATCTTGGAAAAAGTTGGCTATGCCATCGAAATAATCACCTGGCCCTCGGCTGCCAACGCTCGTAACTTCTTTGAAGAGCCGTAGCGATTGAATGGGCGGCCTTGTAAGGACCGCATTGGAATGGATCGACCCAAGCGAGAAGCTTCGCGCAAGGATCCGGCTTCGGCGGCGCGTCTGGAGGGTCTATGCCGATATGAAGGCACATGATCAGTGCCACTGACATGGTCTTCATCCGCTCTTTCCCATACTTTCTCCTGTAATTTTTCATTATTTTCGAAAAATCTCATTAAAAGTTATAAAAAAATTTAGTAGATTAATAAAATGTGGAATAATTTGTATATTTTATACGTGTTTTAAATTCAAGAGACTTAGCATAGAATGAAATCGAAATTTCACTTTTTAGAAATCACAGAAATTATGAAAAAAAAAATATTTTGCTGGGATTTTCAAATATTACCGACGTCGAAGGAGATTGTCCTCCTTTCAGAAGAGACAATCGTGTTAAGAAAACCAGAAAATAATCAAAGTTACATGCTCAAGATCTTTACTTATAGAAAAAAAAAATCCAGAATTATATTTAAAAAAAAAAAACTAACCAGGAGTTCCTTTCTTCGACATCTTCCATGTTACCCTTTATATCTTCGATATGGCGGGGCTCTTGAAAAAATCGTGTGATAAACTCGTAGCCACCCTGAATTCATTTTGATAAATTCTTGTTCTTTCTTGCCGCAAATTATGAGAAATTGAGCTTTTTCAATAAAGAAACCTGATTATATCGCATAGCTTCATCGAGACGATGCTTGAACTCCTTGTAATCCGACATGGTTGCAAATAAAAATGTACAGAACTGAAAGCAACTTTTCGATCAAATTAGTTTAAAAGAGATTTAAATGAAACAGAAAATAACATCACGACCGAACAGTGTTTTTGATTAGAAATGTTTCTGATCTCAAATTTATTGAAATTTTGGCTTAACTTTAATATATTTGAACTTGTGCTCTGATAATAAAATGTGTGCGAAGTGAATTTTATTTATACGGTTAACCATTCCCCGTAGCGTACTTAACCGCCCTTCAGTTTACTCTTAAATTCTCACTTTTTATGGAGGTCATAAACTATTTAGATTTCAGAAAAAAAAAGAGGAAATTTTCACATGAAAAGAAAATGTGCCAGGCATTTGCATTTTCAGCACGCCCGCTAAACGGCGCCCTACGAAAAATTGAACTTTTGAACTCTGCTTCGTTGTTTCTAGCGTTTGCTTTGAAGGAAAAAAAAAACAGTAAAAAAATTGCTCGCATCAGATTCTTTCTTGAAACGCAAATGAGCTCAGGTGGCATTTGAAAGAAAAACAAATTGACTGAAATGTATTCCTTGAAAATGTGACAATGTACCAAATTGATGGCAACTGCGAGACTCCAACAAAAAATTTATTTGAGAAAAAGTTAACATCGGGTTTAATCAAGGTGCAAATATGGATCAGAACTTGAAAAGGACGCCTTGTTTCGGCGGAATGGTGAGCTTTTCGTCGACCAAGTTGATTTTCTGGCGGGGAGTGTAAGTTTTGAGTCCGGTAGTAGTGGCCGAGATCTGAAAATCGTTCAAGATAACGGAGAAAAACGGAGGAATATTGACCTCGACGTTGTTGAGGAATTTGTTAGCCGGGATGAGACGCTTGGTGTCTTCCGTGGTGAAGTCGATGTCGAAGTCCTTCTCGCCAAAGTTAAGGACAGCAACATAGGCCTGAATTTCTTCACATAATCGAAAAATCAGAAAATCGACGTACGGATCCCTTGGCGGTGTTGTTCTCGGCCTTGACGAATCTCGAGAAGAGGATGACGTCATCGATGAGCGTGTCGCGGACCGTTTCTCCGACGATGAGAGCTTCGTCGCGTTGACGGAGTTTGGCCAACTTGCGGTAGACCTTCAGTTGAGAGTTCTCCTGTTGGAACTGCGTCTGAAAAGAGATCAATTTAGTGAAAAGTGGGAACTGTTCTGATAGAAGTTGGTTGTGGACTTTTTCTTATCTAGCCTTAGTTCAATTCCCTTCAAAGACTTTACTCTTTTCGTAATAGGGATGAAAGAAGAAAGTCAAACCTCAAAGTTGTCCTCCTGATCGGCCTCGTCGTTCTCAGCGAAGAAAAGCTGTCCAATATCCTTAGCCTCGGACAAAAATCCGTGATGATCTTCCTTGGTCGGCGTCCATTGCATGATGCCTCGTTGGGTTCTCGGATTTCCTGAAAGAAAACAAGTCAATGAAAACTTCAAAGCCTAAAAACCCACCAACGTCCTTCAAACCGAGCTCCTGGCCATAGTACATCGACAGAGCTCCAGGAAGGGTCAACTAAAATTCAAATAGATCAAAACTAAAGTTAATTATTGGGGAAAACCTGCAAGAAGCTGAGAAGATGAGCGGTCGGAGCGTCGAAACGAGTGGCCAATCGGCTGTTTTCCGAGTTGGAAAATTGCCAGTAAGGTGTGTAGTCATCAGCCTGGAAACTCTCGTATTTTTCGCAAAAAAGTTTTTTTTGAACGACTACTGGGCTAAAGAGCGTTAGAGAACGTTGAGATTTTCAGAAAAATCAGCGTTCGTAGGAGCAAAGCTTCACAACACGACTAATTGTACCAACTTAACACATTTCTACACACTCACTTTTCCGCTGTATTTCGTGACCTTCAAAATGTAAATGAAACATTGAAAGGCAAAAAAAGGGTTTTTTGAACCTCGTGGCGTTTGTAGGCGGCATCGAGGGCGGAATGGACGCAGTGGGCGACGCCTTCTTTGCACGTTTCCTGGCTGAGTTTGGCGAAAGTGTTGTCGATGACGTAGTGAAGCTCTCCGGTCTCGCGGGCCACCGAGTGAAGGCCTTCGATGTCGCGAAGAGACGAGAACAGCACACTGGAAATAATGTATTTAGAGATTGTTATAGTCGAACCTATTAATAACCAGGCTATTCAATTGAAAAAATATTGATTATGTTAAATTTTTTTTAATGCTTTAAATTAGTTTCTCCTTGAGACGAATTGGCGTCAGCACTGAAATATCCAAAATGATACAATCATTTGTTTTCCATTTAGATCGTAAAAGTAGGAAAATCCGTCTTTTTTTTTTGAACGATTACGTAGATTTTGATGAATGAGAGCTAAAAAAAAGCGGTCAATTTAGAGAAAAAGGTCACTTAATTTATAATTTTTGGCGGTATTTTAACTATACAAAAAAGTGAAAAACACTCATTTTTCTTCTTACGAACTTCTCATTTTTAAACCTTGACTCTCAAAAGATAGTTTTAAAACGAACATTTTCTTTTCGGAGAGCGTTTCATGGCTGCCGATAAAGTTGCGGATCGTCGTTGTAATGTTTTTCAGAACGCGAATGGCGGCGTCGTGCTGAAACGGTCCATTTGGTAGGTTTTCTGAGGAAATTGACGAACATCAGGCTGTCCATTCGGACCGACGGCGAGCTGGCTGACGTGATCGATGTGGAAGCCGTCGACGCCGAGGAGAAGGAACTTCAGAATCGCGTCGTTAATCGAGTGCACAACCTGAAAGTTAATTGTTCAATTCAAATCAAGAGTAATATTTCAAGGCGAAATTCTAAACGTACAGTATTAGCCTCATTGGAAATCTAAACCTTGCTTTTATTTTTTCAAAGTTTCACTAAGTCATGTAGTGATAATTTTCGTGCACCTTGGGACTGTTCCAGTTGAGAACGGGATTGGCGGCGGTAGGGTATCCGAGGTACCTGAACTTCGTCCATTTTCCGCTTGAAAAAAGCGAGATTCCCACTTGACTCCGTTAGCAAAGTTATGGAAGTTAGTAGAGTTGTAGCCAACGTCGGAAGGACGAGCCGTGACGAACATTTCCTCGTTTCTGTCGCGGAACCAGCTGTGGTTAAGGGAGACCGACGAAACAGGCATGTCGATGACGACGAACATGTCTGAAGACGTTTAGAATCCTCTTATCCTTCAGATTCATCTGAATACCTCGGTTGTGCGCCGTCTCGATGAGCTCCTTGAAGTCGTCTTCGGTTCCGAAGCGACGGTCGACCTCCATGTGGTTGGTGACGTCGTAAGAGTTGAAGTATTCGTCCTTTAAACAGCGAAATTACTCGGAAAACTTTTTTTTCGAGAACTTTTTGAATCTCGATGACAGGAGTCGGGTATACGGTAGTGACACCGATCTTGCGGAGCATGTCGATTTTTTCGGTGATTCCCTTGAAATCTCCAACGCCATCGTTGTCAGTGTCGTGGAATGTTGGCGTGAGGACCTGGAAGAAAAAACTCATAAACTCAAAAAAATTTGATTCGATTTTCATTGAAATGTGCTGAAAATTTTCTTTAGCAATTTTTTTTTTTTGAAGTCCAACCGAATTTGAGGGAAATTCTGAAAAAGCTAAGCCTCTAAAGAGATCCTCACTCGAAAAAAAAAATTCCCGATAATCTTGACTCAGGACTAAGATTAAAACTCTGATCTCGAAGTAAAGCTGCCGTTTTGAAAATAAATCGCAGAAAATTGCGGAAATTTTGCCGTTTCCTCGAAATTTCAGTGCAATTTTTGTGTTAGGTATCAAATTATTTTTTATTTGAATTTATGTAGGCAACTCTGTTGTAGATGATCAAAAATTTGAGTCTGTAAGGTCCTTCTTTCACATCCATAAATTATTTGTAGATAGAAATATCTAGTCTAGACTGTAAAAACTTTGATATTTCATTTGAGGCGTGCTATCTTTTATGTTTTCTCAAATCCGTTAAAAAAATGATTTTCTGCGTATTAAAGAGACTAATAAAAACTAAAAAATTGTTCAAAAATTCTGTAAGTTTTCACGCGGACCTAAAATATGTTAATTAAATTTTTTTCTCCGTTTCCATTTAGGATTTACGAATGAATGGGCACATTTCTTAGCGAGATGTCAGGATTCCTCGCGCGAACCCAAAAACAAAGGTCCAGTGACAGCCCATTGTACAACTGGTCAGTTGGAGATTGTCCGTGGGGCGCACGAATCGATCTCCGACGACGATAAGCGCAACAAATGCGCTGATTGGACCCGTCAATACGTCGGTGTCACTTGGTCATATTTTCGATTAATCAAACGGAGAACCCTCATTTCGATAAAACGCCAAGAGGAACCAAACCTGGTAGGAGACTTTGGTCTGCCACCAATCGGGCTTCTGTTTTTCGGCGCATTTGGGTGAGAGTACGACGATGGCCACAGCTCCGGCAAACATCGCCAGCCAGATCAGCCAGAAAAGAACGAAGAGGACCGTTCTGAAAGTTAAAATTGGAGATTTTTGAGTCTTTCCTGGAAAACAGGTCATACTATTTTGATTATGAGGAATCTTTGAAAGCTTGAAAAAAACTCATTTTGGAAAATCTATCTAAAAAGTGTTTCAGTTCAGGATTTCAACATTGTAGGTTATCACTTAATGTCTGAGATTTTTTCACAGTAAATTTTGTTATGAAGACACAAAAGTTTCTTATGCTCGTGGTGGTACGAAAACATTCAAATTTTAAGATTCACGTTCTTGATACGATTAAAATTTCAAACATTCCTGCGTACGGATGCAGTTTTGAGAAAAAAAACTTTTTTGAATTCTCAAAGTTTCTTTCCCTACTCGAATGATTTTGAATTCGCTTCTATTTCGTCAATGAAATCTCTCAATAGTATACTTTCGACTAGCAGTCCGCTAATCAAACAGCTCTTTTCTCTAACAAAATGCTCCGACTGTTTGCCTATTTCGCTTCAATTCGTTTCCACGCACAACTCGTAAAATTAAATTAAATTCATACCTAACAGGCTTCCAGAACGGATCATTTCGGTACTTTTCCAGTTGTTCCTTGGTGAGACCAATAGTTTTTGGCTCCAACTCGAAGTTTATTTTCTCATCGTTCTGAGAAATAAAACTTCATTGAAAAGATAACATTTTGTTTGAAACCTTTTTATAAATAACTTGTTCGACAGCTGGATTACCTTCTTCGGCGATCAGGGCGTCCCTGTTCGCCATTCTGGATCAAAAAGTTTATTAGAAAAAAGTAGAACGAAGCGAAGAATCCGAAAAATGAAAAAGCAAAAATTCTGATAAGTGTTAAAAAAATGGCTTCTGAAGTTTTTGTCTTTCATCATGGCTTAAAAACGTTTTTTTTTTTTTGGCTTATCGCTTCACACCCGTCCAAATTCCTTCAGAATACATCAGGAAAAATGAACAGAACAAAATTGTTCAATTGAGGAAAAAACTGATTGAAGTAAAAAAAAAATGAAAGTCATAACTAATTTTCATTCTGATAGAACAACATAGCTTTTTATAACTTATTTCCAACCAAATACGAAATTTTTGAAACAAGGGAACAAGTCGAAATTGAGAAAAGAAGAAAAAGTAAAAAAGAAAGTTTGGATAAGAACGAAAGAGCGAAAAGAAATGGACGTGCAAAAGCAGGGCGGAGAATAAAGAGAGGGTCGAGAGAAATGAGCGAAGGCGGAAAGAGACAAACGGCTGAACGCAGAGACGTCGTCCGCACTTTGTGCCGTCGCGATTTCCGCTTTTTTATGGTTCTGATAGGAATGATGCAACACAATTTTTGCTTCAATCATTCTGCGACGAAAAAAATTTCAGGAAAACATTGGTAATTCCCTTTGAGAAAAACTGCGAGGACGTGGTACGAGCGGAATGAAGTTATGAACTTTACACAGAAAAAGTTTTATTGAGAATATAATCGATTATGAAGATAAAAACTTCAAAAAAATGCTTTCGAATTTTGTTGTGGTGGTAGACTTATGTGATACTCTATGATAGTATTAGTACTTTCTTTCGCTTTTCGGTAACGTTAAAAAAAAGTGTATCGGGCGATAAATAAGAGAATTCCGACAATACCGTCATAATGCTTCAGAGCAGAAAAAAATTAATTTTTTCCAAGCACTTTAGGCATAAAAAGCAAGGTTACGCGACAAGTTTCTTTCCTTCAATAAGGCACATATAAATTAAATCAAGTCTGAAGAACACAAAAGAAAAAAAACAAAAAAAAACCAAAATGAAATTTTTCGTTTTTGAGACTTTCGTTATCAACAGAGCGCGTTTCACAAAAGCTCCTCGCCACCGTCTTTTTTGCATTTGCAAGTCGTTTCTCACGATTTATCACTTTATAAAGCTTTTTGAGATATGAAAAAAAGGAAAGTTTTTGCTGCGTCGCGAGGAAAATTAAAGAAGGATAAGCCGGGTAATTTTAATTGCTCCAAATCGGGTTGCCTTCAGTGTCCCCCTCTTAGAAGCAATTAGTATCTACCAAACTGACAATGACACATGTGCATTAGGCACTTGAAAGGCGAACCCGCGGTGCTTCCTGACCGCAGACAAGAAAAGCAGCGGCTGACGTTCTTGCGCGAAATTAGCCGCTGCTCAATGAGAGCTTCCGTCAAAGCTTCTCTACATAACAAATTTTGTCCATCACATCGAGTTTTAATTTTGAACGAGATTACTTTTCATAAAAAGGCGACCCCTTTCCGTAAGCTGAGAAAAACGAAAGTCCAAAACTAACATCACACATTTATATTTAACCTTTTCGAATTTTTTCTCCGAGTAGTTCGTGTTCTCATATTTCACACAACTCCACATGTATTTTGAACTTAAGAGTTCAATAGATGGACATTTTTGGTATAGAAGCAGAACCAGTTAAAAATTTGAAATTTGAGATAAAATAGAATGAGGAAACCAGCGAGTAGTAATTTCGGATTAGCCTAACCTAATTAGGATTCTAGGCCGGAATTGAGGTTCCCGGATTTGGAAACCGAAAAACTTTCAGACGTGAATATTGAATATTGAAGTTGACCTCAATTATAATTGAGGTCAACTTAATTATGGAATTGTCAAAAAAAAAACGGATCAAATATCGTTTCGTGGACTTGTAGAAAGGCTGAAATCTTCATGACCTGAAAAAATTTCTTAAAGGTGGGTTTTTTGCTTCGAGACCTTCATGGAAAGCTGTCAAAGGTCTTCAAAATATTCCGTATTTTTGAATAGACTGAACCTTTGAAAACATTTCGAAACATACTTAAATCGGACAAGATGGCAAGGAACATAATGAACTTGTAAATGATTTCTTTTAATCCAAAAATTGCGAGGAAAAGTTTTACGTTCAAGTCAGTAGAAGCTGAGATACATAAGTTGAGCGAGGTGAGAAGCCTGAGCCAAAATCTGTTTGAGGTGTGCATTTCTCACGCCGAGCTTAACCTTCGGCAGGGCAGATTCAAAGGAAAGGCTCGAGTTGGTCTGCCTGAATACACAGCCTGCGCAGCTATGCGCGATAAATACGCAAACAATACGTGATTGAGCGCCACTTTTGGCTCCCGAGGTACTCGGATCATCGCGCTCGCGGAGCTTTTCCGCTGGGGTCAAGTGAGTCGCCGCTTCTCCTCTCGGCTTAGTTTCCGAGTCTCTTCGGCAGTGGGATCAAATACGCGTGTAGAATTCGTTTTCGAATAGTTTCCCGTATCCCAATGTCGAGATAGTGAAGAGCTGTTGCAGAGGAGTGAAAAAGGGTATCAATTAATTAAACATTGTCGAAAATAACTGAAAGAAATTTGAAGAAGCATAGACTTCACTTTCAAGCACCGCAGCAAAAAAACTATTGATTGTACCTTTCTTTTATTTGAAAAAAATCAAAATATTGATGGGAAAAATTTGATTCAAGAAAAAAATTAAGAAAGAGGGTTCAGAACAAGAAAGGGTCTTAAAAACTTAATTTCCCCCTCCCAAATTTTCTTTCAAGAACGAAACCAAGCCTTAAATTTGGTAAACGGAGAAAAACTTATCTCTTTTTAAAATGAGACTGTATAAATGCTAGTGTCCGGATTTGGCTAAGATCTCGTACAGCTCTAAAATTATCCCCCGATTTGAGATTTTTGTGCAATTTTTTAAGTTCTTCGTTTTTTTGTTGTTTCAGATTTCTTTCAAATAACTATAAAGCAGTGAATGAAACTTTTTTTTTCTTCGACCTTTTTGAGATTGTTAGATTCATCGAGGCTATGCTGTAGTTAATTTACCAAAATCTCACCAAAGCTTTATTTCGTTATTCATACCCATTTTGCAATAATAACCATAAAGTTGACAAAGTTTGCGATTTGTAGAGCCAACATAGTCACAGTTTCCAATGTTCGTCCGCTCCATTGCTTCATTTTCTTCCTGAAAATCGCTCATTTTATTCTAACGAAACGAGTTTGGAAATAACCAAAAAGGCTTTTTGCTGTTATCCGCACGTCGGGTCAGCCAACGACGCAAAGAATCGTATCTGGTCATCAGAAGAATGGCAACTATCATGATAACAAGGTTGATGATTATATAAATCCCTTGAAAATGAATTATGACAGAAGGAATCCTTGCAAGTTACCTAATAAAGGTATGGTAGGAGTTTTGGGGATTTTGTCAGCCATGACGCCGAGAATAAATGTCATCGTCATAATGTTTGTCAGACCAACATTCAGCTGAAATGTTTGCGTCTTCTTTTATTCCGCTTCTGACTTACTCTCGACATCAGATCGGACTCCCTTAAGAAAACGCCAATAATAGAGACGGCATTGATGATGAAAGACGGGATTAGAATCATATAAACGTAATAAACTGGGTTCCGCTGTATTTTTATTTCGAAAATGATCTGTAAATCTTCTTTTTTTGGAGTTGTTCCATTGATAGTCCTACCAATTCAATAGAGAAGAAAGAGTCGTTGTACTGGAAAAGCTCGATTTTGTCGCTCAGGCTTACGACTCTCCATTCAGAATTCCCCTGAAAACTGACTAATTTATTTATATTCTGTATAAAATATAACAACCACTGTAGAAAGGATAGAATGCTCCTTGATTGCGCTATAAACTTCTCCGAAAAGTTTGATTTCATCGATTGTGAAATAAGGAGAAGTCAGCCGAATCTGGCAAGTCTGGGTGTCAAACGGAAAATCTTCTATCTGAATAAAGATTGTTTCAACTGAGAACTTTTTTTGATGTCCATGGTCACACGTAGGATGGATGGATTGGAAATAAAAAACTTTCAAATCAAGCTGGGTCTGATCCTTTCCTAACCGCAATGCTTTGAGTCATTGCATGTGCGACCATGACTACTTCAAGTTGTGTTACAGGACTTTCTCAAATACATAAATTGCTTACATTCATTGGGCACACTGTAGCGATTCTCGCGGCAATGTAGCCTCTGGTCCTCGAATCAGAACTGAGCTGGAAGTTTTTCTTTAAGAAAGAAAAGCCTCTCGGAAAAAATTACACAGATCTGGCGGTTCGGAGCCTCCACAAATTCTTGATAGTCACTCCTAAAAATGTTTTGGAGCCTAAGATAAAATGGGGAAAAACTTACGTTCCGAAAGGTTGAACGGGAGGAATCCAGATTCGGTCTTCAGAAACATAGACATACTCAATGTCGTCATGGTCTTTGGGGTTCCAACGGAGTCGAGGATCGTACCAGTACTGAGAATCATAGATTTATAGAAAAATATATTTGGTTGACTAACCGTGAGAATTTCGACGACAAAAGAAACTCTTTCTTCGGGTTCAGACTGCAACTTTTTTGAGATTGAACCACGAAAAATTGCTCACCACTTCCACTAGCTTTAGGTAATAAAGAAACGCAGTGATATTGAAGCGGTTCTCCGGACTTCCCATCGTCGATAAATTTGCTCAAATTCCGCGGTTGAAAGTTTCAAATGCCGAATGAAAACTCTTTGCTGGAGATTTTGGAAAGAATTTCTTGACAAAACATTTTCATGCTCCTCTAATCAGCTCATCCAAGACTTTTCAAACATCTCATTGTAGATTCTTACTTTTGGTGGAAACTGGCGAGACTTTTGCATCGTACTTTTGAAACAAGGAGTCCACAAGCTTTTGTTGGCTGTTGATATAAATATCTTGTTCAGTTGCTGAAAATACTTCGGTTTAACATTTCTCACAAAAAACTCACTAGTAAATTGAGAAAAAGTTTGGATGAAGGAATGACAAAGGAGAAGAAGCAACGCAGCCATTCTGAGTGAGGAAAACCCCGCCGCACTACCAATTTTCCTAATGAAGTTTTCGGCAGGTGTTCTCCAAACATATTCCCCACATATGAAGAGAAGTAAGCTCAAATACCACCGTGAGACGTCTGCAGCTCGGTATAATAAAGATAAAGCTCAAAATGATAGGTAATTTTATTATATTATTTTATAAAACGTTTATAAAAGATCTTGCTATAAAAATGATATGAAGAATATTTTCATTTCTTTTATTTAAAAAAAAATATTCCGTTGAAACCCCAATTCTGTCCCAATTCAATTCATCCAGGCAAGGCGCTTATCAAAAATTTTTCCTAACTCATTGAACAACAAAAAGTGAGTTTAGCTGACGTTCGCAAAAAACCAAATTGTTTGTTGGAATCCTAAAATTAAGGCTCGTAAAAGTTATCTTATCTTTCAGTTTACGGTGACTGAAACTTCCATTTCTTCTCAAAAGAAGTCTGAGAGAATTTCTCCATCTGACTCAGGACATAAGCCGGTAAAAAAATTTAATGAAATTCATTATTCGTGGCATACATAACATAATTCTCAGCTTTGAGATTGATTTCCCGACCTTATTGGATGTAGAAGGAAGTTTTATGAGGTCTTATCAGACCGGCTCGCAGTGCCAGGCCGTGGACCGGCACTTTGCGCAGCTTCTTATCGGATTCTTCAGAGGCATGGTCATTTTGGCAGGGCTTAGGGAGCTGAATGGACAGTGGCAGATAGCAACCGGCCTCACATTCCTTTCAATCAAACCACGCTCGTTTTACTCCGTTCTCCGGTTATCGTACGAACGATCTTAAAACAATATAATGGTCATCTTTTCGAATGCACATGGCCGAAATATGTTGTTTTAGGTACCCTTGTTGAACTTCTCATCGGAAATCCGACGGTTTACTTGAAATATCAAGAAGCGGATACCAAAATAATGGAGAGGCCTACTTCCAAAGTTAAAACTTTGCGCATAGTAAAAAACTGAATATAGTATGAAAATCTCCACTATTGGTTTTTTTTTTCTCAAACACTCTCAGAACCAATGACTGTAGTCGGCAAAACTGTTGATCGGGAGCTATTTTGGTCGTCGGATCAGTCTTTGTTCTTACCTATCGGCCAATATTTTCCCGTTTCAGTCGTTCCCAACTGTTTACCAGTTCATTGCTACTGATTTCTGCAGCATCAGTCTTTTTCAGCGTGATTTCCCTTGTTTGAGCTGAAATTTTAAACAAACGGGATGGTGTATCATCAATACGCATTTTTTCTGGTTTCTGCAGGATCTTTCAGAAACATGTCTGCCTGACCATGGTAATGTAATGTTTTCAAAAGAGTTTTCGTTTTCAGTTATTCATAGTGTAGAAAAAAATGTTTTGATTAGTAGAAAGCTTCCAAAATTTACTTTCACAAGCTCGCGGTTGGTAGAGCATATCATTCCTTTAATTTCATTTTCCTACAGCTTTTCGTCCGTGTTTTTGGCGCAAATAAGTTTGAAAAAATATTTAACCTCAAATTCTGACGCCACTTCATAACTGTCTTCAGTTTTGACTAGGAAAAACAAAAATTTTGAAATGGTAGTCAATTTTTTCTTCAAAAATGAATGATAAGAGGTAGCGTGTTCAGCACCGTAATCGCCGTCTTTTTATTTTTTCACTGCTTCCTTTTTCAAAATTACCACCAGAAGTTTTGTTTCATCAGGTTTTCGGATGATTTGGAGCGACATTTCTTATAAGGGAAAACAGCTCACTGTAGAACTCTTCAACAAGACTAGAATCAAAATATAATAATTTGAAAGTGACTTTGAACTGATTAAAGTCAAGGGATGTTCTTAAGGTCTGTGAGAAAAATATTGAGATACAAAGTTGAAAAATCTGAAGGTCTCGATAGAAATCATAAAGATGTATTGAGAGGCAAGCCTGCCTTAGCTCGGAACATATCGCTAACATCGAACAAAATTTCGAGAGCAGCTTGAAAAATGAATCTTGCCGTCCTAGTCACCTTTAGATGTCTTCTGGGAGCCGAGACCATTCTCAAGTCAGTATTCGGAATAAATGAAGTGCTCTCCAAATATTTTTCAGACAAATTTACTTTGACTTCCTTGTTTTTAGCTACACCTCGAAACTCAAAGTACTGTCCTCACGCCATTTCATTTCTGACCATGGAAGGTCATTTCGAGAAAAGTGCTGCCCTCACGGACTAGTACCTTTTGAGATTAATGCGATTATGACGGCTCCCGATGCCACTCTTTATCAAATAATTACGTCTCCTGTCAAAAGCTTTTTTCCGGTGCTAATCTGTACTTTCCCATCGCCTTCAAACAATTTTCGGGCCATCTTATTGCTCTAATCTCTCGAATTATCGAAAAAAAGCCACCGATTTTTTTAAAAAGTATTTTTTTCTAACCAATCGCAAAAAAATAGATAACTCATTATAAAAAGTTATGAAGTTTTTCTGTAGGGTGTCGATTTTAAACGTTCAACTATGCCATTCAAAAAAATATTCAACTTTTCGAGCTAATTTTTATTTTTATTCCCATGACTCATCACCTTCAAAGTTTTTTTTTTCTCGAAGTTACAGTAGTGATTGCAATGATAAGCTCTTTATAAGATAGATAAGATACAGTTTTTCTTTCTGTCAGATGGTACAAAAGACCTATTTCTATCAGATCATATTCTTTCAAAGGATGATGAAACTTTTTTAGCCAAGTGTCCATTAAAAAAAAAATTTAAAAAATGAAACTTTTTGAAACGCAAAAGGGCTTTAATTTGTTGAAACTTGCTTGGAACAGTATTTCAGGAGTTTTATTCAAAATTTCGGAGTTGAAGGTTCGATATCCACTAAACTCAATATTTGTTGAAAAATTAATCTTCTCCTTCCTCTTTCCAGTCCAAAGTCTTTGAAAATGTAAAGTTAAATTAAAACGACGTATTAATGGAATTATGGGAAGAAGCCAATAAAAAAAAAATCAAACTTGTGCTAGAAACATGTTCAAGAGCACATTGAACATTTTTTCTGCTATCGTTTTTGCTCTTCAGAGATTTCCCGGTAACTGAAAACGTACTTACTAGTTGATTACTAGTTATAAGTACTTAATTAATCGAAAATTCGGATTTCAGAACGAACTTAACTCTCTCTGAAATTTATTTGTGGTTCCCGCATCTATGACCGCGTTTTCTCATCTTCTTTATCTTTACATTCTCAAGCTCGATTGAAATTTTTTCCATTCTTCGCAACCATTCCCGAAAAGCCTCAAAAAAAAAGAAGCCTCTGTGCAAATTGTTGAGAAATTGCAACATCAGCGAAACGTTTCGATTTGTGATCGAGTTGTTTGCATGGGGAAATGGTCGAAGATGGGCAGTTGAAAGCTTATCAACTCTTTATCAGCCCAAGGCGGCTCCTCTCGCCCTCGCAATTCGCCCTTTGCACTTTTCCAGAAAATTTTAATTTTTCGAGCAGCTAGTTTTTTATTTCCTCTTCTCTTCTTGTTTTCCAATTTTCGAAAAAGTTGTTTTTCAAAAATCAGATCTTTTCATGGTCAATTAAACCTTCAGCTTTCCTGCGAGGATGAGCGGCAACCAGGAACCCCAAAAAGAAAAAGTAATAGAAGGGCAAATGAAAAGAAAAGTGATAGAAAGTGACCCTTGGCGCTTATCGTAGCGTATTTACTCACTGATAATTCGTATCGGCTCCCCAAAACATCATATATTTTTGCTCCGTTGTTCTTTTTCACTATCGTTTCTATTCTTTTCGTTGACGTGCGCTCCTCTAATGATCGCTTGATTGTGTCATTATCTCAAATTCGTTGAAAATTCACGTTTTTCTCCAATATCTTATACTCGAGAGTAAAGTACGGATATTTTTTGTTCAAGCATTTTGCTAAGATTTTGAGAAGCTCAAAAGTGATAACATCTTTTTTCTCATTGAAAAAGCCTTTTCTAATTGAAATTCGTTATGATTCCAAGAAAAAACTCTTACGAGGAAGGTACTTTTAATTTGCGGCTGACAGTTTCCTGAAAATTGGCCAGAAAACTACTTGTCCCAAATGAAGATCCTGAATGTCTCAACACGTACAACTTTCTAGCTTTTAAGAATGGACGCCTTAAAGTCTAAGAAAATCCCCTCAAAAACAATTGAAAAAAAGCCTATCAATGCTTTTTTTCTAATTATCTCTTTGTAACTTCTTTAGAAAATATTTTCTTTGTTTCTTTTTTAGACTGTTTTTTTCCAAACTTGCAGCACTTTTTTTATGCATTAAACGATGTGAAACTTGCTGTTCACTTCATTTTCTACCCATTTACCCCGTCCAATTTGTAAATAAAAAAACAAAGAGTACAATGTTTTGATCATGAAAAGTGTTCCGAGCTTTCAGACGTGTTCATATCACTGGTCAATAAAAATCAGACAGTAATCAAAAACAATAATAATGCTGTAGGATAAAAATGACAACTCAAACCAATTTTATTCTCATATTAATGTATGCCGTAGGTCCTTTCGCTTTTTAAAAAAAAACATTTTTTTTTCTCAATTTTCATGAAAGCAGAATTTTTTTTTGAAGGTTCAGAAATTTTTTGAGTCTGAGAATCGAGGTTTCGTCTAGAAACGACTTACAAAGGTTCTAAGGCGAAAACCTTCTTTTAATAATTATTCAAGCATTTTGCTGAGCTTTTAAAGAAGCTTTTTCGAAGTTACTCCGTGCAAAGATTCAAAGTCATACAGTTTAGATGTTTGGATCTTTGGGCGGGTGCACTTTCCGTGGCTGGCACGGCTTCGGGGCATTTCGTCGCCATATAGGCCTAACTCATTATCTTATCGGCTTCTTCTTTTTTTGGTGTATGCTGATTGGAAATCTCCGCCCTACCGTCATCATTCAAGCAAGAAAAAGAGAAAGAATAACTTACAGAGCTGAAGAGCTCGCGGGGGACATGGAAATCGCGACGACCAACACCTCCGTCCACTACTTCGAGGCGGCGACGCTGGCCACCAAATCGGTCATCGTTTACTGCGACCGAGCAGAGGTGAAACGCCTTGTCTGCGTTAACCTCACAAAAGGGTCACATGAGATCCTCATTCAGGTTAGCCTTCAAAACACGTCTTTATTTTTTTGAATCAAAAATGAAAATATTTTTGGAAAAAAAAGTAAAAACGAAACGAAAAAAATTGTCAATTTTCTCGTAAAAAAATTTATCAAGGGCTTTGCATTTATCCATGGGGCAGATTTGCTTGGAGTATAATTTTCAGACAGATTTTTTAAAATATGTTCCAAATGCCTTTTTCTTTGAGAGTTTGAAAAGTCGCTCTCTCAACAAAAAGGCTCTCTGAACTTTAAAGAAATCCTGAAGAGTTTTATAAATTAATTTTTATTGATGACAAGCTTGTTTCATAACTTGTTAAACCAGGTTCAGTGCTTCTTAAAGGAAATTGAAGTTCTCTCTTGCCCATTTTTTTTTAAAAATCAAACCGAAGTATGACCATGATAAACGTCCACGCTGCTCTCGTTCTTTGAGCTCATTCCGTTGTGCACTGGTTATTGTTGCTTTCCAGAATGTTTCCGCTGTTATCGAACGACAGTCGGTTCGAGTGGACGGCCGCGGTGTCATGATTCAGGAGGTCCAATATCAAGAAATGCCACTCGATAACGATACCGAAACTGAAAAGGTTTCAGAGAAATAAACGAGAGGAAACTTGCAAAGTAACGCTCATTTCAGGTTAGAGAGCTAGAAAAACACAAAATTGAATTGGAAAACGACAAGTTCGCTCTAGAAGACGAAATTTCGTCCTTACGCAAGAGGATAGAAGTTTTGGACGGAGTGGCGGCTCAGGTGTCTAATTTCCTGAATTTTTCTTTATGAAAACTTTATTTTTCAGATCGCAGCTGGTCCTCCGATGGGATTTTCCAGCGCTCCTTCTGGTTCAGTTGCAGATTTTTACAATCATCAGCCAACAAGAAGGTGACAAGAAACCATCCAAATCTTGGAGAAAAAACGGTTCCAGACACACGATCACTTCGCAACCAGGAAATCCGCTTCTGCCAGCCATGTCTTCGGAACAAAGTGGCGCCTCCAGTGGTTTCCTTTTCAACCAAGAAACTCTGGAAAATCTCACCAAATTCCTCAAATATTATGGTTGAACTTTCGAGGAAAACATTCACAATCTTTTTCGAATTCAGGAGAAACCATCAGCGAAATGAAGCGCGACTTGCGACGAAAACAACGAGAATGCGAAAATCTGATGGAACGCCTTGATTCACACGAAAGACAAATCGACCAGCTCCGATGTGGGGCAGAATACGATTCCGTCAAGAGGTTAGAACTGTTTTGTACGATTAAAAGTGTTGTCAAATGGTTTATTTGGTTGCTTCGGTTCATGGATGACGTTTTACCCGGCAACACGCATAGTCATCTTTTTGCGCGAGATTTGACACATAATTTAAGAAATAAATTAAAGATTTCTGAACTAATAGCCAGGAGCGGTGCGAGGTGGTGGGCAGTGGTCGCAAGAGCCTGAAGAACACCAATCTTCAGAGAATAGATATGAGAAAACTGACCTTTCTGTCCATCGGCTCCAGGTTTTCCTGGAAGGCCGTCTTCGGCGTCCTTGCCAGGCTCGCCATCGTTGCCAGGAGTTCCGTTCTCTCCAGGTGGTCCAGGTCTTCCCGGAGATCCAGGACGTCCGTCTGGTCCAGGCTCTCCTTGGGGTCCTTGCTCTCCTGGCTCTCCAGTTTCTCCGGCTGGCGACGGAACAGTTTGAGTCTGTCCAGGAGATCCGGGTGGCCCTTGCTCTCCTGGCTCTCCGTCGGCTCCGGCTGGCCCTGGGGGTCCGAGTGGTCCTCTCGGTCCTGGTCTTCCTTCTGGGCCGTCTTCTCCTGGGCTTCCGTGCTTTCCATCAGGTCCTGGTGGTCCTGGAGGTCCTGGTGGACCAACTGGGCTTGGTTCGCATTCGAAGCAGAAGTCAGCAGCAGTTGGGATGGCCTCGTAAGGAGCGTCTGGTCCAGGCTTTCCTGGAGTTCCTGGCTTGCCGTCGGTTCCTGGAGTTCCGTCGTCTCCTGGCTCTCCGACTGGACCAGCGAGGCCGATTCCGCAAGAGCAGCACTTTCCTTCTCCGCTCGATCGCTTCTTGCGAGCTTGCAGGGCCGATTGACGGAAAGAGGCCAACTGCAATGAGATTCGTTAAATTTAAAGTTTCATACGAACTGTACCCGATTGTACTCGCCGCGGAGAGAGTCAGTGCGAGACTTGCAGAAAGTGAGGTCGTCCTGAAGGCCGGACTGGATGTTCTGCATGTACAAACACAGCATAGGCACCGCCATGATCGCCGTCAGCGTTGCTACCGTCGAAGCCGCGATTCCTGAAAATTGATATTTTACATTTTTTTTTCTCTCGAAAGAACGCGCTAACCGAAGAAGGCGAACTTCTTGACGGAGTTGGTCTCCGAGTCGTTCAGATCCTTCATACCTGAAATAGCTTTTTTTGTCAGTTTTTGTCTCGAAAGAGAGTGGGATGGCGTGTAGTATTGTGATAATTACTGGAATTTTCTTCGATTTTCACTCAAAGGGGGTTTGAGAAAAAAACGTGATTAACTGAATTGTCAAGATATACTGATTTTTGAAGGAAAAGTTTTTTAAAAAAAATTTGGTTTTAAAAAAAAAGCTGAAGTATGAAGTTTTCATTTGTTACACTTATCTGATTATTCACAGTCCATAAATTCCCATTAGTACACCGCGAAGTAGAATAAAAGATCAGAACAAGGGTATGGAAAGAAGAATTCTTAATTGATGCTAATAAAATGCTTATCGTTACGGTTATTGAATCCTTATGATAATGGGATTATGGCCGATCAAAAAGGGGAGAAAAAGCGGAAACAACTGGCTAACGGCGTCGCACGGTTACCCGCTTATATAGGAAATCTCGGACTTGCTAAGCGTCGCAGCTGCCCGAAAAGGAAGAAAAAACGGACGGCGACGCCTGAACCACAAAAAGTGCTCCTGCTTCCTCAGCTAGCCCAAGCTTATATTTTTCTGGGGGTGTCATCTTTGTTGATTTTTGATGTCTGGGGCTGAAATCAGTACTCTATCGACTTGAAACAATGAAGAAAGTCTTCAAGGGAGATTTTCTTTGAAAAATTCCCTCAATGGTCGTTTTTCATTATTCTCAATTTTGTGAATGACTTCATTTTAAAGGTAAAAAGAGATTTTTCAGAAACATCAGCATCGTAGTGGAAACCGACGCTCCAGGAAATGTGGAACTTTATGTTTCTTATCAGGTAAAACTCGAGCTTTTACTTTAAAATTAAACCAAAGAAAAACAAATTTTCGTCACAAAAAGGAGACTTTTTGCAAAATGTTTCTTTTGAAACTTCATAATGTGACGATTCTTCTATGTTTGACATTGTATTGTATTAAATATCAAAGTCACGGCCAGCTTTTGTAACTTTGAACTGAACTTTGAAATTTCGAGGAACTTGATGTCGAAAACTGAAAAAGTTTTCAAACTAAATGAAGATAGCGAAATGAAAATTTTCAAAATTTCCGGACAATAAAAAGATTTTAGGTCTACTGCGCCAGCTGGAAACCAGCCTACGACATTCGCGCCAGCACAGCCGAAGAGCCAGACCAAGCCAATACCGTCCAGGTGTCTAATCTTATTTCAATATCAATAAAATAAGAAGTTGTAGTTGTGTTACTACGGCCTGGTAGAACAGAACACCGGGGACGACTGGAGAGACTGCGACGTCGTTCTTTCGACGGCGGCTCCTTCTGTTGGCGGATCTCCACCTCCGCTTTCCACCCTGGCGGCCAGTCTTCATCGGCCAACCAGAGGGTTTTTCTCAACTGAATTCTGAAAGTTCAAGACAGTGTCTATAGGCAAAGACAGCGCCACGCGTCGTCCGCTCGCAGAAAGCCCATGTCGGCGGCTTCCGAAGAGGACATGGGATTCGGATCTTTCGATTACAACGAAATAATTGATGCTGCCGCTTTGCACAGGTTCTCCGTATATTTTTTGGGATTTGATTGTATAAAATATTTCCAGATACACTACTGGAATCCACAGCAGAAGCAGCGAGGAGAACAGCGTTTCCATGCCGGTAATAATTCTTTAGAAAATATGTGGTTGGATAGTTACAAAAGCAGCATTATTTTCGATCTCACTATTCAGAAATGAAATTTTTTTAACTTTTAAGCCTCATAAATTATGTCAAAGATTGTTCATGAAAAACTACGCCTCATTTCGGAGAGTTACATCAGAATTCTCTCATTTTTCAACTTCGGGGAAAGTCATTCATAATTTTCTTCAGGGGGCTGAGCAAATGATCTCGACGTGTTTCTCCATCCCACGAGCCGTTTCCATCGTCAGTAACGGCGCTGAACACAAACTTCTCATTGGAATCGTGAGCCTTTTCCAAAAACATATGTAAAATGAAATAATGTTTGCAGCTTGATCTGGCGTGTGCTTTCTCGCACGAAACTGTTCCATCCAGATCGACAGCGGCTTATCTTTCCGCCCTGGTCACCAATATCTCAGCTTTGCCTCTTTTGCCTGGTCCAGCTAATATCTACGTGAACAACTGCTTCATCACCAAGGTCTCGAATCATTCATGAAGAAAGATAATGACCTTCTTCATAACAAAGCTAACTTTTGAAACGTGTCTTCTTGGGATCTTCAAGCACAGAAATATTCAAAATAATGAGAAAGTTGAAAAATGAAGAAAACCCTGCAAAAAATATCTACCTGAAACTTGAATGAAAAGCTTCATTTCTCTTAACTTTTTTTAGTTTTTCTTTAGCATACGAATGAACCGCTTAAAAAAGAAGTTTCTCTAAAAAATATAGACCAAAATCACAAAAATAAGAAATCTTCAAGATAGTCCTTCAAACTCTAAAAGTATTTTTTACTGCCCATATTACATCGAAATTTAGACACACCTGCGTCTAGTTTCACCTGGAGAAGAGTTCCGGTGTTCTCTGGGAGTTGATCCCTCTGTCAAGGTCGAATATAAACCACCAACTGTTTCTCACGAACAGGTAAATCTTTCCAGGTGTTTTTCTCACAATTTACATATTTTTTCAGGTGGGGTTTATGTCAAAGAGCACGTTGGTGATCCACGAACAAGTCATTTCGTTGAGAAGCGCCAAAATCTTCCAGGGCGTCAAAATAACTGTCAAAGAGCAGATCCCCAAAAGCAACGACGACAAAATCAAGGTAATTAAAACTTTTTTATGGGGGCTAGAAAAACGAAAGATTATTTTTGAAAAAAGTTATGTGTCTCCCAAAAAGATTCGAATCATGATTCGAAGCATGTTTCGTTGTTGAATTGTACATTGCGCCAAACTTTTCGCTGAAATATCTGCGCAAACAAAGCCGTCTCATATCCCACGCCAAAACTAGTCCCAAAAACTGTCCGGATCAAGGCGGTGATCAGGTGGCCGAGTGGTTAAGGCGATGGACTGCTAATCCATTGGGGTTTCCCCGCGTGAGTTCGAATCTCATCCTGATCGAATCATTTTTGCAGGTCTCTGTGATGAGTCCAGAGCTGAAGGCGACAAAAACGGCGTCGTGCGAGGCGCGACTCAACAAAGAGCACAACCTCGAGTGGACCGTCGTTTTGGCTCCAGGCCAGACTCGCGACCTCGCCGTCCGCTACACCATCGAGCACCCTGCGTCTGAAAGTCTTGCCTACAAACTCGTTTGATATAGTTGATTTGGGAGGAACTTTTGTGAAGTTTTTTTTGTTGGTCCCTTGGTTGAAATATCGATGAAAATATGTACTTTAATACTTTCTTTTTCGAGGAAAAAAAAAGTTTCAGGCATCACATCTAGTTTTCGGGTTATACGCTTTGAAAGGTTCTTATCAGGTAGTTTTCAATTTTCAAAATTACAATATCTGTAACCGATATCTATTGCAAGAAATCATTTTTTAAATTAAATTGCTCTGGAATAAGGAAATATCAAAGTAAATATCAGCCAAGTTTCATCGAAATCTCAACTGAGGGGTAGAAACACTTCGATTTTCAGACTTTCTCAAGTACCATTTCGCTCTAGATTATCTATTTATTGCTTCTATTCTGACAACACCAACTGGTAGGTTCGTCAAGAAATTGCCCGACTTCATTTCTAACCAACTTCCGTTTCTTGTACAATTCGTCTTACACAGTGTATTCGTGACCACCTTACGTGTAGTACTTCCTGCGCTTCACAGATTTCTCAATCAGTCTTATCTTGCTTTTCTTTATTTCGCATATTTTTAGAAATTTTTTCTTTTCAATAAAAGTTCATGCAAATGTTCCAAGTCATTTCTTTTTGTTCCACACAACGGTGTGAATGGACCGAGCTGGAAGTTCGAGTTGGATGACGTCATTGGTGGCGGCATCGACGATGCTCGCCGAGGTGTTGGAGCTCGCCTTGTTGAGCAGCACCAGAGCTCGCTGACCACCGTCGAGCACGACCGCCGTCCCTGACACCGCCAGACTTCCTTCTACCTTAAAAAATACCCCAGTTCCAGTATATAACTCATTTGCTTCGAATCTTTGAAATCCGAACTCATGACCATGAAAACTTTCGATGCATAATAAATTAGACGCCCAAATTGTAACTACATTCCTCTTTGATAACCTTCACCGTGAATTTATTGATGAGTTTTTGTCGTTTGTCATGAGAATATTCGGTAAAAAACTGGAAATTTCCCTGAAAAGCTCCGAAAATAGGAGACTGGAACTAAATCTAGAGAATTTGAAAGAAAAAAAGAACTCACTTTTACGGTTATCCTCTTCGAACCACGGGTGAAGAACTTGCTGAAAATTTCAAAGCTCAAAAAAATTATAAAGAAAACAGACCTGAAATGTCCCAAGGCGTAAAACATTGGCTGTTTGTAGAACTCCTGGGCGGTTCGGTTGACGATGATCGGCGCGTCGACGACGTTGAAGACCCAATTCGGACCGCCCGTTTCGTCGAGACACAAGTTCCAGTCGGTCCAGCCTCTCACCCAGTTGTTCAGGTCCTTGATTTATCCATTTAGTGTCTGAAAAAGTCCTCAAACCGTGATAATGTCGTCGGCGTAGGACTCGGCTCTGAACCAGTCGCCCATGATTGGACCGTGATGTCCAGCGTAGCCAGCGCAAGCCTGAAAAAAACCGGCCATTGAAAAAATAGATTTGCGGTGAGAAAACCAGTCCGCAGAACTTTCCACTTCGAGTTCAACGGTCTACTTGAAGTTGAAAAAACTCTGATTCTGTTGAAAAGCGATCCGAAATCCAAATAACCGGAAAATTCGATTTCCTACGAAAAATCTCAACGAGGAAGTTATCTGCTTGATTTCTAACTTTTCTTCAATTTTTCTACGATCAAGATTTATTTCTGTTCTTTTTCTTGAGTTCGTAGTCTTGAAAACTATCAATTAAAATTAGATGATTGCGAAAACTTGCCATGTATTTCCGAAAACTTGAAATCGAACTTTGGGTATTTTACGCTTCCTCCGGCATTTTCTGTTTTTGTGAATCACAGGAATCTTTTTGGAAAACTGTTTCAATTCTTGTTAGCCTCTCTACTTTCCTTCGTTTTCTTGAAGCACAACTAGAAATGCAAAAAAATCTTATAAGATGTCATAGCCTTTGGAAGCCTATAATCAAACCTCGGTGGCGAAAAGGAACTTGTCCGGGTGTTTCTCATTGGTCTTGGAGAGAAGTATCGCAGGCGAGTAAAGGTTACCATACCAATGTACTGCCACACCGTCGGCGTATTTTGCCGTTTCCGGATCGGCGAACATCTCAAAATAACACCCTCGATTTAAATTTGCCAGAAGCCTTGAAAAACCGTGTCAGCCCAGCCAGGGAGCAAGCCTCTGCCGTCGTCCAAAACCATTACTTTGAGATCTCGAGTGGCCTCGTTTGCCTTCAAAGCTGGTCCTAGGTATCCGCGAAGGAAATCTCTGAAACTCGATTTTCCGAAGGAAGAAACGATTTCGACCTGCCTCATGGTCTCAGCCGTGAAGTTCATCGTCTGCCATCTCCAATCCATGTCGGCGCCTGTCGATGGTTCGTTTTGGATTGTGAGTCCCCAGTACTGGATTCCTTTGGATCGGTATGCTTCGAAAAATCTGAATCGGATAAAAATAATAATAAAAAGTATCAGAGTATTTTCATTCAATACAGGAAGCCGTTTTTTATCAGACCCACTAGGTTTTTTTTAAAAGCGGTATGTCAGAAATTTATTAAACGGAAGAGAGAAGCTTGAGCATTCTTAACTTATCTCAGCTTGGATTTACACGGTCGCACTTGGAATGATTCGAAGCAAAACGGCTTTCCTTTAAGTTGTGTCAGACCTAAAACGAATTACGCGCAAAGACATCGAAAAAGGAAAACAAAAAGAGCTGCAGAATGTTAAGTTAACTTTAAATGTTATTCTAAAAGCAACAGGTTGAATATTCTGCGTGCGACCAAGAAACTTTTGCGTAAAAACTTACATTTTTACGAGTGGAAACTAATGTGGAGGTCATTATACTATCTTCTGACACTAACATCCTGTTAAGATTATATCGAAAGTAACTCACTTGACAAAGTAGTCGGCGTAGGTTTTGTAGACACGCGAATCGTTGCGGAGCGGACCTCCGCCTCTCATTTTTCCCGTAGTTTTCATCCAACCAGGTGCGCTCCACGGCGAAGCGAATAACTGCAGATTCCCCTGTGTCAGGTTGATCGCGCTGATTATGAATGGAATCTGGAAACCACAACTTTTTCAAAAGAGGCTATGTGAATCAGTCAGTCTGACCTTGTAGTCCATGTCCTCCTGGGCCAAGCTGAAGTTCTTCAAGCCGAAATCCTCCGACACGTCGTCGTAGCTGTACTCCCGTACGGAAAAATCGCAGCTGGCGATTGGAACTCGTCCCATGTTGTATTCCAATCCTGAACGTTTCATGAAAGTGTGAAGAAAGATTTGAATACCATTTCTGCCGAAGTAGGCCTCCAGAAGTTTCTTCCTAGCCGCGTCATTTAGTGCGACTAGGTTTTCTCCGGCAGCGTCGGTAAAAGCGCCACCGAAGCCGATTATCGGCTGCATCTGGTTCCGAGCATCCACCGTGATTGTTACATTGGCTAGGAAGGATTCGGAAAATGATTATTTGGAATCACATAGAATGTCTAGATCCATCGAAAGTTGTTGCAAAACCAAGAGTTCTGTAAACTTCTCGAAAACCTCTCATTACCTTCAAAATCTCGCAACTTGCTCCGATTTCGTAACTTCGAGCTCATCCTCTTCAATCGATCTCCGTCCAAAGTTGAGCGATAGACCACGACCACACCATTTTGAACCGTGCCCAGCGGCTTCAATAGTTCATTCATTCAATCATTGATTCCAATTATCACCTCGATTTCATCACAGTACGTCGAATTGCAGACGCAAACCAAGTTCTTAAAGGCTCCTTCGTAGATTTTCGGGGCACATGGGGAGACTTCTGAAGATCAGAAGTAAGAAAAAAGCCATTAAGGTGTGAAAAAATAATATTTCTTTCTGGAAGCTATTGTGACAAGTGAATGGGAAGAGAACAATAATCCTGCCTTTGAAAGTAAGAAATAGGAATTTTTTTTTTTTTGAGAAACGTAATTGTTTTCCAGTGAGTGTGTTAAAAGTTGTTTCACAACCATATATTTCCTGTTATTTCTTATTTTCAGTTTTCATAACTGCATAATTATTGAGAGATTGAGCTCCATCTAGGAAAGTTACAAGGAAAGAAGCCAACTTGAATATATTTTCGCACATATCTTTAATTATCGTGCTTTGAAGTTCAAAAAAAAAGGAATTGAATCATGTAGAACATACCTGAACTACTGAAGTTGACTAAAAAGCAAGAAAGGAAGAAAAAAGGAAGAGTGCAGTGAAGTCCCATCCAGTTGACCCGCCGTTGTGCTCTTCTGCTCGCCAGACCCGGCTGTTCACGTGGCTTTGATTGATCTCTCTCATATCTTGGCGTTATTTTTAAAAAAAGAAGAGGAGAATGACTTCGCTACGTCTTTTAACTATTTCAATTTTATCCAAGTTTTCTATAAATGAGGGAAAAATCCTATGGGCGTTTTTTTCCTAGGCTCCACCCAAAAAAACAAACAAAAAAAATTTTAAAAAGGTCACATGTTCTGTTAAAATATACTATATGGGTGACTCAAATATAGGTGATTCACGGTTAGCTTGATAGCTTGAGACACCGAAAAAGGGCCCGGACACGATAAGAAAAGATACAGTACTTGGTTGGTGGAGAGCGCAAACGCGTCACGCATTTTTGAGTTCAGAGAATCGGTTATACAATGGCGCCCTTCGAAAACGCTCTGTGGATCGCTCGTCTTGTGATTGGTTTATCTCGCCATTAAGGGCGGAGCTTGAGCGATGACTTGACATTCAAAATTCGAACAAACTGTATGTAGAGGCGCAGAAGTCTAGTACTCCCCGGAATAAACGCTTAAAGAGACTTGCTTTGATAAAATGGGGTAATTTATTAAAAATTGTAAATTTACTCCCAAACGAAATTAAATTCGAATTTTGGAATCGTCATTTCAAAAAAAAAAAGGGGAAAACGTTGAATTGAGGTCAGCTGACGTGTACTTCTGACTCTAATGCCGACATTTCAACAATCCTTGTCTTCATTATTTGCATTCATTGTTGGTTCCTGAGGTCGGTTCTTTCGATCTTCTCCAACATGTTCAACTCAAAATTCCTTGCTGGAAGCGCAAAATCGCCGCATGTCTTGAAATATCACCGAAAAGGACTCTCCATTGATACCTTTTCTCTCATTTTACCGGTGCTTTTTCAAAGACCTCAGCAAGGATTTTTGAAAACCCTTTCTCCAACTCACCCCAATTCTTTCAGGACTATTCAGAAGCATAAAAAACTTCAACTCAAGCTACAATGGCGTCCGTCCCAACGTATGAAAGCATAACCCTATCGAAACTTGCCACGTCTTCAGAGAAATGACCGACGATCAGAAGAAGAACGAGAAGCTGTCGACGGCGATCATGAACAAGAAGTCGAAGCCGAATCGGCTGATGGTGGACCAGTCCGAGAAGGACGACAACTCCGTGATCGTGCTCAGTCAGGCGAAGATGGACGAGCTCGGCCTTTTCCGAGGCGACGCTGTTCTGCTCAAGGTATTGTCTGTTCCTAAAGCTTGCCAGGAGCTGGAAAAAGTAGAGCAAAAACGAATCAGGTTACAGTAAGGTATAATAGTAGTCAATTTAGACTTCGGATGAGGAAAGTTTTTTGAGCTTACAATTCAATATTTGAGGAAATTTCCCAACAGAGCTCCTTAGAGAGCTCCTCAAAAGCTTCGAAGCTTTTGATTTCAAAATAAAAAAAAGTTTTGACTTTCCCAGTTTGACATTTCAAAGACTTTGAAAATTGCCTTTTATCATTTGAGTAGTTTCCTTTGAAGCGTCCTAACTCGAATATAAGGTAAAAGTCGAGGAACCTCTCACTTTTTCTGGAATCCTAAGGTCCGGAAGCAAAAACATTTGATCGAAAAGTTTAACCTAATACTTCCCCCTTGAAAAATTCTGGAAAATTCTTCTGAATTTGAAATGTAGCTTTATTCAAAAAGCTTGAAGTCAACCTAATTAAGGGAAGGAAAAGAAAAGAAACGGTGGCGATTGTCCTGGCCGAGGACACGTGTCCCAACGACCGTATCCGCATGAATCGCTGTGTTCGGCACAACCTTCGAGTTCGTCTTGGCGACATTGTCAGGTTCCTCTTTTCTTTGAGACTTTGGGAGTTCATGGTCGCAAGTGGAATGGATCAGCGCGTGGCGGCTGTGGGGCTTTTTCTTGAAACCTGCTTCTCAAGTTATTGAAGCAAGCCATTGAACTTTAAGTCTTGTCGGCAGACTTCATCTCAACGGCAACACGGCGGCGCAGCTTTAAACCATTCCACGTGCGATGACGACATTCAAAACAATAAGAAAAGAAAGAACCACAAATTTTCAGCATCGCTGCGGCTCCAACGGTGGCCTACGGAAAGCGTATCCACGTTCTTCCACTGGAAGATACCATTGAAGGGCTTACTGGGTTTGGATTCTCTCATCCTGGATAATTTTCCAAATCTTTGCAGAAATCTCTTCGACGTCTTCCTAAAGCCATATTTCCTGGAGGCGTACCGGCCAGTGCATAAAGGCGACATTTTGGTCATCAAGGCCGCCATGAGAACCGTCGAGTTCAAGGTACAGCGAGAAACTTAATTTTCTTTTTGGCTATTTTGTCATCTCAAGAAGTAGAGATTTTCAATTGAATATAATATAATCAAGTTTGAATTTCCGGATGTTTCAATTCTATCAGAGGGTCTCAGATTTCATTGAAATCGTTTCATTCGAGTTCTACCATATCTTGAGAAAATGTTTTTGAACTGGAATATGTCTTATTTTCATTGAAAACTCGACTGCTCTAATTTAATCACTCTAGTTTGAAAACTCCTGGTCACACATAAGTTATAGTTGTCATCCTCTTCTAAAAATTTATTTTTTTTTTTACGAAGTAGAAGGAGCTCACTAGCGATCCAGGACTCTTATTTGAGTTGATCCTCCAAAAATTTGACAAAAACTTACAAATGAAAAACTTGAAGGTGATTGAAACGGATCCTTCGCCGTCGTGCATCGTGGCGCCTGACACAATGATTCACTACGAAGGCGAGGCGATAAAACGGGACGACGAAGAAGAGAACATGAATGACGTCGGCTACGACGACATCGGCGGCGTCCGGAAACAGTTGGCGCAGATCAAGGAGATGGTCGAGTTGCCGCTCCGTCATCCGCTCCTCTTCAAGTCTATTGGTACAGTGAAAAATGGCTTTATTCTGAGAAATATTCAAACGTGACTCAGGAATCAAGCCCCCGCGAGGAATCTTGCTCTACGGACCTCCTGGCACCGGAAAAACGATGATTGCGCGCGCCGTGGCCAACGAAACTGGCGCCTTTTTCTTCTTGATCAACGGGCCGGAGATCATGTCGAAGATGGCTGGCGAGTCTGAGTCCAACCTGCGGAAGGCGTTTGAGCAGTGCGAGAAGAACTCGCCCGCCATCTTGTTTATCGACGAGATTGACTCGATCGCGCCGAAACGAGAAAAGGTGGCTTATTCATATTTTCTGAGAAGGATGGTTCAGCGCATGTTATAACATGAGTCAAAAGGCTGAAGTCATGCTGAAGCTTTTTTCTATGTCTATGTCAGAAAAATACTTTTCAGACTCACGGTGAAGTCGAACGCCGAATCGTATCGCAGCTTCTGACTCTGATGGACGGCCTGAAACAGCGATCTCACGTCGTCGTCATTGCCGCGACTAACCGACCTAACTCTATCGATGGCGCTCTTCGTCGTTTCGGACGCTTCGACAGGTTCTTTTCAATTTCTATTTGCAATTCCTAGCTTTCTAGAGAAATCGACATTGGAATCCCCGATGCTCTCGGCCGTTTGGAAGTTCTGAGAATCCATACGAAGAAGATGAAACTTGCGGAGAACGTCAACTTGGAACAGGTTCAAAAGTGCATTGAGTCTGTTTCATGATGAGGATAGGTCGCGAACGAATGTCACGGATACGTCGGAGCCGATCTCGCCTCGCTGTGTTCTGAGGCGGCACTTCAGCAGATCCGCGAGAAGATGGACCTCATCGACATGGAAGACGACACGATCGACGCCGAAGTCCTCAACTCTCTGGCCGTCACTATGGAGAATTTCCGCTTCGCCATGGGAAAATCTTCGCCGTCGGCTCTCCGCGAAACTGTCGTCGAGACGCCAAATGTCACCTGGACTGATATTGGAGGTGAACAAACTTCTCTGAGTCGCGCCTTTTTAGGACGGTCGGTGGTGTTAACAACTAAGAGAAAATTTTGATTTAAAGTTTTAGAGAGAAAATTTTAAAAAATTGGTTCCAGTGAGTCTGAGAGGAAGAGATAGAAATTTTCGTTTGAAGGTAAATTGGCCGGTAAACTTTCTAAGTAGTCGTTTTGGAATGTTTTTAGTCATGAAATAAACATTTCTGAAAAAATCTAGGCGTGACTACTCTCGTTCCCTCAAAAGATAGATTAAGAAAAAATACGGAAAAGAAAAAAACTCCAGGCTAAGAAACAGCCTTTGAAGTACTGATTTCTTTAAAAAAAAAACTGGAAAAAAGAAAATCGATTTTCAGGCTTGACAAATGTGAAGCGCGAGCTCCAAGAACTTGTCCAGTACCCCGTGGAACACCCGGAAAAGTACCTCAAGTTTGGCATGCAGCCATCACGCGGAGTTTTGTTCTACGGTCCTCCTGGATGCGGTAAGACACTTCTGGCCAAGGCTATCGCCCACGAGTGCCAAGCCAATTTCATTTCTATCAAGGTTTCGAGAAAGTCCTTTTCTTCTGGGAAAAGAAATACTACAGGGTCCTGAGCTGCTGACGATGTGGTTTGGAGAGTCTGAGGCGAATGTCCGTGAGATTTTCGACAAGGCTCGTCAGGCGGCGCCTTGCGTCTTGTTCTTTGACGAGCTCGATTCGATCGCCAAGGCTAGAGGAGGTCAGTCACGAGATCATCTACTTTTAGAATATTTTTACGATTGAAGACGGATAAAACGTTGATTTGTCGATGTGAAATCGCTTCAGGATCCGTCGGCGATGGTGGCGGCGCTGCTGACCGCGTCATCAACCAAGTTCTCACCGAAATGGACGGGATGAACGCCAAGAAGAACGTCTTCATCATTGGCGCTACAAATCGGTTCTGAACTTCATCTTTTCCCCTGTATCTTGCTGGACTTGCAGTCCCGACATCATCGACTCGGCCGTCTTGCGACCAGGTCGTCTTGATCAACTGATCTACATTCCCTTGCCAGATGAGCCTTCGCGCATGGCCATTTTCAAGGTGAAGCTGTGGAATACCTTGTAAAGCTCGTTATATATTTCAGGCTAATCTCAAGAAAACTCCCATTTCGAAAGAAGTTGACCTTGGATTCCTCGCCAAGAACACTGTCGGATTCTCCGGCGCTGATATCACTGAAATTTGCCAGAGGTAGGAGATTGATTTGTGGACCAATTTGTTGATTTAACTCAAAGTTTTCGAGTTTGTTTCCGTTTTCGAAGAATTCCAACGTGCAAAAAAAATATATGGTCTTGATAAAGTATCTCATGCAAATTTTCTTTTCCTCGAAAAATTTTGAGGCGTTTTTTATCAAATAAAAAGTTTAAAAAACTCGAAAAGCTGAATTGAACTACAGAGCTTGCAAACTGGCGATCCGCGAGTCGATCGAAAAAGAAATCTTGGCTGAGAAAAACCGCATGGAACGCCGTGCCAAGGGCGAAGAGCCGATGGAAGAAGGCCTCACAGATCCTGTGCCGGAAATTACGCGACGTCATTTCGAAGAGGCTATGAAATTCGCGCGTCGCTCCGTCAACGATGCCGACATCCGAAAGTGAGCTTTTTTGAGTGAACTCTGTAAAAATAAAACTTTTCAGATACGAAATGTTCGCCCAGACCTTGCAGCAGTCTCGTGGATTCGGCAACAACTTCCAGTTTCCTTCGACTTCAACTTCCCAATCGCAGCTGCAGGCCCCAGTTCCTCCCGCTGGAGCTCCTCAGGACGATGATCTCTACAACTGATTCGCTTGCTTTTTTTTTCAATTTTGTCTGCCGGTTGTGCGTCTTTTCGGAATAAATAGCGTTTGCTAAAGTTTCTACATTTTCAGTGCAATTTTTGCGCTAAAAATACATGTTTTTCATGCCTAGGAAGTTTCATTTTATCTTTTTTAAAGTTTTTTTTTGGCAGAAACTAGCAGAATAGTCTTTCTTTCCTCAAGAAAGTTTCCGTTATAAAAATATGGCAATACATATAATATTTCGCAGAACTCAATAAAAATTCACTTTTTGGTCTCGGTGACCTCAACCCGATTTTAAAATGTTTCGAAAGCAAATTTTAGGGGTTTCCCTCGGCAAATACTGCAATGGCCAGACTGATATGATACGGATTGTTTTTCGTTGCTTTGATGTTTCTTGACACTATAAAAGTCGATCAGAAAATTTATAAAAAAATAGTTTCAAAGGATGTCTTCGAGGACTATCTTTTTGCTTACTTTTCTGCTCGTTTCTTGTGCCGTAGCACGACCGCCTCCACCTCCAGGAACCCCTCCTCCGCCTCCTCCTCCTCCGGGAAGAGGCTCACCTCCGCCGCCACCGCCTCCGTCAGGTGGACCTCCACCTTCCAGACCACCTGGGAGTCCCCCGCCACCTGGAGCTACACCTCCGCCGCGACCGCCGCCTTCAGGCGGACCTCCACCTTCTGGACCGCCTGGAAGTCCGCCTCCCGCAGGAGCCTCACCTCCGCCCCCAGAAGGTCCTCCTCCTTCTCCGCCTTCGCCTCCAGGAAGTACGCAGCCTCCAGGCGAATTCCCACAAAACACACCTCCTTTGCCTCCGCCGCCATCTGTCGGTCCTCCTCCTGACAGTCCTCCACCTACAGTTTCGCCGTGAAGGTCTATTACCCTTTGTTTCTTTGTTTAAAAAAACTTTTTTTTTCAGAATTAACGATGTCTCTGATGCTGCCTACATCTTCTCTAATCACTAGCTTTCTCGTTTTGATTTTATTTTTGTTTGATAAACTTTGAATTTCTGTGTGTTTGTGATTGCACGAAAGACGTCGCAAATCGCGACTAAAATGAACAGATTAAAAAAAACCACCATCGAAAATGGAAGAAATATTATTTAACTTTAAACTATTAGGAGTTTCATTTTGATTTCAAAGTATTGTTCATGACTACAAAAATTTAGATCTTGCGCTACTAAAGAGGCCGTTGGATCATAGGAACAAAAAAAATTTTTTTGTTAAGTATTGCGCCTTTTATCTTCAAATCACACATTAAATAATTACTTTCGGGTTATATGCCTAGTTTATTTTTTTGGAATAGTGTTTTTTTAAATTAACATATATTTAATTGCCGCAACAGTACGGTTGAAAAAGTTTTCTGCATTACACAATTTGCGTTTTTAATTCACGCGCAACAATGTTTCTATTTTTTTTTTTCAAATTTTATTTTTATTTTATTTTTCAGTTTAGTGAATCCAAAACGCTTTTAAAAGCGTTGACAGCTTTGAGCAGATAGTTTGAAAAGCGCCTTTATTGAAATAATTTCAATTTGCATCAAATAACCTCTGATATTTTTTTAAAAAAGTTGTATATATCTTGAATAATTTACATTTGTAAATGAAATAATCTTTGATCAGAAGTTTTTTTTTTCAGAAGGTTGCAAACAGGATGATTCTCCGACGTTACGTTTATGTCACCAATGGTAAGAGTAAATTTTAACTTTTTTTGTTGTAAGCTGGTTTCTTTCGAAAAAAAATTATACACTTCGTTTCAGCGAATGGTGCTAACGGTCGTGCTAGCGTAGTCGAAGAACAATCAGGTGAACTTTCTGATCATTGTGGTTTTACTCTATTTCGGTTTCAGGAAACGAAACGAACACGGCTGAAGAACAGCCGGGCCCTTCAAGGCGTCGAATCCCGCGCTGTTAGTTTCTTTTTTGGGTTGGGATATATTTAAGAAGACAAAATTTTGTTCGTTCTGTTAATTATTCTGTTTTCCAGCTATTTCGCCGCCACCTCAACTGAGTAGAATGGTTCCAAGGTTTTTTTCACTCGATGATTAGAGTTTATTCGACTTCTTTGTTCAGGGAATCTGATGAAGCCCCGGTTGCGAAAAAACGCGCCGTTGATCTGCCAGAAGAGCCTTCTTCGGGTTAGTTATCTTTTGAACAAGTGTATCTATATATTAAAACTAGAATTTTAGTTTATTTCTGCTGAATTATTGACTTTGGTCATAAAAACTTTCATTTGTAGGCGAACCCGTCCATCATCTCAAACGCCGCGTCATGGTCCCGAAATTTTTAGCGGTTCCGCCTGCGGAACCTCAAGTTTTGGGTATGTTCTTCCGGGTCACTTACTCCATTCACTGTGAGCTTGGGACAATTTTATTAAAAAACATTTTTCACTTATTCTTTCATTATTTTGTGAAGGATTCGTTCAAATATTATCTCAAATTAGGAATGAAATCTCTTTTTGACCTCTTGCATTTTCAGAAAGCCCCCCACTAGAAAGTTCGATAATCGCGCATTTGGACAGCACCTCATACGCCAAATTGCGAGACAAGTGAGTCAATCTTGTACTGCTCAAAGAAGGTTTCCTTTTCCAGAAAACCTTACTACGTCCCGCTTGAGAAACTTATGGAGGAGTACGGTATACCTGAGCAGTTTTTGTACGAAAGTGCGAACAAAGAGCGTTCGTTTTTGTGTTTTGATACCGTAGTTTTCATTTTAAAGTTCTCCTTTTCAACTTTTTTACGCTTTTTTTCTACATAGAACCGCTTTGATTTGAAGGGTCATCATCATCGAGATAGGTAGTAAAATTTTCTACTCTCGTGATTTTTTGTCTTAATTTTCTGTATTTTCGGGCGAAAAGGAATGAATCTGGTCGCAGAAACTTGATGAACTCGAGTTTCAGATTAGGAGCCTGACCTTGATTTTTTTGTATATAAATGATAGGAGAAAGCTATTAAAAAGGAAAAATAATTCTTGAACTTTCCGGTGATAATTTCCTTTATTCAAAAAATATTTCTGAAACAAAAACTTATAACGGTTTTCAAAAAAAAAAAAACTGTCATATTTTATTAAAATGTAGAGTATGGGAAAGACAGGGAAAATGGAATTGGTCTTCAACCTTTATTTTAATTCTTCTCTTCAATCTAAACTTTTCGAAAGTTGACAATATTTCAGATATCGTGGACGCTCTCAAACAAATTCAGTTCTTGAGGGGGGAGAACAAATTCTTGGAGACGCAAATTATGCTCGAGAATCGAGAGTGGGTTCCTTTTTCTTAATTCAGAAGTTTCATCTTCGATGGTGCGAATTTTCAGCTTTTTTCATATCTATGGGAAACTATCTCATCTTTTCTTCTATTTTTTTCTTTTTTTTTACTTTCTTTTTTTCTCGTCATTTACTTGCTTTTTTGTGTTTCTAGTATCACCTCAATGTAAAAATCGCATGAGGAAGTTGTCGATCAAAAAAAATTTTTTACGAAAGTTCCCTAGCGATATATGTAAAAAAAAGCGGCTGTTTGAAGTTTTGCTAATTTTAATTTGCACCATTGATTTTTTGCAGATCAGTTTTTCATACTTTTCATATTTTCTTCCCCGTTTCTTCGATGTTTCAAAGTATTTTTCTTGCAGGCTCCGATTTAAGCGCGAGACGGTCGAAGAGCTGCGTGATGATTACAAGAGGATCCAGCTTGACAAAAACGATATCGTGGCCAAAACGCGCAGTTTGGCTGATGAAATCCGAGAATTGAGACCCGGTTTGTTTCCAGGAAAATTATAGTTTCGCTCATTACAATCGATTCCCGCCGTTGCCAGGAAACGCGGTGTTTTGGTGACAAAATGGATGTTTCCCTTGTGTCAGGAGTTCATACGAAACGTATTTTATGAGTTGGCGAAAGTGCAAAATAGGGGTTTTCTAATCGAAGATTTTGTTGCGATTTGCAACTTGCGAGGAAAAATGATTAAACAATTATGACCCATAAAAAAGAGGCAATAAATGAATGCAAAAAAATTTAGATGAACAACAAAGGAAAGCAAATCGATAAAATTCAAATCTTAGTTTTTAGCATAGTTAATAAAGTTTTTGGGTGATTTTATGTGAAAAAAATTTAAAGCTTCAATTTTCGAAAGCTAGTATCAAAACTTTTTTATGAAAAATTATCGTTCATTTTTTTCTTCCGAATTAAAGTTCAGGAAGTAATTTATTTTCAGAACTAATTTTCAAATAGTTTAAATGTTCACAAAGATCATTTATCACTCTCAGGGAATATATTTTACATCTTGCTTCAAAGAGTTTTTTCCCCTACTCCCCTTTGATTTCTAGGGTTTTCAGATTTGGCCGAGATGACCCTTGAGGACTTCCTCAACGGCGTCCAGCCACAACAGCCTCTGCCCTCTACGAGTCGCAAACCTCCTGCGAATCCATCGCAGCCGGCGACAAAGTCGTCGCTCGCCACCAAGTCGCCGCTTCCCCCGAAAGCCTCGGAAAAGAAAGTTCCGCGAATCAGACAGCCCGTCTTCGAGATCCGTCCTCGTCGCAGCGGCAGAAAGATCACTGCCACTCCCAAGGCGGCTGCCAACCGCAAGAAGTGATTTCGGACCGCGGTACTGGGAAATCTTCGATTTTCGGGGCATGTTTAAACTTTTCACTACACTTTTTGTTTTCTTTTTTTTTCTACTGGGCTTACTATCATCAAAGGCGTACAGTTGAGATTCTGTTCTTCAAAATTTCTCAGTTTTTGGTTAATGTTGGAAAAATTCTCATGTTACTTAATTCTCTCTCAATCGTAGAAAAGTGGCTAGTTGTTCTTATAGTGTATTTTTTCGTTTTTCTAAAAATCTCCAGAGGACCTCTTGTAAATTCATGCCATTCTTATTGCACACTCTATGCCAAAGACCAGATTTTTATGCCACGATAATTTTTGGGTTCCTTCGTATCATTCCACTGTAGTTTGGGTAACACCAGTCAACTTAACTTGCGCTAGAAATTTTCTTTCGTTTTTGTGTTTCATCTATTTTTTTTAAAGCTCTTCTCCACAGATAACCATATATTTCAGCCCAAAGAAGCCCCGCACTTATCCAAAATGGATTTTACTTCAAAAATATGTTTACATGAATATAAATTCGCACTTGTCACCTAACTTGTCTTCCAAGACATATCGCCCGCACGTCATTTTAATATTTGTTCCTTTCAGTTATCCACTTCTACTTTAATAAAAAATGTTCTGAAAACACCTCAAAAGCAACAAATTTTTATCAGAGAAGAAAAGAATGGGATATCTTGTAAAAACCTTCATCGCAATAGATTATTCTTAACAAACAATCAATAAATATATTTAGTCAAAAAGAAAGGGTCTATAAGAGACAGAACCGTATCAACACGCAAACTTATTGCGTATACGTAGAGAAAAGGCCAAAACACCCCGCCAGCCCAGGAAAGCGTTTCGAAAGCATCGAAGAGAAGTATAAGGAATAGAAGAGAGAGAGATACGAGATGAACCATAAAGACCAGAGCTTGGGATCAACCGGATTAAAATGCTCAAAATAATTTCAGATGAAAGAAAGGAAAAAAAAATTCGAAAATGACTACTTGGCGACGCCGTTTGCCGTCAGTTGTTGATAGCTCTTGTTCTGAGCTTCCCACATTTTTTCCAGCTTTTTCCGTTGGGATTTCGTGACCTGAAAAGTATAAAAATTGAAATATTTCATTTTTGCTGAGAGTTCTATCTTTGTCAGCTTTATTTGTTTTTTAAATATTTTCGTAAACTCAAATATCTAGTTTCCCAGTTTTTCACTAGAACTTTGCAACAAACCTCATCGCCGCTGGCCAAATGAGTCGGAATGCCTTTTTCGTCGTATTTCGAGTACTTGGCAGCTTCGTCGCCTTTCTTGAACATCTCCGTTGGAGGAACTCTTTTCGCCGCTTCCTTGTCAGCTTTTTCCTTGGCTTTCCGGTCTTTTTCCTGAAAACAGCACATTTTGATCATTTGTTTAAAGAAATGATTTTTTACAAGAAAACCACTATTTCTGCTGTTGATGGCACATTTTCTAATATCCATTCTCAAAATGTTCGCTTTTTGAAAATTATCTTACGTCTGCCCGTTCTACGCATACTGATAAATAAAAATCGCCATATTTTCCTGAATGTGAAGCTAAACGAGCTGATTGACACAAGAAGAAGTAATTTTTGATTTCGAATGAAAAAAAAAATGACGACGAACCGCCTGCTTGGCCTTCTCGGCGGCGGCCTTCTGTTCGGCTTCCCTTCTGAGCGTGTCGCGGTCGACGAGTTTCACGCAGGTTTGGGCGCTTCGGTCTTCGAGTCGAACTCCCAACTCCGGCAAGACTTCGTCGCGCAACCTGTCGCACTCCTGAGAATATCAAACTTTGTGGTTCGTTCGGAAAATCTCTGGAACCTCCAAAATTCCAACAATCTTGTGCTCTTTGGCAATGTTGCGGACTTTCTCACGGAACTCGGCCAACGCCGTCAAATAAGGCATCACCACCGTTTCTTTGGAGGTTGAGGCGATTCCGCAGGACGCAGCACTGAAAGATTATTATTTTCTTTTTCTGGAATCAGCAAAACTTTATCGAATTCTCAAATTGTCCGTATATTTTTTATATTTTCTGGAAACTCACTCATCGCTGTCAACTGGGAAGCCGATTTCCTGATGCTGCGGGATCGCGCCAAACATTTTCAACAGCCACGTTATGTAGGAAGCGAAGTTCCTGAGGAGCAGGCAGTTGGGAACAGTCCCTTCCTTTTCCTGAATAAACTTTTCGAATCCCTCAATCGTCTTCGAAGTGTACCTTCTCAGCGATGTAGGCGTTTCCGAGCCAGATGAGCTCGCGGATTTTCTCGACGACGGTCCTCGTATCGACGGAGTCGCAGAGGGCGTCGTGGACGTCCGCCTTGAGCTTCGAAAAGTCCTCCATGAGCTGCAGCTCGCGCGCTTGGTACTTTTGATAGCCCTAAAGAGGTCATTCATGAGTTCTGTTCGCAAAGTACAGAAAAACCTGGCTGCTGTCGGGCTTGTAGTGCCGCCTGAGGTAGTCCTTGACGACCAAGAAGAACTCGTTAGTCATTTTCTCAAACTGCAAAGCGCGCTCCATTGTCGACGGACTGTAACGGAAAATATGTCAAAAATAAGAAAAAAAAATCCGGTTGAAAATTGTTTTCAAAATACCAAAGGAACTCAAATAACGCAAATGTGAAAACAGTTAGTCTGCAAAAGTGTCTTGAATAACGCTTACATAATGAAGTTTGATTTTCTAAACCTGAGTCTACGTAATTGGAATAAGTATCAAACGAATCTTAAAAAATGCAACTCAACACAGGGAACACACATCGGAAGGCTAATGAAACTTCTAATTATATGACTTATTGGGTCTGGAGCTCTCAAAACTGAAAAAATTGAGCAGTACGTAGAATCTTCAACTTTTTTTTTTACATATACAGGGTCTATATGAGCTTCTAGAATTTTTCCTCAACCAGTTTTTTAACTATCGAATTTCGTCGCTTTTTTTGAAAATGATACCACGAGAAAAAAAAACTTCTGTTTTTCCTGTTATCCAACTAAATTTACCACCGTATAGAAATAAATATTATTCGTGAAGAAAACTTTTAAACCTAGAGAGAACATTATATTCCTACTGACGAAGCTTGTGAAAAAAAAAATCAGTATCCTCAGTGCGATTCCAAATATCCTCCGTACGCACTTTAGAATATTGGGACCGATAAACGGCCAAGAATAAATGTAATTTCGAGGCTTCTACGCTAACGAAAACAAAAATGTCACTGCAATAAATCCTGGAGCATTTATTCAAATATTTCCTATAAGAGACGAGAACAAAACAAACTAATTTCATGCAAACGATAAAATTATTCGTATTTGTCAGTGAAAGGCGGAACTTCACTTCGAAAACCAAAGAGAGCAAAAGCCAAGGAACTGGTGACCCATTAAGGAGAAACCTCGGGAAAAGATACCACACGAGTCTCCGATGAAATATTGCTCAAAAAATCGACCAGGACCCACGGAAGAGGCAATGTTAAGCCCTAGACGAGGAAAACCTTCCAAAGACAAAAATCGAGAGCAAACAAAAAAGATCGCGACGTTCCTAGCCAAAAATGGAAAATTTCAATAATCACTTTCTCTTTTGAGTTGGAAAGAGCAAAAAGGGGATATTTGAAACAGACAGACACTTTTGTTTTAATATCCAGAATCCCTAGGCGACAGCAGCTCTGGACGACAAGAAAAGGCAAAACATAGGAAGAAATAGACGGAGGAAAAGGTGATAGACCCCCTTGGAGGCATCGAAATTCAGAATTCAAAAAGAGGTGCACTTGAACTCTCACGCACGGAGGATGCGGGAAACGTGGTTTTCATCAATCAAAAAGAAATATTTCCGACGGAACACATGCAAGTCGAAGGTTATTGGGGGCTCGGATATAAATAGTAACACAGTTGAGCACACAACAAACACTCTCGCGGCCAACAATCGCTCTCGAGAAGCGAAAGAGCGAAATGAAAAGCGCAATCATATTAAAAACAGATTTTCAACTCAACGTGGACTTGTCAAGGAGTGAACTTCCAAAGGACTTTGAAAAAAAAATCTTATTCGAACACTAACCAGTACCCATTATCCTTATTGTCCTTATTCGATTCATTTCGAAAATTGATTTAAAACAGTGTAAAAAATACAGTAAACGAATATGAATCTGCAAAGCACAAATTTTCTTTACAATAACACAGAGCTTGTAAGTGAATGAAAGATTTTCGATCTTAAGCCTATTCGAATTTTTCCTTTCTTGTACATGTATATCTAAACTCTACCTAACAGAGTGAAATATTTTTTTTTCTTAGACTTCTTCACGTGGAAAAATTGCTCAGACTGACAACTTTACACATGTTTTTTCTAAACAACTCTAAAAAATTTTTCCACAGCTCAAAAGTTAATGGATGATTCGAAAAAAAAAAAAACTAATTAGTTCTCAAAACCTTAACCTTTTCCTATAGCTAATTGAAAACGCCATGAGAGATTTGTGACTCATATGTCACTGATAAAAATTAATCAGAAAGGTGAGCAAGAGTAAATTCTATCCAATTAATTTCATTAGCGGATGTGAAACAACTTGTACTCTTAAACGAAACGATAAGCTGCGACGGGATGAAAAGATGAAGAGATGAAAAAACGTCCAAAAATCGCTATCATATCTCACATAAGGTTACGCAGAGTTCCTGGAAAACTGCGTGAGTTTTCTTCTTGCACGATTATTTGAGGACCACGGGGTGATAAGAAAAAATGCACATGTGCTAAAAATAGATGGAAAAAATCGGCAGCGATGGGAGGGAAAAGCGGAAATCGCAGTCAATTGTAGCGCTGACTGGAGGTTCCAGTTCATTCACAGGCCGTTTCAGAAGAAAAAAGAAACTCGAGTGGAGTTCCAAGACAAAGGGTTCAGAAGATGTGGGGCATCCGTTGTGCATAACTAAGCGGCTCATTGAATTATTCAATTTCGCTAAATATAACTTTGGGAAACTTCTGGAAGCTGTCAAAATTAGAACTTGAGCTTGTGCTGAATCTTGTAATAAGTGGGCGAAGGGAAACAAAAAGGTGCACTCGATCTCGTGTATTTACCTACTACGTCAATGACGTTCGAGGCGATATCCCGTTTGGTTTTCCTCTTCGTTTTGCAACAGTTTACCGAAATTTTTTCAGCAAACATTCGGTATTAAGGATGTCTGAGGTAGTAGGCACAAGCATTTACGGTCCGTGAATGGTTTTGAAAAAAAGGATAATTATATTTTTCAAGCTTTTAATTGAGCTTCAATAAAATGAACCTTTCCAAGCATAAATCTTTCAAACTCTTCGAAAATGATTAGAACTCGAAAAACATATACCAAAAATGAAAATGATTAAATTCAAAGCTTTTGACTCAAAGGTTAAGTTTCCCTGTGGCCCAGGAAACTCACCATAAATAACAAATAAGCGAAAAACTTCGAAAACGGAAGCTGAAAGAAAAATGCAGAACAACAAAGTTTGATCTAAGATCGTTGAAATTGAGCAAAAGAAACTCAAAAAGAAGGATTTTCGTGTGAAGTTTGAATCTTTCTACAAACTCGCCCTATTCGAAAATGCACATTTTTAAAACTGAGGAATATCGGAGGTAGAAAATATGTTTTAAAATCTTTACAGAAAACTCATAGACCATTCAAATTTATAGAAAATTTCAAAGTTTTCACTTAAACTACCTTCAAATAATGAAATGAGAAAATTCTAACTCTTGATGATTTTTAAAAAAAACTGTAAAGCAAGAGCATTCATAACTGCGAAAAAATTTATTAAACTGAAAAATTTCAAAAATTTTCCATCAAAACGCTTATTTTTTGCCTTTTTGCTTACGAGAGCTCACACCCATAACTTGACAACCAAACTTGGAGTTTCGCATAATCGAGACCAAAATCGTTTTATAGAGTTAAAATTTGGATTATTTCTCTAATGGCTAACTTTTTGAAGATATTATATGTGAACAGAGTCTGATATTTTTTTCAATTTCTGATTAGAAATTAAGAAATTAACGAAAAAAATATGATCAAAAATGCTTTCTCTAAAAAGATATTTTGATTAAATTGCAAGCAAATTTCTAGATTATTCGTTCTTTCTCTCTGGTTTTCCCGTTTCCACTCGAAAAACCCACCTATAGTCAAGAACATCAGTCCAGTTGTGCATCAAGAACAACAAACGAAGCTGCCGCGCCGTGTATTGGGTCAACGCCTGGCTGTAACCGACATCGTTGCGAAACGAATCTTCTCTTCCAGAATCTCTTACCGGATCGTGATGAAATTCTTGAGCGATTTGGACATCTTCATGCCGGCGATGCGGAGAGTTCCGCAGTGCAAGAAGTAGTTCACCCAGTGAGGATCGTCATAATGGGCTTCGACCTGGAAAAGATGAACTTTTTTGGAGAGTGAGAAGCTGAAGAGTATTTGAAAAACCCACTACATTGAATTTTTTTCAAAGGGAAACTTACTGGTTAATAAACCTCTCGAAGAGCTTTTCATATCTATAACTTCAAGACTCGATTGATATGAAGTCGGTCCATGTATTATCTCAAGGGAGCTCTTCAGGGTTCAAACTAACTTGTTAAGTCATTTATTAATTCGAAAATAGTTCTACCGTAAATCCTTCAAACTACCCATTTTTCTTAGTTCAACGTGTAAGGCTGATTCTCTGTTGGTTATTCCCATTTTCATAGTTTTTAAAATTAATCTTTTTTTTCCGTTTTGATCAAAGACGAGAATGAACCTGGGCGATCTCGTTGTCGTGATGCGGGAACTTGAGATCAAATCCACCGGCGTGGATATCCAATTTGGATCCAGTGATGGCGGAAGACATCACGGAGCACTCGATGTGCCAGCCAGGGCGTCCTGAAGCTCGGAAAAATGATTCCAAGTTCAAAAAATCAGCAAAAAAAAAAACGAAAAAAAAGCATCTCGTTTTTCAAATCTTCTTGTTATTTGAATGCGGGGCTCTTTCAAATCGTAGAAGCGATGCATTAATTCAAAAAAAAAATAGCGCTGAAACCGACTTTCCGCTTCGATGATTCTTTAAAGACTACGAAAGACATTTTGGAATCGTTTCACCAAAAAGAATAGAAATAAATCTTCAATGAAGGCGAACTTCTCACCTTTTCCCCACGGACTGTCCCAGAACGGCTCGCCGTCCTTGGACGTCTTCCAGAGCGCGAAGTCGTTGGGACTTCTCTTGGCCTAGAAAATAGGGTCTGAATAAAATTTTAAGAGCCGGTAATCACTTGTAGCCGATCAGTTCCCATGCTGAGCTCGCCCTCGCTTTCGCGCATGTTCTTCAGCATCGCCTCGCCGTCGACTTCAGTTCCGTAGGCCTCCGGTACCAATTTGGCGTAGTAGTGCTTCGGATTGGCCTCGAACGCCTTCGTGTCGAAGTATACCTCAAAATGTGTCAATGAAACAAAGAATCATCGCACGAAATGTATAAAAATCATAAAATAAAAAATGTTCGCTGTCCAAACTCACAGATCCATCGGCAGAAGCATAGGCGTAGCCGTTGGAGATGATCCTCTCGACGTACTTGATGACCTCGGGAACATATTCGCTGACCCTAGTCAAGACGTCAACAGGGAGGACGTGAAGACGTGCCATGTCGGCGAAGAACTCGTTCTCATAACTAAATTAAACATCTTTCTGACGCTGACAGTTGGAAATAGATTCAGATTGCATTCAACGGAAACTAACGTCTTGGCGAGCTGGTCGAAGACACTGTGATCTCGAATTTCCTTGCCGTGAGTGGCATCCAGCCATTCGGAGAGAACATCACGAGCCTCATTCAACAAACGTCCCTGCGAGTTGAGAATTCGAAGAGGAAGGGAAATTTGAAGAGGCTATCGATGCTGATTTGACATTTTGAGATACCTCCGTTTTTAGATCAAAACAATAAGAATATGAATCAATTCAGAAAAATACCAAATATGTACATTGTACTAAATAGCCTAGAATGACAAAACTCAGTGGAAAAATACTGAAAAAAAAAAATCAATATCCTACTAGAACCAGGTTAAATTTTCAAGAAATTATTATGAAAAAAGAGATAATAAACGAAAGGATAAAAGAAATATCATCAAAAAACTTTCATTTTTTTTATCCCTTCAATCAAATTCTTTCAAAAACCTTGGCGCTTTCGATTCCACTTTGGTCTTTGGCGATCATGGATTTCTCCAAATCATCCGCACATTTTTTTGCACCTTGTGAATCTGCAAAAATATAAAAAAATTTCTTTAAAAAAACATTTTTCACCCACCAAAAACTTCGTACATTTTCTTCTTGTCAGGATCCAGCTCATCGTTGTACTTGAACTGAAAGAAACATTTTAAATTAAAAAAAATTCTTTCTTTTTTCAATTTCATAAGGAAATCCGAAGATTATACTAACCCTGAACAGCTCCAAAGCGGCCAAAACGTCGGTGATGACTTTCTCAACCGACGGAGCTTCTTTGGATTCATCCAAGTAAGAAGTCAGCAAATACCTTTGACGAGCTCTGAAACACAGGAAATTTTCTAAATTGCTTGGAAAAAAGAACCTCTTGATAATCTTATCGTCGATGTCCGTGATATTCATGATGAATTGGACATCATATCCAAAATAATCGATGAAAACGCGCCGAAGAATGTCCAAGGAAAGGTAGGACCTCGCATGGCCCATATGCGAAGAATCGTAGACTGTAGGGCCGCAAATGTACCATTTTACCTGTAAAATAACCACACTTTTCAAATATTGCTTGACTCAACGAACCCTACGACCTTCATTCGGAACAAAAAGTTCTTTTTGTCTGGAGAGACTGTTGTAAATTTTCAATTGTGGGAGCGTCGTCGAGTTCTGCGGAACTTGCCACGGCTTCTGAATCCGCTTGACCGCTACTGAAACAGCGAAAATCAGAAATTGATAAGAACATCGGTAACCCGCCTGGCTGCAAGTTTTGAACCATTCTCAATGATTTCGAGAGTTGAGGACTGTCGGTGGATGACAAAAATCGAAGTGCAGCGAACTGCTTGAAAAGAGCACTTCTAGACGACGTCGTGACCTTCTTCTGCTCACCAGAATTCGATCAGCTACGTCGTTACGCAAGTTGGAGCTAGCCTTTAAAAGGGAACTGAATGTATTTGCAGCAAAAAGAGGAAAAAAATCAAATTGTATTCAATCCCGGATGTCATAAACAAATGTAGGAAAAACCTCATCTCTCAAATGGGGAAAGCATGTTCAACAATGGAACGGAAAATGTTCCAGTTCACTGAAAAAGTTGCGAAGCAAAACAGAGACTTCAAAAACTACGTACTGAGGCCTGAGACCCTTAAAAAGTGAAATTTTAGCGTCTTTCACAACATTTCCTCACCGGAAGAGATTTTTGCATTGTAAACTAGCAAAAAACGTAAACTTTGCTCACGATTGCATCAGCCACTATTTGATGTAAATAGGATTTACTCTGAGAGCCGAATCTCATGATTTCATCATGCTTCAGATGAGGCATTCTTCTAAAAGAGCTTTCAATATAATTCCGAACCAAATGCGCTTTTTAATATTCTATATAAAGAAAATTTAAATTTTTCGAGTTTATTTTTTTTTTAGTTTTTTTCAAACCAAACTGAATCAATTTGTACGGAATGGAACATTTAAAAACCAAAAAGGAAAAAAAAATGAAACAGGTCAAAGGACATCATTTTTGAAATTCCTATTGTTTGTCCCTTCTCAAAAAGAAAAAGGGAGCGAAGGACGCCTCGCTGTTTTGAAATTCCGCGACACGTGTAGGGATAAATCACTTTGAAAAAAAAAGTTTAAGCAAACTACGTAATCTGAACTCTTGGATCGATATCATCAAACTTGAATCCTGTTCATAAATATCAAGAAGAGATTTTTGTTCGTATTTTAAAAGCGAAGAGGACAAACTCATGCTGGAATGTCTATAAACACTAAATGAGCTTCGTTAAAAATTACATCGGTTTTTTCGATGAGAAAAGTTAAAAAAACGAGAAAAATCGAACCTTTTTGAAAAAAAGCAACAATTTTTTTGTACGGAAAATATTCTGCAGATTTAAAGTTGCTGAGACATTTCTAAAACAACTGAAAAAGATAAGAAAACATTATTGGAAAAATGAAAAAAAGGAAGGATAAAACTCAGGAAATTTTTTTCCTTTTGGAAAAAAACTAAAAAAACTGCAAAAAAACTTCGTCACATTGAGCGCATGAACTGCGTACACCTCCACGCCAAAGAAAAAAAAAATGAAGATGGAAATTTTGGGTTTCATAAAACATTGCCGATTGACAGGTCTACTGCAAATTCTTTTTTATTTCTTTTTCTTTTAACGAATACTTTCCTTATCAATGTCATTCGAAACATTCTTTTGTGGAAAAAAAAAATCATATAAAAAGGCAGAGGTGGAGGATTGGGAAGGCAGCCCTTGGCTTGGCGGCCAAGCCAAGCCAAAAAGCCAAACGATAGAAATGAGCCATTAATTTACGTGGTCTTTGGCAACTAGGTCAAGTACGTGGCGATAACGCCCTGAACTAATCATTATAATTTTGTGAATTTTGAATTGTTTTGTTTTTCGCAACTCCGTGATAACGTTTTTAGCTTACTGTAACAGATATTTCAGCAGGAATTTTCACTCCGACGGGTCAGTAGGCTACTTTTTCAGGTCACTAGAGAATTACTCGGACCAAAAAATTTTGAGATGCCATGAAATTGATGCAAAAGTAATTCTTTTGATTCATTTGGTTTCCAAAAAACTCAGATGACAGAAAAATCCTACTACGCCAGGCCACCTCGTTATGATAATGTTGATGAACCAATCTTCTTATTGAAATTTTTGATTTCAAATCGCTAAGGGACTTTCCGACGAATCTCTTTCCGACTTTGTTCCCTTATATTTTTCGGTTTATAAAGCAACTATTAACCTTTTTTCTATTTCTTTTTGTGTTTTGATCATGAATCAACTATCTACTTTATGTAAAAAGATTTAAAACTAAGAGTTTATCTAGAGTCGGAAAAAGGGTTAGTCGATGAGTTCCTAAAAATAAAAAATCGTTATGTTCGAATTTTTTTAACAATTAAAAATTCTGATTCCTTTGTGTACACCATTGCTCGAAACAAGCGCTTCTAGATGTTAGGGCGATTTCGCCTTAAAAATGACATTCGCGCCACGTTGACTTTTGAAAAAGTCATTTCTGCCTTTTGGGCGTTTATGGCTTGGCAGGCAGGGCGGCCAGTGGGCAGCCATCCTCCACCTCTGTAAAAAGGAATAACAATTAGAACTTTACTTTTATTTTTTTACGGCAATATGAAAAAAAACACGTCAAGGTTCACACCTCTCGACTTAAAATAGGAAATGAGAGAACAAAAAACCAGTTCCATTCTAGACGTTGCAAAGAGGGCGACTTGTTCTAGCTGTTAGCAAGAACGAGGAAGTAGCGAATGAAGATTTATAAAAGAATCATAGAGGAAAATATCGTTTCAATCTTTTTCGTGTAAAAAGAGACTACGAAACGATCGAAAGAGGTCCACAAGGGACAATCGAGGAGAATGCGGACTGGGCAAACAGTCCAGCCTGGCCGCTCTTGCTCAAATCGAGCAGCTTCCATCAGAACTAGGGTCAATTTGTATTTCTCAAGAGCTTTCTAACATCAAGGACATACTTGGAAAATAAGGAAAATTGTACTAGGTGAATAATTGACGAACCGTTCTACACTTGATAGAAACTTGTTTTCGTGCTTCTGAATTTGACGTTCGCTACACTTTCAACATTGCATCAGCCAACTGAAGGACAAAGACTCCGTCATGCGCTAGTTTATGTACACAGGTTGGGCTTCAAGCAGAAACAAAACACACAAAAAAAGTGATAAAGGATAAATGATAATGTGTGGGGTTTTCGATTTCGAAGCATCAAAATCTGGCGTAAAGAGGGAATTATACGGTTGAGAAGTTCGAAGTCTGACTCAGTAACAACAAACAAGAAACGGAAGGAAAAAACCAAATAATAAAAAACAAGAATTTTCCAACGTTCTTCCGCCTACTGTGAACTTCGCTCGGTTAAAGTTTTCAAATTTTTTCAAAAACTTTTGATGCATCTTCCTGAAGAAGCTTCAAGAGAATGTACACAAACACTAGACATTATCGCCTTGCTCAAAGTAGTTAGCGAAACTCTGAATGATCCTCACAGAATGAGCGCTACTTTTCGGAAAGTCAGAGTTAATTGTGTTTTATGAAATTACTACGAAGACGACATAAAACTGTCAATTACTTGCTACAAATACAAAAACTGATTACCAAAAACGCTTGTAAAATAATTTATATATCTCAAAAACCCATTTTGAAACTTAAACGACGCAACTTCGCACCCGTTACGCGTACCTACGCGCAAAAAAAAAGCAATCGTCGCATCATAATTTTTTCCTTCATTGCTTTCTTTCTTTAAACCGGAATTTTTTTGCAGAAAATAATCTTCATTTAGTCCTTCGGAGAGTGTTTCTTCCTATTCATAAAAAACTTGAAAGTTAAAAGGAAGATCTTTCTGTAAAAGCTGTAATTCGATTTCAAGAAGAAGAAAAATTTGAGCTTTCTTGTTGCATTTTTAGTTCCTCATTTATCGCCTTTCTGTTTTATTGAACATTTTATTGGAGAATAGAAACGTTGAAAAATTGAAACTATAAAGTTCAACAAAAAAAAAGAAGAAAAAAAACGACGAAATAAATGCAGAAGCGTGGGAAAAAACGTGACGTCGACTGAACGACGGCGCGTTTTTGGACCCTTGTGATAACGAAAAGCGACTGATCAGTCATTGTACGTGGCGGATCGACAAAAATCGCTTGGAATCGTTTCGATCGATTTAAATATGGCGGGAAAAGATCTGGTTCAAGGCTGGAAAAATCAAAATTGTCAAGGGTCAACAATATATTCCTATTCGCCAAATAAACTCGATTGCAGAAAAAAATTTTCATTTTTCTGAAACAAAAGGTTCTTCAAGAAAAGGAAGAGGTCGCTTCCAAATTTTTGATGTTTCTATTCCTAATTTAATCATGTTTCACGAGGGTTACAATGCGGAAGAAAGTCTGTGAACTATTTACAGCGCTTTTTTAGAGTTTTTTTGTCTCATCGAAGTAATTTTGACCTCATCTTAAGACTGAAACTTCCATTTTCTGCCAAAGTCCTGACAAGGGAGTAATTTTACTCAGGCGTCTTATATAGAAAATAAGAAGTTTCCAGGTTGAGATTTCCAATTTCTTCCCTGAACAAGAATTTTTCCTCCTGCGAACTTGTAGACTTGCACTGTTCGAAGGACAATAGAATGAGTTTCCGTTTCCAATGCGTTTTCTACAATAAGCCTCGCTCGGAAGCTTGGATTCGGAAAACTTGTCAAACACTCGAGACATTCCCCATTCATACGCGAGAAAACTATTGCTCCAATTTCTGAGACGACGAGCCTAATTACGGACTGAGGGTTCTGGAAAAAGGCGTCCTCGCGACTGGTCCACTTGACCACCTCCAGCGGTCAACCCGTCCCATCAAATCGCTCGAAGAAACTCGAGTTACTCTGGTCCAACCCATCCTTCCACACTGTTTATCCGCCAATCCAGCACGTTTTTCCAGCTTTCCTTCGTATTCAACTCAATCCCTACACAGTTTCTATGGATGAAAAGCTCAGGGTTCGTTTTTTTCATGGGCTTTTAAAAGTGGAGGTTACTCAAAAGCACTCCTTTCCTCCAGCAATAGTCTGAATTCGTTTCTGAAAGAGACTAAACATTTAATAAAGGTGTTTTCTGATTTCCAGGTGACCTCGTTGCGATTTGTCGCTTATTCAACAATATCGTTCAGTGTCCTCACTGTATTCTCGGTCCTGAGCCAACTTTCAATCTGAAAAACAAACAAATCTTTCAGATATGCGTCTCTTTGCCATTTATGTACATGTCTCTGAACAACTTGCGCTCTACTATGCAATCTGAAATCTCCTTTTGCAGGGTATAATTTTCTAAATTTTTTTTCTTACAATGAGTCATCCGCCGCGACTAGAAAGAGTCTGGTTTCTTCGTGATCTCCCAGTACCTTTTCTTATATTTGAAATTTTTTTTCTTACAACCCTCGAGGGAAGAAAAACCGCAGACCAGTCAAATTGTCTCGAATCGCCAAATGAAGTTATTTCCGATTTTGAACTTCAGGAATCGGCAAAAGAGATCTGGTCGCAGGTTCACTTGACGAAGAGCTTGGCTTTGAACCGTACTGCTCGTCAGGCTTATTATCCAGAACCTGAGCCAACGACGACGGTAGAATACTTCGAGCCGAAAAAACCGGACAAATGTACGGCTTGCTGTGTACCTGGAGCTCAAGGTCCGCCAGGAGAGCCGGGGAGACCAGGTCGGCCAGGTAAGCCAGGTGTTCCTGGAATGCCTGGCAACCCTGGAAAGCCGCCAGTTCAACCTTGCGAAACGATAACACCTCCGCCATGCTCGCCATGTCCGGCTGGACCTCCGGGTAAACCCGGACCACAAGGCCCGCCAGGAGACGCGGGCGTTCCAGGACCAACTGGAGAGCCCGGACCTGATGGCGCTCCTGGAGAGCCTGGACCAGACGGAGCTCCCGGAGATCCTGGAGCGATAGGTCCTCCTGGCCCTGACGGCGAACCTGGAGAGCCGGCCATCTCCTTGCCTCTTGTTCCTGGACCGCCTGGACCACGCGGCGATGCTGGTCCTCCCGGTCTTCCCGGCGAGCCAGGAGAAATCGGAGACTACGGTCCTCCTGGAGCGCCTGGACCAAAAGGCTCGCCTGGACATCCTGGATTACCTGGCAGTGATGGAACACCTGGATCTCCTGGGCCTCAAGGACCACCCGGACTGCCAGGCGAACAAGGAGTTTGTCCAAAGTGAGTTCTTTTTCTGGAATTTCCGAAAAAAAAACTATCTTGGCTGGATAATTAGTTAAATTTGATTTATTAAGGTACTGCGCAATCGACGGAGGCGTCTTTTTCGAAGACGGAAGTCGGCGCTAATCTCACAGCGAAGTTCTATCAATTCCTAAATATTTTATTTCATTATGCAGTTCTAGTTTAATAAACAAACATATAGAGTCTGTCTGGACGAAAACAGTTTTATGAGACTTTTGTGGTACTTTTCAATGGGAATAGGCGTCGTTTCATTGTGGGAGTCTCTCACCATCGAGAACTATAAAAGGTAGATTTTCGAAAAAAAAAAACACTCAAAAAATGGCTCAACTGACGACGTATCTCATGCTGGCCCTGCCACTTTTCGTCGCCCTTTGTCAAGCGGCACCGGCTCCAGGTGCCATCCCCGGATTCGTTAGTTTTACTCTCTAAACTCTTGAAAAACGATGTTTTTCAGGACCTGAGCAAGATCATGGGAGCGTTCGGCAAATAATATGATCAAAGTTCTGTAATAGATCGTCAACCGATCGGTTCTAAGAAAATCCAAACACTTTCCAATAAACACTTTTAATCTATTGTTGCGACTAAATACATAGAATTTGAAGACACTTGGCATTCCGAAGCGTGAAATTAGAGGTTTCAGCGTGGGCTTTCGAAGACTAACCCACCATCAGAAAATTCAAAACTTTCACTCTTCTCTTTTTCTGCCTTTCTCAATGCTTCGATTTGTTTTAAAATTCATTTTCTGACTAGAATAGTGTCTGGGGTACACAACGCGGTATTAATTAGCTTTTATTACAGGTACTTCTAGGGTAAAGTATTCGGGAAAAAATTATCTTCTAAGCGAAATTTATTACTGAGAAGAATCCTGTTTAAAGTGTGCAGAAAAGCTCGAAAACTTTTTTTTCGGATAATTTTTGAATCGGAAACAACTGGTCTAGAATATCTGATTATGAGCGACACGAGAAAACCTTGCTTATCAAAAATTCAGAAAAAAAGGCAGTTATGCAGAATTTTTCGCGCCTTTCCAAATAACTTCTGTGAGTCTACTCACTCAATTTTTTTTAACTTATCAGATTATTTTTCAATTTTTCAAGTACTCTACCCAAAGACTATCTAATAAGGCTGAATCTTAGATGTGAACCTCGCAAAGATTCCTATTTATACCATCCTTCAATAATTATACTCAGGTAAACCATGACAGCCAACACGACTCTTCCTCCGGTGGCGCCAGTCGCTACCGAGTCTGCAGTAAACATGACGGAGCTACTTATGATTCGAGTATTAGAGCTCATGGATGCAAAGTTGGGACAAGGAATGTCTTTTTTGGATATCTTCAAAAACGGCGCCAAAGTTTTCTTGTTCATCTTGTATTGTATCCAATACAGTCGCACTAAGAAAATTTGCGAGGTAAGCCTGCGAAAAATCTTGAATTATTTACTATACTCAATTAAACTTTGAAAACTTTGTACGTAAAACGCGAAGAAAATGAAGTCAAATTGGGAAAAAAAGCGCCAAAGAAGATAGTTAAAAAAAAAGAAAAGAACAGCGAATTAGCTGACTCTTTTTCAATAATTGAATGTAGAACTTCAAACTTCCAAGTTTTCAAAAAACAGTGAACTTGCGTCAAAAATTGATCGTTTGAAAAATGAATAAAAAAAAAGATATTTAGAGAAAAAGAATTCCCTGAAATGCTCATTCTAGTGTTAATTCTTATTTCGAAACCCTTAAAATAAATTAAGGGCTCGAACCGTTACATCCTTTCACAAATCTACGTCGTCAACTTTCTCAACTTTTTCACAAAAAATTTACCGATGCTTATAATATTGACAGTTGCTAAAATATCCTACGTTTTTATTGCACCAAACCAATACAGACCGACTCTAGTTTTAACCGTTCTAGCTGTCACTGCGTTTATAGACAAGGTTATACTGTTTCTAGAGATAAGTCAATTTATATCGTTTTTAGATATTCTTGTACCTTTATGAAAGCGACATTGTTGTTCTGTTGCTGTTGCTTCTGAGCTTTCAGCGTTCCATGTTTTGGTTCAAAGAGGATGTTGGAAAAAGAGCGAGGTCAGTTTACTACGAAAATCGCAAAAAGATGATTTTTGAGATTGTTTTCTCAAAACATCCTGATTCAAGAACAAAAACGTTTTCACGCCTTTAACGGTGTTATATGATGCATCATAGACGCTAAAAACCTTATTTTCTCCTATTATTTTCAACTTTGAGGCGTTGTAACTCGAAAAAAAAAAAGAAGAGGCGTATAATTCTCAGCGTTTGCTAGGGTAACTGATCTCAAGAAAACAGGTCGACAAATCTCAATTTCCTTGCCCTTTCGCATCAAACACACAAACTTGCAGAGTTTTGTTGAAACTCCTGACTTTGGCTGTTTGGGTGGTGGGTCTTTTTGGGATCGCTATGATGTGGAGTGGGTGTGGGAACGAATGTCCCATCGGTTCTTTTCTCGAAAGGAATTTCACTTGCGATAATGGCAAAGAAGCCTCGGTTTCATGGCATACCTATGCGATTGTGAGTTTCGAACCTTTTCTTCACGTCTAAAACATAAATTTCAAAGAAAAAAGTCAAAATTCAGGCTCATCTTTTGCTGCAGCTTTTCGTCCCGATTGTGACTTTTGTTATGTTTTTGAAAATAGTGAAGGATTGTCGGGTGAATCAAAAGGAGGAGCTTCCGACTACATACGAGCTCGTTATCGGCTATCAGCACTTGCCGTTGATCATAATCACAGTTGTCAGTTTGAACGATTTTGTTAATCAAATTAAAAATATCAGCTTCAAGTGGTTTGAAGTGTACTTTTCAATCATTTTTTTTCAAAATTATAAGTGGAAAATTCCCTATGAGAAAATTGGAAATAAAGTACATGTTTTCAGGCGAAATGGCTAGCCGTTGTGTCGACATTGATCAAAGTGACAAGCATCCGTCCCGTTACTTCGTTTGTTCTTTGCCAAAACGACGAAATCTACTCGATCATCATTCCTTTATCGTGTATCCTCGTCAAATTTAGCCATTCCCAACGTTTCTACTTGTTCAAAATCATTTACAAAGGTGCCGTCAAAAATTCAAACACACACTCGGTAGAAAGCGGTTGATCTTTGAATTCCTGGTTTTCTCTCAATTCTTCTCCATAAGTCCCAGCTATGCTAAAAAAAAAGACACGTAATAAAAAGTCCCAATAATTGATAATAGTATGTTTATTTTGCTTTTCTTATTTCCGACTTTAAAGAAATGGACTCTCTCTAGAAAACTTTTTTGAAATTTCGTTTAGCTTCACTCAGTTTCAATATAATAAAATCGTAAAATGCAGAAAGAAGCACGTTTTGAAGATCTTCCCTTCAAAATATAAAACCCAGCGGCCAGAAACCAAGCGGAAAAATATCAAAACAAAAGTTACAGTGAACATGTATTTATCATAATAAAGCAAATAGTGGTGAGTGAAATTAAATAGTTTGAAGAAAAGCTAAATAAGATACTCGAGGTCGCTGGAAACTTCGAAATCTTGTTTTTTTTTTTTTTAATTCAGCCAGAAGTCGCGGAAAGTCCGCTGACGCCCTTTCTCGTGGTTTAAATACTTCTGCTGGGTAGAGCGTGTTATACAATGAAGGGGCGAATAAGAGAAATACAATACAATAAAATAAAATCGAATTTACACACGGAACCGGCAACACAAAAAAACTCGTCGTGGAAGAAACGGAAAGAAGTTTTGGTTCTACTGTTTGGACTCAACAGGGTTGCTGGCCAGCGACCGATTCGAGCCCGTGAATTTCCTCGCCTTGGGGGTGTCGCGAAGGCCGTGAGTTCCGCCGACGGTCGGGCATCTGCAGAAATTTATTCTTTCTTCAAAAAAAACGCATCTCCATCAAAACATGAATCGTAAAGCAAAAATGAATTCAAAGCCGGTAAAATTGAAATTTTTTGGGCATGCAATCTGAGCTAGGAAAGTTTCATAAAACTGAAAATAAGAAAACTTCACGTTCTCACGCATTCAATTTTACTTCTGAACTATACTAGAATTACAGATTCATTCATTAGAAATATCTGGAATCAAAAAAATAACTGTTCAAAAACTGACAGGCAAGTCTGAAAAAAGACCAATTGAGCTTTTTCGATCTATAAATACAGTTTGTTCATGGGGTAAAGAGTTTTTTTTTCCTTCATAAGTTTTTGAAGCCAAAATACGAGCTTTTTTGAAGATATAGAGATTGATTTTCAGGATTTTACTTTATTTGAAAAGGTCTTTCAGGTTGAAGTAAAAATTTTTTTTTCAGTTTTTTATTTCTTCGAAGTAAAGTGACAAGATTTTATTATAGCACCGAAAAGTAACATTTCTTAAGAGGGATCATTTTTAAGTTGGTCACGTAGAAGCCGATACGTAAATGGATCGAAAACCAGACCTAGAAGTTTTGAGAAAGGTTCACATCAAAAAAAATTACGTTTTGAATTGAAGTTTTAGTATATATTTTATCATTTTTGTTAACAAAATACTTCAAAACTCATACTCGGAGAAGTGTTATGACATGAACTTTTTAAGGAGAAATCCTGAAAGTAGCGTGTTGAGCCAAAGCTAACCCAGATTTGCTGGTAGAGCGGACGAAATTCGGCACTTGGACGCTTTTTCGGCTCTCGCGTACAGTCGAACGGCGATTCGTCGGATTTTTAGGCGTCGAGAGCCGATCAACCAGAGATTGCATGTCAGACCTTCTCAGGGTTTTGGCGACCTTCTACAAAAAATAATTCGACATCAATTATGTTTAAGAATGACCAAATTAATCGAGTTTTCATGTGAAACTGGTTTCAAAAATCAACGATCTTAACTCGTAGTTAGCTCAAGCTTTGAAGCTTTTTTTTTCAATTTTTGGAAAAACAGGGATATTGATATGTAGAGATAAAAAAGAGCTTTATTGTTTAAACAACGTTTTTCGACGGCCTAGAGTTACTTTTTCGAATAAAAACCAGCCTCAATTAAATTTAAAAAGATCAAGATCTGAACTTTGCTCATTTATTTCGATATTTTTTCAAAGCTCTCACCTACATTGAAACATTTTTCTATTAACTGAAATGGGTACTAAACCGGTTCGGCTGCAACAGGAGGGCGGACCGGAGTCGCGTTGGTGCGCGCAGGTGCAGGAGGAACGACTTTGGAGCGTCGATGAGCCAAAGTCAGAGGCAGACGAGCGCCGATTTCCGTCGAGCCACTCTTCCTGACCGGCTTGGAAGGACTCGGAGCGATACGAAGTGGCGCCGGTCGGCTGCGAACCGCCATGTCGACCTTCGGCTTGGCCTGTTCAACGGCGGGCTTCTGTACAGTCTGCTGGGGAACAGCCGCGTTTTCCGGCTTCGAAGTCGGTTTTCCATCGTTTGTCAACCGATGCATGTTCGAGCGCCTGATTGTGGCCATTGGACGAGCAGCAGTATCTTAAACAAAAATCATTGAATTTCGTAGTTCCGGCGAGACTGAGACACAGACATCCAAAAAAAAAACGGTTTTAATAGGGGTACATCCGCTGAGATATCTGGCCGCAGGCCTGAAAGCCCACTAACAGAATAAGAATGCACTCCCTTATTTGCTATAAAGAACCATGATCAAGGTTCAGGAAAAACAGACTGGCAAGGGTCTCGCATTGCGTACGCGTCGCGGCTTTTTGGAGGGAAACTTGAGGACAAGCGCAATCATGAGAGCAGTAAAATAAATTGGTTTTTGTTATTTTCATACTTTTATTCGTTCAACTGAACTTTTTTCAAAACTATAAAAATAAAAAGTTATTGAAAAATTGTTAAAAAGGAAAGATGGAACAAATGCGGCTTTCATTTGACCTCGAGCCGCGTAGCTTACGCAACGCTTCATCCTTACCAACCTAACTATCTCGCTTCTCGAGTCGGGAAGGATTGAGCGCAAAAGTCCTTAAATTTTGAACGGAGAGAGAGAGGGGAGGAAGAGAAGTAATACAAATGAGAAAATACCTAGGATTTTAATCAGAGTATAACTCGGCCAAGTTTCATCAAATTCTAAAACTCAATGAAAAGTGAAAGCAAACTGTTGGTGGAGGAAACGGCGGGTGCCGGCTTCGGACGAGTGACGGAGTTGCTGCGACGTCCGGCCGTCGTTCCGGTGGTATTGCCTCGCGGCGCGCGGTTCCTGGGCTCGTGGCCTCCGCCGATGGACATCACGCCCATCTTGCGTTCCAACTTCTCGACGTCACTGCGGCGGGACGACACAACCGGTCTATCATTTATGATTCTCAGAAATTCTTATTCCCATTGGCTACCTGGTGACAGCGGCCGTGACGGGAGTACCAGAAGCCGCGGCGATACGCGCCTTCGAACGAGTGACTGGACCATCAGAAATGGCTTGAGGCGCCGGTCGCGCAACAGAAGGCGTCCGTTCTCGACGAGCCGCCATGACGCCTCGGGTAACGGAGGCGCTCCGAGGAGCGACTGCTGAGGTCGCTGGAGGAGCTCTGACGGCTGACGAACTCCTCACCGAAGAAGAGCTTCTGTGAGCTCCCTGAAATGTCAAGTTAAATGAAATAAATATGTGTCAATAAAGGCAAAGACTGGTGTTCAGGGGGAAAAAAATTGATTTTGCGAAAAATTTCCTGATTTTCACGAAACCAGAACATTTTCACCTTAAATTCCTTGGACCAACGAAAATCAAATATCTGCTACTAAAGGTTCAATTCTAGTAACCTAACTTCAAATAAAGTATTGTCAAAAGCCGTTGGCTTGAAATATTCTACAATTAGCAAAATAGTAAACCAAAATAAGAGGTTCCTGCAATACTCTTTCCAAGTGAATGGATTGCACTGAATAGGAAAGTCATTTCACTTTGTGATTGGGATTTGCACGGAAGTTTCACAGAAAACTCCTTGACAGTGAAGATTCTAAAAGGTTCAACCTGCACAACTTTTTGAACTCCGAGAAATAAGGTCTCAAAACCCGAAAACAGCTTATTTTGACGTTTTATTTGAACATGAGGGGCCAATAGATAGGGATTTTGGCAGGTTGAGACTTTCACGATTTTCATCTGGTATCTCAAGGAGTGTTCTCGGCATCCTCCTAGTGAGGTTTTCAGTTATTCTGAATTATTTCACTCTATGCTGCTCTAGTTGAAACCACACGACTACCAAAAAATCGAATGAAAAAGACTTTTTAATGAATAAAAGAAAGGTTTCTGGCAGAATCGGTTCGACTTTTGAAAATTTAATAATGGAACACATTTCGTTAAGGGGAAGGCCAATAAAGCCAATGATTTGATCATTCACCACAGCAGCCCTCGAAGAAACGCTGGGAGTCCGGGAACGCGTCTTTGGAGCTGGAATACTCCGGCCGGTGGCCTCCTGTTGCTGACGTTCAGAACGGCGACGCTGCGTCAGCCGAAGCGGCTGTTTTGGGGCGAACAGGGCCAGCCGAGACAGGTCTTCTGAAGAAAAACGATTGAAGGAGAAATAGATCGAATCCCAACCAATATTGTCGGTTTCGTTGGCCGGAGCAATCTTGAGCGGCGCCCTTCCCGGTGGCTTCACTTCAATCGTCGTGATCACACTCTCCTTATCGGAAACTATGTCCGGAGACTTCGCCGGTTCTTCGAAGTTCTGGAATCAAACAACGTTCAGTTCTCATTCCGAGCCAAGAAAAAATGAACCTCGTTAATAGTGAGCATGATGTCGTTTTCGCTCAGCGGAACATCGGCCATGTTCATTTTGGCCGGAGTGCTGCACTGGATGAGAGGTTCTGGAATAAGAAAAAACTCCCAAAAAGGTTTCAAACAAAATATCAATCTGAAAACGGAAACTCTAAGTCCTCAATTGGAATAGTATTTTCTAAAAGAATTTCTAGTTCTTCAAACGTTGTAAAAGTCTTGAAGGTCGCTGAGAACTTTAATAAAACACTAATCTGCTTCAAAAAGCATAGTCATGCTTTTTCGATAGATTTAGTTTAAGTACTCACTTTGGCACATCTTCTCAAAATAGTCGTCGTCGAGCGGTTGGTCGCGAGTTGGAGAGTTTGAAAGTCGATGGTAGTCGCGGCGTTTGGGCACGCTGATGTCTCGGAACAACTGAAGATCCACGCTTTCCATGGAGTCCGTCATACTGAAAAGAAATCTTGAGTAGATAAAATAGGAATAACGCAAAATCATGAGCGTTTCATGACGAAACGACGAAGATGCTCAGGTCAAGGTTTTATTAAATCAGAATAAGAAACTATGAACGGCTGTTGCAAGCTCTTTTTTAAACCGTAAAATCGAATAATCAAATGGGCAACAACTTTTCAGGTTTTTTTTTTGCTAAAACAACGCTGAAAAATAAAGATTTTAGTAGAATTATCTGAATTAACAGTTGGTTCAGACGTACTGCTTTGAGTACTTCACTGAGGCTCTGTTAACTCAACAAATTTTCAGTAAAACCAGGGAGAAGTGGCATAATACCACTTTCAGTGGCTACCATACGGCGAACTAAATAGAAGAGTTCACTGGAGGTTGAAGAAAGCTTGCGGGAGAACTCCTAAAACTATACCGCCACATATTTTGTTCAATACTTCGAACGCGTCAAAAACGTGAAATTAGGAAAATTCATTTGAAAGTTCAAATTTGAAATTTCACAACTGGCGCCAAAACAAATTCGCCGCGGAGCGCGAAACCGTAGTTCCCCTCCGGCCTTGCGGTCAAACTCTGTGACCTTCCCTGTGATCAGTTGCCGAAAAATTCGTGTCCATAGGAGTCATTATAATCAAGATGTGACAAATTTTTTTTAACTGATGATTTTTTGGCATCTTTTAAATTTGGCCTTTTAATATTTCAAAAAGAATTTTTGAAAGATAATTTAAATATTTTTTTCAGAAGCCTGCTATGACGATTTTTCGACATCAAGCTGCTTTCCGACACTTTCGAAGTCAGTCACCTTTGGAGACTTCTCCAGTCTAAGGTTTTTTTCAAATTATTTTTGCATAAAAAAATAATTTGAAGGAAAAAGAAAGGTTTGAACCGATCATCTTTGTGATCTTTTTTTCTCTTTTTCAAGGAAAAAAATAGCGGTAAACCCAAAAGTTCCGTTCAAAAAAATCTTATTATTTATCTTTCTTTTTTTTCATGCTCAATGTATTTCCAAATATCAAAGAGTTTTAAAAAAACTGAAAAATTTTTTTAGCAAAGTAACAGTGCACATTTTTCGAAAAATATCTAAAAAAATTATGCGGACTATTAATAAAATCATTCTTTAATAAGTTGTGACTTTAAAAAATTTAGGAATAAAGGAGTTTAACACGAGTTTTTTCAGAGTTCGAATTCAAGTTATGAATCCTTTATTCGAAACTCGTAGTTGCTAGAGAACAGAAGTTTGTAGAATCTTTTTTAGGAAAATTCTCTGCTCATCACTTTCATGTAGTATTTTCAGCCCCTTTCTGTTTTTGTTTTTCTAATCCTGTCGGATTTTCTTCATGCAGAACGCGTGGATCATGACTTCTATTAGTCCACTGAAGCATACCCTTTTTACCTCTGACATTTGCGCGCTGAACTAGAGAGAGAGCGAAAATTCATGAGAGCCCGATATAGATGTCAAAGAAGAATTATTTCTTCGCCTCCACGTTTTCTCGCCTCGAAACCAGCGAAAAACGCCCTTTCGTCACGTTAATGACCGGCTTGGCTTTCCGCTTCTCCAAAACGTTTTCGAATTCTTTGCCTCTTTTTGCTTTTTGAAGCTTTTTCCAATTCAAATACGCTCTTTTCTACCTAGCAACTTGCTCTTTCCCCTTTTATTTTCGTCTTTGTTTTTATAAAAACTGATATTTTGCGTTGCCCTTTGGTTATTCAGAGTGCTAGTGAACAGACGTTTTTCTTTTTCTGGTTTAAAGCCGCCGTGGGACCAATATATTGGAATCCAAAGTCCTTCTGGGACTCGAAAGCTTTTCCAATCGAATTGTCAACTTACAAACCTCTTCAACTATTGAAATTTTTGAAAATAATGTTTTTTACAGTTTCTTATCCAAATTTCTTCTGATAAGAAAAAAATTTTTTTTCGTTTCTCCATAGTGTAAATGAGAACGGCTTCAAAAAAACAGCTCGATAAAAAAATATTATGATGCTTCGCAGAATTTCTCTTTTATTCTCCAAAAAAATATTTATGATGTGTATTTTTCAATATAGCAGAAATCTTGGAAAATTTCTAGAATTCATTTTTTCAGCTACGAGCAGAACAGCTATATAATACTTAGAAAACACCAAAGATTTTTTTGTTTTTTTCTTTTTCTTTGCATTCTCGAATTTTCCGCCTCATAATTGTCCGTTTCTATGCGGACAAAGTCCTGAATTCGCAAAATATTTAGATTTTTCTTCGTTTCCAAGCATCGAGCTCGATTTTTTGAATTATTCTGTTCATTTTGGTCGTTCTTTTGAAAGATTCCGGTCGTGTTTATGCAATTTTTTGGGATTTTTTCAAACTTTGACATTTCGAACTTGCATGTTAGTTCAAAAGCTGATCAAAAACAGCTTCATGCGGTTTTTCTTCTGAAAAAGTTCACACGGCAGGAAGATCTTTTTCGAGTTTTTTTGAATTTTCCCCGAACATTTTGAAAGTTTTTAGTTTGGAAACAGAATAAAATTTAGTTTTTTTAGTTCCATTCAAAAAAATGAGAGATGCGGACCAGCGAGTTGTCACTTTCAATAAGCACGTTGAAGCTGCATTTTCCTATATTTTTTTCGCTTCTGCATGACTTTCATCTCCACTTTCAACCTCAAATTACATTGAAAAATTCAAATTTCTTTGTACAACTTCAGTTAATGTTTACAAGCATCATTATTTTTTGTGTTTTGAACGCGAAATGACAAAATTATTTTCACAAGCGGATTGCATATAAGAGCTGAAAAGCCGCTTTTTTCAATTTTTAAATGAGAAAAACCGAGTAGTAAAGCTGGTATTTTTCAGTTATAATCTTCTTTTTACTCAGAATTGGAAAGAAATTCAAAAGCTTCCGTCTTTGTAAATATTTTCATATCTCAGTCTTTTCATCTAAATCGATTGCTCATTAAACTCGTCGCGCTTTTTAGTCTCGTCCTAATAGGATTTGTTAGACGGATTCCCATCTTTTCTAATTTCTCTAGCCTTTTTTCAAAAGGCTACCGAAGGTGTTTGACCAGTCAAAGTTTTTGAATACCTTGTATTTATTTTATAAAATCCTTAAGAGAAAAAAAAAGCGAGATGTTTGCGAGCTCGTCAATGTACCGCCAGTGTCTCGCGTTTATCTCGGCAGTTATTCTTAGTGACTAGCGCCTTTAAATGGTCTTTGAACTTTTTCTTCCATTTTTACTTGAACGGCCATTCGAAAGAAGGAAATAGGAAAGCGGCATTTCTGATGAGAAAACGCTTCAGGATTTGTAACAGACTCGCACAAAACAAAAACTGTTTACCTCGCAAGCCGTTTTCGTTCATAAAAAATAATGCGCCGAGCAGCTGCCTCCTTCTAATTGTTCGATGAGTTTGCTCATGCTTGCTTCAAAACAATCAAGAATGCCGCAGAAAAAAAAAGAATTATTGTCGAGTCTGTCTTGTTCAGGTCCAAAGAACGGCCTACATTCTTCAGAGTCCTGATTTTATTTTAAATTTTTTACGTTTTAAATTTTGAATGAGTTTAGCTGAGTGTGACTACATAGCCTTCATCTATTTTTTTATTTAACTATTTTTTTGTAAATTTCATCAGATCTTACATGGGAACACATAGTTTTGGATATAAATCCCAGATTTATGTGAAATCCGTCGTAGGTTGAGTAAAAAAACTGGCTGGGCCTTAGTTTCCAGTGGAACTTCTGAATAATTATAGATCCATTTTTTTCTATTGCTGTATCCTAATTCGCTTTTTATGAATTACCAAGAAGTTTTTTTGAAAAAAAGTTATAGTTCTTTAAGTTTTAAAAAAGTTGATCATTTCTTCAATTGAGCTCATTTTTGGATGATTGATAGAGCTCGCTCCCGTTATAATTCTAAAAAAACTTTGTGGCCCGAGCTATGGTTTTTTCAAAAACTTCCTGGAAAGTTTTCAGTCTTCGTGAAACGAATGAAGGCACAGAAGCGAATTTTCGATTCCTAGGGAAGTTTGCGAAAAATAAACTCCGAAGAATATAGACCCAAAAGAGCAATCAAATAAACTGAGAAAACTTGATTGCATCCGTTTTTTTTTTTCGAAACGTCGAAAGCGTCTCAATGAGTGGGCGAGGGAACACATAAACCTAATTTTGGGACAAGAGGCATATTTCTTGGGAAGAAATGTTTGTCGACCGCAATTCTCCTATCTTTTCGAGAAATCGAAGGCTTTGCTTCCCATCGTTTTCAATATTTCAGTTCTTTCTGCAACGCCAAAAATTAGACGAACTTGTTTTCAACGCAGTTATTTTTTGAGAAAAATAGCGAATGCCAAGTTAGCCGCATATATTTCTCTTCATAACTTTTGCAGCCATCTATTCGATTTTTTATATTTTATTTCATGCATTGCGTGCTCGTTTATCCTCGTTTCTATGGGAGCTTGTAATTGGTCTAGGAATGGCTTAGTTACTTTCATTACTTTCATGGTTGAACTTTTCAAAAGGTCAACATTTTTCACTACGTTCGGGTTGTTTTTAGAAAAGGATTTTTTCTGAGGATCAGTTCAAAGAGACGATTAAAAGTGCGATGTGTGGCTCGAAAGTGAATACATTGCTTCTTTTGGCAGTGAATTCAGTCAGAAAGTTGTCTTTCTGACACGTTTAGTATTCAGATTGCTTCTTGATAGGATGATAGGAATCCCAAAGTGAACACTAAACTTGATCATTTTTTGTGCTCGAAAAGCTTCGCCGCAACAAATACTGTTTTCTAGAAAAGGACAGGTCCAAAATAATTTTTATATAATTGCTTTTTGAAATCACTTCGACGATGAAAAATGAGCTTTTCAAACCAAAATTAAAAGGGTTTTAGGCCAATCCGATAGGCGTCAAAATGAACTTGACCGCTCCAATTGCGATATTTCATACAATTGATTTTTTTTAAAGCTGATTTCAATTACACTGATGCCGCGTTCAAACCTCATACAAAATGGGACAAATTGGACCCAGAGTTTTTCTTAAAGTTG